ACTTATATCTATTTTCGGACTTCTCTTTTTTGTGAAGTTTGTTTAGGATAGAGAAGTATTGCCAATAATAGTCACTTACTTCATTGTCTCTGAGCCAAGAGTTTTTCTAGTAGTCTTTTTCAAGATGTAACATGGCAAATGTAGTTTCTGGTGATGGCAAATGAAAAAGAAAGAGCATAGGTAAATGAAAAGTTTTAAGAATTAATGACTAAATAAGTGACTGATAATCTCAAGTATTAAAATACCTAACAAGTAATAATATTAAGGACTAAAATAAAATAAAAGCATATATTATATCATATACAACATTACTTTTATCACGTAATCTATCATACATGTCACTTAACGTGATATATCAACATTCTTTTATCGTCTATTAATGGTGTTTAAGTCAAGTGACTAAAATATCTAATGAAAATGGAAGTCAGAAACTAATGTGATATTTTAAAATTTTCTGAAACTAAAATGTTTCATGGATTAAAATAAAGGTTTAGTCACCAATAATAAAGATGTTTGCCACCAAAGTAATCTTTTATAAAATTATTCCTTACATCAAATAAATAATTAATTCCAAGTGCACTAAATAAAGATAACATCATTGTTGTACATGTATCATAATGAATAAAACTTGTGACATGCTCAAATTTTTATTGCGAACTAAATACTCTTAGTAAATTATTGACCAATGATATAGTTAATCATTATCATATACCCACAATTCAGAAGGCATGTTCAAACTAATTTATTTTATAACTCTAATTATACCTACTAGTAAGTAATTTTGCATATCAACAAAATTGTTCATATATTTGCCTTTATATATCTACGCTTAAAAGTGTTCGCTCAAATAATGAGTTTAATTATTAAAAATTCTTTTATTTTTACTGTAGCTAAATATTTATAAAGAATAATATAAGGATGTTAAAGTTGAAATAGAAAATCAATTCCATGGTTACAATGAGAGAAATCTGCTAGTTAACTCCCGCTCCGGCTGCAGCATTCCAATGAAACAGAGCATTAATCTCTTCTTTATGTGCCGGCAGAGAAGAACACAACTATTCACTTCTTGTGCTGAACGACCACGAGAGAGAGATGAAAGTTTGGGAGAGTGTTCTGCGTGAATGATATAAAGAATGTTATAAATTTATTTTATTATAATATTTATTCTTTATAAATTTTAAAAATTTATCAATTTCTTTAATCCATATAATATTATAAAATATTTATTAGATTTCATTTTTTTAAATTATTAAATATAATATTCATTATATAATTAATTTTTATTTAACTTATTAAGATTTTATTTTAATTTAATAATTATCATATAATGCCAAAAGATTTACTAAATTATTTATTAAATTTAAAATTTTAAAAATTCAAAAATATAGATATGAGATAAAAAAAAAAGAGTAAAAATTGTAGGCTACATGCAAGTTTAGTTATAAGTTAGCAACCTTGTTTATATAAATATTCTGTCTATCTAAAATAGTAAAATAAATTTAGTTTATTAATAACTTAAATTAAGATTTCAATTATAACAACAATTTATTGTAATAATTTTGGGTTTTATTGTTTAAATTTATCTAATATATTGACACTAATATTTACAATTTTTACATTAATAAATAATATTTTGTTAAATTATTAACTAAAATTTTAACATATTGATTTAATATGTTCAATCTACATTGAAATAGTATGTTTAATTAGTTTATATTTTTTATAATTCAAATATACTAATACCAATACATATATTTTAAAATAGCAATCGTTCAAAATATAAAGTAATTATATTACTTTATAATAAAACAAATAAAAAATTTACACCATCAATTAAAAATATTATAAATTATTTTTTAAATAATTTATTACACTTACAATTAAATTTTTAAATGTTTATTAATTTTAAAATTACTAAAAAATAGAGACAAATTTAGAGATCGAATCATCTAACACGGATTTTGTTTGTCTTTAATTTTATCAATTTAATGTAAGCAACTATACTTCTCTTAGTAAATTTTTAAATTTTCTTTTTTTATTGAGTTGTAATTTCTAAGTTGCTCTCTATGATACAATTGGAGAGCAATACTTTAGAATCACTTTTTAAGAAAAACTTTGAAGATTGTATTTTTATTAATTGCTTTCTAAAATCATATCTTAGAAAAACACTTTTCAAAATAAAGCATGTTTAACTCATATTTTATGGATCTTTTCGTTGCTAACAACCTGCGTGCTCCAGCACCTGCTTGAATGAAAGTTGCTTTGGATGCATATGGAATATTGTAAGCATCCGAGGGCAAGTGCTAAACTCCTGTATTTTTAGTATTCATTATACATTTTAGTTTTTAAAATTTTAAATTTATTATGTTAATTTTAACTTTTATTTTCATTAGATATTTTATTATGATGTTATATTAATTTATATATATAATTAATTATATGATAAAAGTGTTTGTAGACAAATTTACAACTTAAAAAGTAATAGAGAATTTTAAAAAAAAATTTCAAGTTATCAATTCTTGACATAAACTAGATGAGATGAGCTTACATGCTTTCACCTATTATACTTATTTATGTGTTTTTTAATCTAATTTTAATATTAGTAATATTCATAATTATTCTATTAACACATGATAATGTAATATTAATATTTTTTTCTTAGGTTACCTTTAATTATTATGCAAGATAAAAGGTAAAAAAGTATAAAAAAATTTATGAATTTGTTAATTTAATAATAGTTGATAAGAAAAGTTACATTTAATTCACCTAATACTTTGTCTCATTTTATCTTATAATTTTATTAATTACATATGATATAACTGCCTATAATACAACTAATTATGAGATGTTAAAAATAATCAATTCTTAACACGCAAAATATAATTTAATAGGATAAGTGCCAAACATTAAACATAAACTAACATTGTCATTAAATATAAAAATCAAATAAAGTATATAATAAAATTTACCATAACCCTAGCTGTTAAACAAATTCATAAACACTTGAAAGAAGAATTCAAACTTAAGGGAACTTGAAGGGGAAGAAAATGAAGGAAACTTTTTTCTCCAAAAAGCACTTAATTGCTTGCTCAGGAATATTTGTCAACTTTGCCAATAATCTCTCACTCTCTATTAACTCTTAATGGTTGATGAAGTCAGGATTTAGAAGGTAGTGTGTGTAAAAATCAGAGTTCTTGCCACAATATTTAAGGTCCCCAAAATAGGAGTTATGCATGACCGTGCATACTCTTCCAAGCATGAATGTACCCAAAAGTCTATTAGTTTGCAGTCAATAGCACTAAAAATCTATTCAAATTAAGAATAAATACATATAAACATACTTTAGAAAAGTGTGTCAAAATATAAACTTATCAAAAAGTGACATCGTAACAATATGACATATTTTCATTTTATTTTAGTCTTTGAAATTATTATCCGTAAAATATTTGTCTCTGAAATTTTTTGTTAGTTCTTAAAACATTTTGTGTACCCATCTTTTTTCATCACCGTAAACTACCTTCTCTAGTCACTATCTGCGTTCTTTGCTGTCAACAAAGTCGTTGCTCACTAACATTGTTATCCATGTCTTGATTGGTGTTTGCCTCTAAGTTCTGGACAATAATTTTACAGGATACTCATAATTGAAACCTTTAATTTTTAAATATTTTACCTTTCTTTGTATGCCCCCTCCACTACTCTATATTTCACTAACTAAGAGAACAGTTAGTAAAAAATTACTCTCTATGATACACTTGAAGATCGATACTTTATAATCACTATCTAAGAAAAATTTTAGAGAGTAGTTCTTTGTCAATCGTTTTTTAAAGTCATACATTAGAGAAACATCCTACTAAATGAAGCATGCTCAATTCACACTTTAGAGGCTGAATCCATCTAACACAAATTTTGTTTGTCTTTAATTTCATCAATTTAATGTAAGCAAACATACTTCTCTTAGTAAATTTTTAAATTTACTTTTTTTATTTAGTTGTAATTTCTAAGTTGCTCTCTATGATACAATTGGAGTGCAATACTTTAGAATCACTTTTTAAGAAAGACTTTGAAGATCGTATTTTTATTAATTGCTTTCTAAAATCATATCTTAGAAAAACACTTTTCAAAATAAAGCATGTTTAACTCATATTTTATGGATCTTTTTGTTGCTAACAAACTTGATTTCTTTTACATTAGTATGTTCATTTTATATTCTCTATACTAACAAAGTTGATATATTCTTATGTTAAATATTACTGTTTTTGACTTTTTGTCTTAAATTTTATTTTTTAATAGTGGTTTAATCCAATCAAATTAGTGCAAAAAATCTTTTTATTTCTTTTTTTTTAATTTTATCAATTTAATATAAGTAAACATGCTTCTTTTTGTAATTTTTCAAGTTACTTTTTTTATTGAGTTGTAACTTTTTTAAAATTTGTTTTGATTAAAGATAAGCTTTTAGATTTATGTGCATTAATTAACGTCTGTATTGATTCAACTCTTTTTTTCTTACAATAAAATTTCTTGTGTATACTCAAAATAATTATCTATGATATGGTAGTGATTGATTGTAGTTGCGTTTCACTTCATCAATGGCATCCACAAAGGCAAGAAAGAGGTTTGTGTAAAACAAGCTAAGGATATTATGATTCGAATGCAGCAACACCAAAGATAATGAGTTGGCAAATGACAATATTGTATCCTGTGAATAATGCGTTAAAAAATAAAATAATAAATTAGAGAATGGAAATCCGTTACTGTCATCGTTCCTTTGGAAAAATGACAAAGGAGACACAGCAACAAAAGGCAGCAATAGGAAATTACAACTAATAATAATAAGGTAAAGGCCAGCTCAAATATATACGCATAGGTGGAACTTGTTTTCACCTATATTTGGATTGATTGTTATGATACACATAAATAACACAACATTATAAGCTGAGGTAATCTTTTATGTTAGTCACAATTGAAAAAGATCGAAAGTGACAAGATATCATAGAGGAATCATGGCGATGCAGCAACCTGCATGTTACAATGTATCTGTTGTTAATCCTGGTGGAGCATGGCAAACTGATAATGTCCTAAGATCGGAGCTCCCTATTCTCGCCTTTCAAATTGCCTTCTCCATTGTTTTTTCTCGACTTTTCTTCTTTATTTATAAACCTCTCCATCAACCTCGTCTCATTTCACAAATCTCTGTAAGTATACAATACAAACCTACAATTTAAGTTTCGTTTTTTGAGATGAATGATTATTAATAATAGTAAATTCTTCCACTTTATTTCTAATTTTTTAATCATCAAATATTACCGTTAAATACATTTTTTTTATCTCTCAAAATACATCAAATTTTATTCTTATAATTTTCTTTTAAATTTTAGTCATAATATTTTTAAAAATTGTTAATTTTTCTGTTTAAATAATAATGTGACTAATTCAAATATCGTGACATATCAAATTTCTACGTTATGTGTTGCTTTTTTTACAAAATCACATCAGTGAGGGTGACTAAAACGAACAATTTTAAAAAATTAGAGACTAAAACAAAAAAAATAATTTTATAAGATCTAAAATTAGAATTCAACATATTTTGAAATGCCTGATTTGTGGCATTGGAATAATTTGTGGTTAAATATGCAGGTTGGTTTCCTAATGACTCCACTATTACTTGGGAGATATGCTAGCCTTTACGGTCTCGTATTTCCTGTAAGAGGGGTCCTAAATATCGAAGTTCTATCACACATTGGTCTCATCTATTATGCATTCCTTAGCGGTTTGGAGACAAATTTAAATACCATTTTACACGTCAAAAAAAAGGCTGCATGCATTGCTATTGCGGGAATAATCTTTCCCATGATGATGGCGCCGGGCTTATATGCTTTACATCGAAAATTTTATCACTCTGAAAATCCTATCTTGCGCCTTGAAGAAAGCACAAGCAGTGCTTATCTACTTTGGACTTTGATTCTCACTGTTACAGGTTTTCCAGTGTTAGCTCACACACTTTCTGAGCTTAAACTCCTTTACACGGGTCTCGGCAAAGTGGCTTTAACCGCAGCTATGATCAGTGACACTTATGGTTGGTTTCTTTTCACCATTTTGGTTCCATTTGCGATTAATGGTAAAGTAGCAGTGTACTCAGTGCTAAGTACTATAATATTCATAGTAGTGTGCATTGTTGCGGTGCGTCCAATCATTGGACGCGTTATTGATCGGAAGACGGATAGGGATGAGTGGGATGATAATCAGTTATTGTTTGTGATGATGGGGGTTTTAGCTTGTTCTTACATTACAGATATTCTTGGTACACATGCCATTGTTGGGGCTTTTGTGTATGGGTTAATTTTACCTCATGGAAGATTTTCCGACATGGTAATGTCGGTTTCCGATGATTTTGTTGGCGGTTTTCTAGCACCGTTGTTCTTTATTGGGACTGGAATGAGACTTGCGGTGGTCACACTTTTCCTGGGAGGACATTGGTGCATGACGCTGCTCATTGTAATCCTCTTGTGTGTTCCAAAGATTTTGAGCACTATATTTGCCACTTTCTTCTTTGGCATGCGTACTCGAGATGGTGTAGCCCTAGGCTTGCTTCTGAATACCAAAGGTGCCATGGCCCTCATAATGCTCAACCTTGCTTGGGATAGAACAGTATCGATCTATTTGAGACTTTTTATTTACTTGCATTCTTTTTTTAAAAGGCTTAGACATGTTTTGTCCTTATATCCTTTCAAGCTTTTGATTTTAGTCTTTAACACTTTAATTTGGTCCTTAACAATAACATGACTACTTAAAAAGTTGTCATGTATCAATTTTGTATTAATTATTAGAGATCAAAGTGTTAAATTTAGAAAAGGCAAAGACTAAAGACAAAATTGACTCTTTCAAAAAACTACAATTAAAATTTTGCAAAAATATAGAGATTGAAAACATGTTTAAGCCTGCTTTTTTTTACTGCTAAAACAATAGCAATTGAATCTTTAAGTTCTTATAATGTGTTGTTGCATGCAGATATTTTCTCCACCTACATATGCGGTGATTGCTTCCGCTGTTATTCTAATGACTGTAATAGTGTCTCCTGTGATTAATGCCATCTACAAGCCAAGAAAGATATTTGAGCAAAACAAGCTAAAGACAATACAAAAGCTAAGAGTGGATGCTGAGCTCAGAATTGTGGCATGTGTCCACAGTAATCGCCAGGCCATGAGCATGATCAGCATAATTGAATCTTTCAATGCCACAAGACTTTCCCCTATACACGTTTTTGCACTGTACCTTGTTGAACTCACTGGACGTGCTGCAGCTCTTCTTGCTTCACACATAGAACAGCCTAGTGTCCAACCCGGGTTACAAACTCTCACAAGATCACAGCAAGAGTTAGAAAACATTTCCAGTACCTTCGGAGCATTCGGAGATGTCTATGATGCTGTCAGAATCGAAATCATAAATGTGGTTTCATCCTATGCAACCATTAATGAGGACATTTACAACTTGGCAAATGACAAACGCTCGAGCTTAATTCTCGTTCCCTTCCATAAACACTATAGTTCACAAGGTACGTTAGAATTAACCAGTGCCGTGTACAAAGACATAAACCAAAGTGTAATGCAGCATGCACCATGTTCCGTGGGAATCTTCGTTGATTGTGATCTTGGGTCAGTTCCAAAAGTAAACATGCGTATTGTTATGATCTTTGTTGGTGGGCCTGATGATCGTGAAGCCCTAGCTGTTGCATGGAGAATGGCGGGTCATCCAGGAATACGATTATCAGTGGTTAGGATTCTTTTGTTTGATGAAGCTGCTGAAGTTGATACTTCAATTCACGAAGAAGCACAAGGGATATTATCTGCTGTAATGGATAATGGGAAGCAACAAGAGTTAGATGATGAGTACATGAATTTGTTTAGACTTACAGCAGTGAATAATGAGGATTCTATAACCTATTCAGAGATTGATGTGCATGTTGGTGAAGATATTCCCGCGGTTCTCCATGAGCTAGAAAAATTTGGTTGTGATTTATACGTAGTTGGACAAGGAAACTGTAGGAACTTTAAGGTCTTCTCAAATTTATTGGATTGGTGTGATTGCTCGGAACTTGGAGTTATAGGAGATATTTTGGCGTCAAACAATTTTGGGTCACGAGCATCTGTGCTAGTCGTGCAACAATATGGGCATGGAGGAATGCATTTGGGAAGGCTAGGAGGCACCAATAACGATGGCTTTGACTCGCTTGTTGTGAAGACGCAATAAGAATTTAGGGTGGTATTGGAACAATGGAAAAAGGAACTAAAGTGTGTGCGAGAAATTGCTTGTAAGGATTAATTCATGAAACTTTTGGACAGTACCAGGTTTTTGTTTCGGACTAGAATTGGTACAATGACACTGTTGAATGGAAAATGTAGCTGGGCTCTATTTGAATCTTAACAATAACAGAATAAAAGAAAATTTGCTAAGCTGTCTGAGCATAATCGAAAGATCAAACGACCGCATTAGCATATGAAATTTTGAAGGTTGAAAACCTTGGGTCAATTATGTACATTTTCAAGAATTTTTGGTACAAGTCTATGACTACATTCACTTTTGTTGTGTTATTATGGAATCACAACCGCAGTATGAAGTTATCGTACCATAAAAATTATCTTTGTTAACTATACTATAACAACCAGCATTAAGTTAATTTACTAATTAAAAATCACCAAACATGCGCAAATGAAAATTAGAGTAGGCTAAGTTATATTTTCAATCTTTTTATATTGTTATAAAAGTATCATAATAAAATTCATCCAAATGTGAAAGACTATTATAGGTTTGAAAATCTCTTACCCTTCTTACAAAAATCATAGTTTAAAAAATGAGACCAAATCAGTTAATTCAATCAATGATACGGCGCTTTTTTGGATTGCAATTGAACGACAGTGACTCGACCTTACATGTAAATCGGATGGTTAATATTCAACGAACATGCTTGATGAAGCATGTTCAGTGGCAATAGATATTTTCCGATTTTTGAAGAATCAATTTTGTAGAAATCAATCAGAGAGATAATCAAATAATCAGTCTTAAAAAATTTAAAAAAATGAAATTATAAGGAATTGATCAAAATTAGATGAACTAGTGAGAAACCAATAAAATTATTAATTAGTGTTACAATTCAAGACAAAACCTTCGTAAAGCCTAAAATGGTGTTTGACACCACAAAGGACTTAGATGATGCTTTTAGTAGCAATAAAGAAAAATTAAAAATAATTGATTTATCGCGATTGAACGACCATCAAACCTATAAAGGTAAAATATAATTCAAGTTCATGCATATATCATTAAATTTTCAGTATTCTACTTTTTAGTTCATGTTACTATTTTCTAATAATGTGACATCTATCTAAATATATCACATTACATGTTATCATAGAATAGTCATTGACATTACATGATTAGATGCATGTCATATTATCATAAAGTAGTAGCAGGAATTATTTTTTAAAACTTTAAAAATTATGAAGAATAAAATTTAATAAAAAAAAATTTAGCAGATTAAAACCAAATTAACTATATTTATAATGGATAAAAATATATTTAAATAAATTTATAAATTGGAAATCATTTTCTCTTTATGATTTTAATGATTATATACTTCAATTTTCAAAACATCGTTTTGAATTCATTTTTTGTTGCAAATTTTATTCTGAAATGTAGGAGTAGAGTAAAATTAGTTATCCCTCAGTTCCTTTAGTTGACAAGCCCCACTTGTTACAAAATAAATCATCCAATTCCTTTACATATAAGTTAATTTGACAAGGGCTTACACTCACTTGATTCGCGTTCCTGTTCCTCAAAGATGCTAACAATGTCATTCATCACAAGTACACAACAGCATAATTATATTTCCACTTTCCAGTCCAATAAATAGCAAATCATGGAAGCTAAACATAGCGATAGATATTTGAATATAATTAGGAACCAAGTTTACAACTAAATCCAGAATCAGAGCAAGTTGTTCAAGCAATTCAATATGCCTCTAAGAAGGGAATTGTCAAGACATAATTGAAAAATATACTGAAAATACTGTAAAAGGAATCGGCAAAGGAGTCCTTAAAGGTTCAACATCCAATCCCTTCTAGTACTTTGCCCTTATTCGTCCCTAAGGGGGGTTTCTTCCCTTATTAAATGTACATTTTAATCCTTCATCCTCAGCTTTTGTTTACAGATGATTCTTATTTTTAAAGTGAAGATAAATCAATATGTTAGGAATTGTCGACAACTTGTGTTGATTCATAGAGCGTATGTGATCGGTATTTTTGCATAAAACTAAATAAAATGTCAAAAAAAGATTAATATTCTAACAGATTCAAAAAGAACTATATGCAGTGTAAATGCCAAAATTAATCCAAAATAATTATAAAAAAAAACTTATAGACTTTAATTCTGAACAAGAAAAATACTTGCACCTATTCTCGAGTACTAAGATACAAGTTTAAAAGAAGTTTTCGTAACATCCCAAAATCATTGTTTGATGATTTACAATGTTAAAGTACATAATCGTTTCTTGAAATGGTGGGATGAGATATAGGCAAATTAATCACGAGGAGAAGAGAGATTTGGACAACCACGAGGCATCACACTTGAGTGAGACGATAGTGTGCTTGGTTGCCTGATGGTGGTAGCCATGCTCCGGGATGATATTGAAGCGATGGCATTGGGTGGGTTGTGGCCAATGGTAGGACTTGATGAGTTCGTTTTTGCTGAGTATAACTTCCTTTTCAAGACAAAATTGTTTAGTTTTGGGGTTGAACCTTTGAATTTAACGGTTGTGATGGTTGTTTTCTTGACAATAATGTGTTGCGTTGTTCATTGTTGTATTTGGTATCGGTTACAAAAAATATCCTTCCATTAAGTTAACAATTAGTGAAGGTACTTTACGATGAGCATGTGATGATCCTTGCTTCTACCTTCACAAGCTGAATGGGTTATATTCTTGTCAGAAAAAATAGATTCTAAAAAAATTAATATAAAAATGAATAATTTTTTTTTTCATAAGTTAGAAACAATTTGTTTCTTTATTCTATAAAATTTTAAGAGATAAATTATTTCTTACTTATGAAAGAAGTTTTATTCATTAATTTCTTTCTCTTGGAAGGACTTCTTTAAAAGTTTATCTAACCTAGACAATAGTACACGAGAAAGAAAAAAAAAAAGATTGTTCCAGGCAAGTGGAAAACTTCCTGCTTAAGTTTAATAAACTTGAATTTTCCTACAGTTGAGATTCCCTTTAGCTGGCCAATGTGTGTTGTTATCGAAGATCTCAGATTTCAATGTCACCGAATTCAAGTTCTCACAGTGCAAGCAAAACTTTACTGTTCGATTTTAACCAAATGGCACAATTGGCCGAGTACAGGGAATTTCAATTGCAGCAAATCTGTCCTTTTACCTGCTTTCCAGCTTCTTCTTCTTCTTTGTCTGTGTGTGTGTATCTAAAGGGAACCTCATATAGTAAGCCTTATATGGAGGACAAAAAGATGGAACAAGGAAATGAGAAAGGTGTAGAGCGCATTGTGTGAGGTCGAACTCATGCACTTACTATTTTTGTCCTGCAACTTAACCATCTAAACTGACAAAAAGGAAGTGCCAGCTCCCCAATCTCAAGCTAAGATTAACATGCCAAGAGCATATGGCAATTATGACTGCCGCAAAGTCAATGAAACTGCACAAAATCACAAACCAAATCCTCCACCTCCATTTGGGCACCAAAAACCTCGAGTGATGATTGATCAAAATGTATTACAAAAACCAACACATGGAGCCCATTTTCAAGGAAGATTTCCATGCAACAAAGAAACTAAGGGCCACAAAGTTAATTAAAAACTCAATCTATAGAAAATATGCATTCATCAATAGCAATCCTCTGTTAAAACCATGTAATAAAACTGGGGGAAACTACAGATATCAAAAGGCATCATAGAAAGTTATATCTCTTTTTCTTTTAGAGAGATTTGGATAATGACTCAGTAGACACAGTGGAGCTTCATCACCAACACAACAAAAGAAGCTATTGGCCAACACAAGAAAAGCTGATAGACCACACAAATAGAACAGGTGAACCAACGGAAAGAAATCAGACAGTAAAAATTTCCCAAAAGTTCGAACCGATAATGTACAAGAACAATCTACAAAGAATCTAATGTCAAAATGGCGATGGATAGTTATCTATGTTTATTAGAACCAAATATAACATTTGCAATTGCCACTAATAACTAAATGACTTCTAACATTTTTCTATTAAACAATGCTGCAAATTTGAAACATTCTTCATACCTGCCATGAAAAAAAGGTGAAAATCTCATCACGAAATGGTATCTGCATAAGTAGTAATATGATAAAATTGAGTTTATTACCTATATTTTACCATCCTGCAAAAGGACCTAAACTGACAATGAAACAGTACTTATGGATAATTGGAAGTACAGTAAAGTTTCCAAATACAAGAGCCAAGATTTCTATATTAGACTCAAACCCAAGAACATGTTATTAAATGTAGGAACACTTGGTTTAAGAGGATTCGTTCCACAAAAAATGTAAATTTTCCTCTAGTTAAAAATCCCCAACCCAGCATCTCTAATAAAAATTCTTAAGATACTGACTTGACTTTCTTCGCCATGAATGTTACTGGATAGCGGTGGGTTCAAGTATGACTGGTTTACAGTATTATTACACTCATCGCTATAAATTTGACACCAATACACTACTTGTTGTAGCTATAGGAAAGGGTCATTCTTTCATCCGACATCACAGTTCCATCAGTGATTGGGTTTCTTCATTTGTGAATCAATAAGTTGAAAAAACAGCTGTTAAGTCTTCAAACTCTAAATATCGTTATCCAGTTTTTCTTTCCTCTCTATTTTCAAGAGATAACAGAAGCTTTTGCGAAAACCACAAGTCATATGGAAAATGTTATCACAAGTTTTTAGAGTTGATTTTTAAATAACTAATAGTAAGCTTTTATTGATTAAAAGAATTATTACATTGAGAACACAAAAAATGCAATCGATTTTTTTTTTTTCAAAAAAATCTTTCGACTTTTATACTCTTTAAAGTTAAAATTAGTCGTAAGAAGTGATGTTAACAGCCTGGCTCTTTAATTTATGCTCAGGAGGGTAGGGAGAGTTGCATCAAGCATGCACTTCTTAACCCATGTCATGTCCTTTGCTAAAACTCAGATACAAGAAAAAACAAACTCAATTCCATGAATCGCAAACCCAACAGTACCAATGGCATTCACCGCCATCACAAGCACGATACAATACAGCAATTACAGTAACCATATGAAAGAAAGAAAAGGAAGCTACATACTTACATATGAAACATGGATGATACTCAATCAAGGTCTTCTTGCCTGTTTTCAGACTCAAAATTACGATTCGATTCCCCACTATCGTTCCCATTGTTATTGCTGGTCTCAGCAGCGGCAGAAAACTGGCTAAACGGCCAAGGCAAAGAAACCCTAAACCTACGCTCTCTTGGGGAGGTATTTGTATCACCAGATTGGGAGCGATTCCTTTGCTCGTACTCAGGATCATCCGTTGGTAACTCAAACCTACACACGGGACAAGAATTGTGCAATTCCAACCAAGGTAAAATGCAATCGGAATGATAAATGTGTTTACACGGCATCTGCTTAGCCAATTCCCGAAGCTCGAACGTGTCTTTGCACACCGCACACTGTGAAGAATCGGAAGCCAACAATTCCTCCGTAACGGAGATGTTTGGGAGCGCTTCGATTGCGGACTTGGAAGCAGGAGGGGTTCCGTAACGGTTGGGATCGTTCTCGGCGAGGTGCTGAATCAATTGCTCGAGACCAGGCCCAAAGAAGTAATCGCCGAGGTTGAGATTTGAGGGAAGACGAAATGCTTCGGAGGCGGTGGGGTCCTCGGAGTTGTCGATGACGAATTGAACATTAGCGCCCCCGGCTCTGAGGGTTTGAATGTAGTTTTGAAGGAATAGGAAGGGGTTGAAGGCGTCGGCGTCTCCGAGATCGTGGTCGCCAAATTCGTAGGTGAATGAGAATGGATTAGGGATAGGATTTTGGAGTTGCTCGACGAAGCCACCGTTGCAATTGGGGCAGATGAGATCGGTGGAAGGAGTGATGGAGACGTTGCGGTTGCACTGGTAGCAGAAGTATTGGTTAGGCTCGTCGGGCGTAACGCCGGCGGTGGCAGAAGACATGTCAATGGGAAGGTGAAGAGAGAGAATGAAAAGTGAAAGAGCAGACAAATTATGAGTTGTAAGGAACTGAGGATACGCCCGTGGATCAGTGAGGTTGGGTAATGGGTAGGATTGTTTTTTTTTTAGGATGAAGAGTATAAAGAATTTAAACTCTTTACTACACTTTTTTTAATAAATTACAATTTAATAAAAATTCTTATATAAAAGTATATAATTTACATAATTTTTTTAATTAATAATTAAAAATATATTATAATAATATGTTGAGAAAAATACATTGTTATCATTTTCTTTTTGACAAATGTCAGTAATATCTATTCTTTAACCAATTAGTTAGCAAGACTTGATAAATATTAACTATTATCTTAAGTTATGTTTAAATTGATGAAAAATAATAAAATATATTGAAATGTATTAAAATGAAATAAAGTAACGTAAAAATTAATGTATTAAACAACTCTAACTTTCTTGATGTTAGCTCTTTTTCTTTTCTTAGAGAGGATAATAGAAATAAGTTAGATTCTCTTGTTTCTTTGTAAGAAATTAAAATTTCCCTCAAATCTCCGGAATTGGATGGACTCCATGCCTTATTTTTCAAAAATCAATGAAATTTTTTAGGCCCTTTTATCCATAATTTTGTTTTAGATGTTTTTCAAAAACCTATAAAATTGTTGAAGTCAATGATGCTTGTATTTCTCTTATTCCTAAGATTGATAATCATGAACATATTAGGAGTTTTAGACCTATTTCTCTTTGTAACGTGAGTTACAAAATCATAACTAAAATTATAGCTAATAGGCTTAGAGATTTACTTCTCCATATTATCTCTCCCAACCAGCCCAGTTTCATCCTTGGGAGGTAGGGCATTGGTAATTCCCTAATTTTGCAAGAAATGTTGCATTCCTTTCACAAGCTGAATGGTAAAACTGGGTATATGATGATCAAACTTGATTTAAAAAAAAGCATATGATAAGCTCAAATGGAGTTTTATTTCTGATTCACTTAATCTGGGTGACATTAATTCTAGTTTGGTATAGTTGATAAACCACTGTATTTCTTCTTCTTCTCTGCGTATTAAAATAAATAATGTTATGTCTCCACCTTTTTATCCTTCTAGGGGGATCCTTTATCCCCTACCTTTTTGTTATTTGTATTGAGAGGTTGGCCCACCTCATTATGGATAAAGTTAGGAACAGTGAATGGAGTCTTTTTTGCTTTAGGGTGGATGGTCTTAAAATTTCTCATTTATTCTTTGCAGATGACCTTATTCTTGTTTTCTAAAGCCTCTGTTTAACAAGCTTCTCTTAACAATTCTATAGTAAGAACTTTCTATTTTGCCTTTGGCTTGAATATTAATACTAATAAATCTTCCCTTTATTTCTCCAATAACATTGATGTTGTTTTAACTCAAGCTATTAGTAAGGAATTGGGCATCCCTCCCTCTAACCAATATGAGAGGTATCTGGGAATCCCTATTAGTCATAAAAAAACTTAATAGGCAGCAGTTTTCCTATCTTATAGATAAAATTTGGAGGAAGTTATTCCTTTGAAAAATGAATTCTCTTTCTATAACTGGGAGAGTTACCTTAGCCCAATCTTGTCTTAGGAGTATACCTTCATATACTATGCAATATGTTCTCATCCCTATTTCTGTTTGTAATGAGATTGATAAATTATGTAGACAGTTTATTTGGGGCTCCTTGGGAGGGAGGAAATGTCATCTTATTAGCTGGGGAGTCATTTGTAAACCTAAGATAGAAGAAGGGGGTCTTAGTTTTAGAATCCTCCATGAATTAAACTTGTCTTATATCATGAAATTATGTTGGAGGTTAGTTTCCTCCCCTATGAATCTATAGGTCCAAGTTGTTAAGAGTAAGTATAATTTTGTTCTTGGAAGGACCCCTATTATTAGAAATAAGAGTAATGTTTTTTATGTTTGGAATAGTATGTTGTCTGTTTGGCCTAATTTTGCCCAAGGTTTAGGGTGGATTATTGGAGATGGTATGTCAGCTAACTTTTGGAATGATAATTGGGTTCCCCAGGTGCTTGTTCTGTCCGAATTTGCTATAAATTCTATCCCTACCCTTGAACTTGATTTTCCTGTAGCTTTATTTTCTAATAATAATGGTTAGGATTGGGACAAGATTAACAATATTCTTCCTGCCCCAATCGGTAATAATATAGCTCATGTTCTTCCTCCAGATCAATCTAGGGGCTCTGATGTTGTTTTTTGGAATCTTTCAACTAATGAAATTTTTTCTATTAAAACTGCATATAAACTGTGTGACAAGGTTACTCATATTCCTAATCCCGATCATAATATTTTTAAATACTTATGGAATTGGAAATGACCTCTTAAGATTACTTTTTTCCTTTGGAAATTAGCTCACGGTAAACTTCTGACAATTAAGGAGGGGTATGTTAGGAAAATGACTAACTCTCCTATTTGCTCTAGGTGTGGTGAGGCACCTGAATCAATCATGCAGGTACTTAGAGATTATTTCTATGCAAAGGAAGTTTGGGAATATGTCATTTTTCCTGATCAGTGAGTCAAGTTTTTTAGCTTAGGTATTATAGATTGGCTGTTTTTGAATTTTGCTAATAATAGTTTTAGCAAATTCTCTAATTGGTTTAGTCTATTTGGGTTTACTACTTGGTATATATGGAAAGATATAAATTCTTTCATTTTTCAGTCCTCCTCTATTCCTCCCCATCTACTAGTGTACAAGGTTTTTTGTGAATTTAATTTCTGTTTCAATTGCTGCAAGGGAAATATCAAGCCTCTTTCTAACCTTGCTAACGACCATAGTAGAGTTAGATGGATTCCCCCTCCTCATGGCCAGCTTAAATTGAATGTCGATGGAGCAGTTCCTCATCTAGGGAAGCAGCTTGTGGCAGTCTCATTCATGATGAACATGGTAATTTTGTCTCTAGTTTTTGTAGCAAAATTGACTTTTGTTCACACTTGGTTGCAGAATTATGGGGGATCTTGCTGGGTCTTCAAATGGTTTCCCTCAAGGAGATTTATACTATTTGAGTGGAAAGTGACTCCAAGAAAGCTCTATCCCTAGTTCTTCAAATTCAACACTCCTCTCACCCCTGTTTGACTTGATTTGTAATATTAGAAAATTGATCAGGTCTATTAGGTTTGTTCATTTTACTCATATTCTTAGGGAAGCTAATTGTTGTGCTGACAAAATTACTAAAATAGATATAGAGGCTTCATTACCTTTCCATTATTTTGACATATGTCTTTCCTAATTGTTTCTATTTTTATGTTTTGATGCTTGTGGTAGTTGAAATAGTAGGACTCTCTTGGAGATTTGGTTTAGGCGTTTGGCCCCGTTTTATAGCAAAAAATATATATATTACATTATGCTATTTAAATGTGTAATACAACTATTACATAAAAAATTTAGTTATGTGATAAATATTTTTTTGATGAAAAGTTTAACCATGCAAAAATATTTACTTCTATGATCTCTCTAATAATACATAATTCATTATTAATAATATTTTATGTTTTCAATCAATATAAATTAAAAATAATTAATAATTGTATTTTTGTAAGTCATGAAAATTTATATGATTTAAAATATTATGTAAATTCTGTTTAATTGATTTTATTATATAATGTTTAAATTAAAAATTCAATTTAAAACATTATTATAGTTTAGAAAAATATATTTAAATGCATGCTTTTATTGAAGAGATAAATTCTTTTGATGATTTTTGAAAGAATATCACTGTAAATATTCATAATTAATTTCCAATAATGTGTGCAAACGAAAAATATTACAATAATAATTTTAATTATTAGGATAATTTATATTATACGTGTGTTTGTGATGAAAAGGATCTAACGCCCCTTTATAAACTGGAAAGAAATTATCTCCCTCTAGGCTCTATTTTCATCTTCAAAATTTTACCTATTAAATTATAATATATTTTAAGTAGGATTCTTATTTATAAATTGAAGCTTGGATTTATTATCATATATTTATTGATAAAAAATCCTAAATATGTGATTTTTTAAAATAGATAAATTTCAATCATTAACTGCTCGAAAAAAAAAGATTTTTACATATATTATATGAACGTAACTGTTGAAGTAAATTTATCAATTAAAAAAATATAAATAATGTGAGAATGAGTATAATTTTTATTAATAGAATTGTATAAAAACAGGATCGATTGCTATACATAAAAATTAATTTTTGTCATGTAAATTTTACTTTAGCACCTTTTAAAAAATATATGGAAATGTTTTTCTATCTATAAGTAAATTTGTCCAATTCTACTAAGAAAAAGAAAACTTGATTTGTTTTGTTAAAACATAATTTGTCGTTTATTGTATGCAATATAAGTACTGAAAAGGAAGATAAAACTGGTTTATGTTACTACTAGATTTAAAGATTTATATCAAACATCTTATCCAACTATAGCATAAATATTTTTTAATTTGTACAAGATATCTAACCTAGTGTTAAAATAACGTTACTGAAAAACAAATAAACAACCCACATTGCAGATAACTACCATTTGCGTAACTACAGATTATTGAGAATGACCAATGGAGCAGGTAAGCATAACTTGTGAAAAGAACAAAGCATTTTCCTGAGAAGAGGGAACTCATCAAATTGGCAGTATATATACAATGAATAAGATCGATTTTACTTCCATTAGCCGATTGTATCCACCAACGTTGATTTCTGATTCAATGGGAAACAACCGTTCATCAGAAGCAGTCAAACGCGTCTACGAGGATTTTGATCCTAAGTGCAAATATCACATGAAGAAAGATCCAATCACCATAGATATTGAGCTCAAAGGTAACGCCAATCTCATCCTCAAACAACAATCACCATAGAATGAATTTTCTTTTTACCCCACAATTTTCTATCTATTTTACAGATTTCAAAAAACAAGAAATTCAAGTCCGAATCGAGAAGCGTATTCTAGTAATCACAGGAGAACGAGCCCTTCAACCACCTAAATGGAAACGTTTCCGCAAAGAAATTAAAGTTGAAAGAGAGTGGAACACGGAAGGGATCGGTGCAGAACTTAGTAGCAGCGGTACTCTTTGCATTACTATACCTAAAAGAGAAAAGTTTGTGCTTAAATTGAAGAATTCAGTTTCAGCAGCGTTTTCCAAGATGATGAACTCTGTTCCGCAATTGCAACTCACAAATAGTAATTTCCTGGTTTTGGGGCTAAATTGGTTGTTGTTAACGGTTTTCCTTCTATGCTGTTACTATATTTTTTGCTTATGTAACAGTAACACCAAGGCATATACACACATACCAAACTGAGGCTACCAACTAAATCGTGTGTGATTATTGTATTTCCTATTTCCGATCTTTATTTAATCGTATGAAATGTGATTTTTATAACATTTTCCAATATTGCTTATATTAAAATATTGTATGAACTGGATAGCCATCAAAATATATAAAGAATTAAATAAAAATGCAATGATGTGTGTAATTTTTTTAATACTGACTTTCGATAATTAATTAGTTATTTTTATATATCTTGATTAAATTATATATATACTGTGGGTCTTAATGTTTATTAATGAAATACTTTTTTAATGATAGACATTTTTAATTTAATGAGAAATTTTGTAAAATAATTTTCAAATTAAAAAATTTATTAAATTAGGTAAGAATATTTTAATTTTTCTCAATATATTTGATCCTTTTTCTTATATTTATGTACACAGACGTTAAGATATTATTGCTAATTGAAATTAATGACCTTGGTAGAAATGGACATTTTTATTAGTTTAATATATAGATTTTGCTGATGAGTATTTTAAGAATATTGATTAAAATAGCATAAATATTTTTATTAAAGTCATGTTAAAAATATATTAATAATGTTTTTAACATAATATATATATATATATATATATATTAAATTTCTTAAAGATGTTAATTAGCATTTACTTAATATATATTATTTGGCAACGTGACTAATTGACCATGTCTAAGAAAATTAGAAAAAAAAATTATGTGATAGTTTTATAATGAAAAATAAAAATATAGTCTTTGAAACTAAATAACATTTAGCTTTTTAACTTTACTTTTGGTTTTATTTTAATTCTTTATCTCTGTTTTTTTTTTCTTTTAATCTTATTGAGGACTGTTTTAATCATTAAAAAATGCGTTTGTTTTGTGAATTTTAGCAAATTTAGTGACAAAGACATTTCTGTCGTTGTATTAATAATAAAAATATAAAAAAAATAAAATATATTATTAATTCATATACATTTATAAAAAATTCAAATAAAAATAATACTTGTTGTATTTTATTTTTTTTACTATTTTACACATTTTAAAGTTATTTTATAAGAATTAATGATGCATAAATTTTTTAATTATATTTTAAATAAAAAAGCAATTTAAATAATTTCAAAGTTATAAAATTAAATGTAAAAAACTAAAATTAAAAACTCTAAAATTACAAATAAATTAAAATACAAAAATACAAAAATACAAAATACAATTAAACTTAAATTTATAATGTAAATCGTGCCCCGGTAATATAGCTGGTTGCCAGAACACGCGTAATGCAAAATATGGAACATGATTTTTAAATATTGTTATGGCAAAAAAATGTAATTTTATTTTTTATTAGAGACTATATAAGAGAAAGCGATTTAGTTTTTGGTGTGAAAGAAAACAGTGCTTTTTGCAAGACAGAAGAGAAACTTTGGAAAGTAACGCAGCAGCTTCACCGGCCAAGTCCATTCCGCCCTAAACCCTCAAACAGAGTCTTTCCGATTAAGCGTTTCGGTGGCATCTCTTACCCTAGCAAGATTAGGGAAGGTGCAAGAAAATTAGGGAAATTTTGATTAAGTACTTGTTCTTCACACATTGTTATTTTCGGTGTTGCCATAGCAAGATTCGCATGACAATTTTCCTCTTCATGCAGTTGCTCACAACATTTTCTCTCTGTTGTTGACTAAGTGAGACTACCAAATGGACGACTGGGGTAATGATTCTTTTTCGCTTATTTCATCTTTCTTCGTTTGTTCTTTTCCCTTTTTATTCGGAATACCATTTTCCCTCCTTTCTTTTGGTTCTCCTGAAACCATCTTCGATCTTTTCCCGTCTTATCTGCTTTCTTGTTTGTTGGTTGAAGATGTGTTTACTTGCCTATGACTATCCGGTATGAGACTACTGTTCCATATTTTGAGGTGTTTCATCATTCGTCTGAACTATGCATGGGGAGAAAGAGTAAAACTGACCGTATTTGGGTATAATATAATAATGGAAAAAGGAAGGAACTGAATAAGGTCCATAGAATATTGGATTGCGAGGGAATGCATGTGTTAATCGGTTGGTTTACGTGTTAATTTGTCACCTCATGGTTAACGGCTTAACATGTTCTGAAAACATGGTCAGCCTGATTTATATGTGGTCAATACGTGCTATCAGATATTTCTGTGAAAATGGTTCATTCCTTAAGATTTCGGAGTCCAATTTTTCTTATGGTTTTCTAGTACAATAATTATAATTGAAGTATATTCTGTTTCTTCTATTGAATCTCCCATTATTATATTTTGAACAAATCTTATGTATATTTATTCAGAAGACGCGGAAATTCCACCTCTTCTTTCAAAAGATTCACCTAGAAATAAATGGGATGATGAAGATGTGGAAGAAGATGATGTGAAAGAATCATGGGAGGATGAAGATGAACCTGCTCAGGTATGAACAATTTAAAATGATGACGTGATGACAGTGGCATAGCTTATTCATAGTCTGTGAATTGCCTGTTTGTTATTGGATTATTATTTATTAGTATGCTTCTATAGTCTATTCTATTTGAAAGTCATTGCAAATTGTTGTGCTTGCAATTATTAGCATGGAGATGAACTGCTATTTAGGTCTAAGAATAAATTTTTATTCATTTTTTTCTCTATCTTCCTCCGTGTAACAAAGGGAAGCACTTGTATAATTGGTGCAATCTTGTAAATTGAGTATATATTTCCAATAATTATTGTATCAAAGATTTTGGGTGTCATGATTGTTATTAATGCAGTGATGCTGTGCAGTTATAATGGTTATCATTTTGTTCATTATCTCTTATAGCTAATTTTTCATTCTTTGCATAATTATGTCAGGCACCTGTGGCACCAGCAGCAAAACCTGTTGAGAAGGCACCTAAAATATCTTCTGAAAGAGATACTGAAAAGAGCGGAAAGAACGAAGAACCATTGGATCCTGTAGCTGAAAAACTTCGCCAACAAAGGTATGTTGTTTTCCATCATATTTGTTCAGTTGTTCATTTTAGAGATGTCGTGTTTAGAGAACAGATTATATTGTGTTGAAATTATAGGGTTCTAGCCTTCTGGGCATTGAGAGAGAAAATTGAAAGAATAGAAACTATGATTTTCTATTGAGTATTGTGATGTATTGCAATGTGATGATATGTTCATAATGCCCAGAGCAACAACCCTTATTTGCTCTAACCGTGATCTCTAACTAAATAGTAAACAATTCACGAGATAAAGAAATACGGTAACCAATCCTAAGACACAATGAAGAAAGAAAGAAGCTAATCCTAAAGGATATCTAAGATAAGATAAGATATTTTCATTTATTCTAACACCCCCCCTCAAGCTAAAGTTTACTAAGCTTTAAGCTTGTTGCAAGTAAGCCCTTTACTGAAAGGAAACTAAACTGTGAAATGGGAAGGGTGGAACCTCATATATTCGAAAGTCAATAGTCCAAACACATAAGTCAATAATAACAAAAACCAAGGAATCAAATAGGTTTAAGTTTAAGCCTCAAGCCTCCAAGGCTTAATGTAAAATGGTAAACTCAGAATTCCAATAAGAAAAATTATGGCGAGCAACACTGCAACAGAACAGAGGCATACCAAAGGCAAAACCTGTGAGATGCATAGTTATTGATAGCATGCTCTAGTGGCATAGATATGTGGAGTGGCTTTGGACCACCAAAAGTTTGAATTGTAGTGTGTTTTTGGATAGCAACCATTCACGACTAAAACATTGCTGAATGAGGCATTGATGAAGTAAAATTGTTTTATTAAATCATTTTCAATAGCAGGCTGGTTGAAGAAGCAGATTACAAGTCAACTAAGGAATTGTTTGGTGCAAGGGCTGATGAAAAGAACATCGACAGTTTTATTCCCAAATCTGAAAGTGATTTCTCGGAGTATGCAGAGCTCATCTCAGACAAGCTTCATCCTTTTGAGGTGAGTTGAATATCTTGGCTAGCTTGCATCCCCTTCAATTAAACATTTATTGAAAAGGTATCTTAATTACCTTATTGATGACATGCAGAAAAGTTTTCATTATATTGGTTTACTCAAGGCAGTAATGAGACTGTCAATGACTTCTCTGAAAGGAGCAGATGCAAAAGATATTGCATCTTCAATAACTGCAATTGCAAATGAGAAGTTAAAAGCAGAGAAAGAAGCCAATGCTGGCAAAAAGAAGACGGGTAAGTCTCTTCGGCATTCTTGAATATATTGCTATTATATTTATGCTGATCATTTTCTTTTATTTGGTGTCTTCATGTTGGGTTTTGTGCATGTGCACCAATATGCAGTGGGCAAGAAGAAGCAGCTTCATGTTGACAAACCTGATGAGGATTTGGTTACTGAACCATATGATGCTTTGGATGACTATGATTTCATGTGAAATTTTTGGTTCGGTTCCATCCAGATTCAATCATGGGATCTACTGTTTCAACCCTCGTCATGAATCAGTCAATTTTGTCTCCTCGATTAAATCACAATCTATTTGCATATACTTGTATCTTAGATTTTTACTAGATGATTGATGCAGGTTAGAATATCAAAGATTTAAACAGCAACATGCAACATGTCTTTTCCCCCAAGGTACATTGGATTTGTAAGAATGTGAACTTAATTTTTCTTACCAAATTAATTTGGGCATGCTTTTGTGTATCATGACCGCAAGCACTCACTGCTTGCTTGTGTAAAGAATGCATGAATGCGAATTGCAGTGAGTGGCCTCTGATATTTTTTACTAACATTGGAAATTTGTAAAATACTCGAAGTTGATAAAGTTAGCCAAAAAGCAAATCTACTTATGGTTTGAGTAAGTTATTAGTGCGTAGAACTATTACGATTGTTAATTTTATTCTGTAAATTTTATTTGACTCAGACTTCTGAATGTTGTATCTTATAGAATTGGTAGTTGGTACAAATTAATATTTAAACTTCGCAAAATGAAAGTTTTTTCTTTGGTCTAGAATAAAATGAAAGCATCTATTTGTACACAAAAGAAAACAAGTATTTACTTGATTTTCAAAATCTTTGTTACTTGTGAAAAATAAAAACTTTCAATTTTATAAATTTCTTCAAGAGTTTAAATTTTAAGTTTAAAAGAAAAATGAAGAATGACGTAATTTTTTGAAGGGTTTATTTTAATATACTAGTAGTATACAAATTTTATATTATTAATTATTTATAAATCAAATATTATTTTTAAAATGATTAATATAAAAGTCAACAAATTTTAATTATATTCAATCTTTTTTTTTTTTTGGTTAAGCAAATTATATTCAATCTATTATTAACTGATAATTTAAATTTTAATAGATTAAGAATCTTTTTGTTTTTGAAAAGTAAATTAAGAGATTAAGAATGTTTGACAAGTTATATCAACCATTTAACCAACTTAGAAGGTTATTTTTCAAAATGAAAGCAATTTGATGTGAAATTCTTGTCTAGTAGGAAAAGCTTTGAAAGAAACCGGTAATTTGATGTGAAAGCAATTTTTAACTTAACTTGATATTTTGCATCTATTAAAAGGGAGACACCAATTGGTAATTTCGTACAAAACTTGTTCATACTAAACAACACCCATTTTGGAGATATGAAGATTGGAAGAAGGCACCTTATCACCAACTTGTCCCGTCGTCTATTTATACGAAAATTGAAACTAGAGTGACAGTAAAGGTACATCCTATTTTAACCCCATCAACCTATTGTAAACATTTTATTTATTTATTTATCATTACTTAATGGCTGTATTCCCATATATATCCATAAATTTATAATGAGACATGGAAAGACCAAGCAAGCATTTGTGATAATACATTGTATATTAGTTTATATTGTTTTATATTTATTAACTAATTCAATTGTTAATCTTACCAAATATAGTTATAATTCAATAGACATATCTTTTAACTAAAATTTAACTTTTATTTGTCATATCAAATACTTGTATCAAACACATATTTTTTAAGAGTGTATTCTAATTTACCACGTGCCCCTAGATATGCACACAGATTATTTAACTGAAAATTTATAACACTTTATATAAATGATAAATAGAAAATTAGTATTAAAATTAAGAGTATTAAATGTAGAAAGAAATTAAAAATAAAAGAAAGGGCATGTGTCTTACAACGAAAAAGTCAAATATTTGACGAAAACAAAGAGTGTACAAGATAATTAAAATACTATCAAAAGTGCGTGCTCTAACTTATTATATAGAGATATATGCAAGAATTTGTGATAACGAGAAGAAAAATAAATCTTATTTTGTGAATTTTTGTATCTTTATCTTTTGTCCAGCATTTTATATTAATATTATTTGTATAAAATTCTGTGTAAAGCTATAATATAATTCAATAAAGTTTTATTATATTATTTAACGATTTTGAAATACATAGCTAATAATATCATTAAACTTATCTAATGAAATATTGGCATAAAATTAAACAATGAAGTAAAATATTATTCAGTAAAATATTGGCATAAATTACATAATGCCTTCTAAAGTCAAATATTTGCCAACTGTATATCTAACAATGACTAAATCGCTCAAGTGACACTTCCATTGTTTGGTTAAAGTAAAAGTAAAATGATTAAAAAAACGTAGAACTCATGGCAATTTTGTTCTCTTCAGATAAGAAAAAATAAAAGACAATTTTTTTATTAAAATAATGATTTTATCAAGACCGTGATAAAAATAATTTCTTATACAAATAGAAAAATAAAATTATTATTTGTTTTTTAAAAAAATTAACCCATAGCAAGATCCAATTTCCAAAGTATTTTATCAGGTGTTTTTTGGTATTATAGTTTCTCACATCATTCCAAAGTGGTGGTCCACAACACAGATTGCCGGATTGTGCCCGCAATGATATATAGTATTTTAAGGTTTATGTTTCGATGAGAAAGAGAAAAGAAAAAGCAAAACGTTGGAAATTGTAGTGTTGGGTGTGTTGATTTGATTTGTGGTGGTGTTGCCAACCAAGTTTATATGTAAAAGTCACAGGGAACGAGGGAGTGATGATGTAGGCAGAGTTGGAGTTGTAGGTCCCACAGTGCTTTTGTTTGGAACAATAAAAACGTTCTCCCACATAATAATTTCCTTCCTCTCTTCCTTCATTGTGCTGTGCTCCTTCAACATGAATGAGAAAGCCAAAGTATCAAAGGAGCTCAATGCCAAGCACACCAAGGTTTCTTCTATTTCTGTTTTAACACTTTGTGTTTAATTCAAAGTTATGCTTTCATAAATACTGTGAGTTGCAACTATAAATCACAGGGACTAAAGTAGTAGTTTAGCCTCTCTAAGTTCCATTGTTAGTTTTTGTGATTTTGGATACATAACTCCCACTCCTCTAAACCTTTTATAACACAGAAAAAACTACTACCTCCAAATAATTTGGTCAATGAGAGATTGGTTAATGTTTTTGCTCAGATATATCATATAAAAGTGTTAAAATTTCACATTAATTCATTTATTTACTTTTGTTTATCTTCAATTGAATTGCATATTTATTTCCTCGACTTACTAGATGTTGGGTGTTTTTTAGTACTGTGACATTTATAGTTGCAGCATTCTTAGCATGGCCATATTTTAATTGTAGTTATGCTAAAATTTCATTGTTTTTATTTAAAATTACTGTTTCTTTTATGTTGTGCCTATGAACAGATATTGGAAGGACTTCTTAAGCTGCCTGAGAACAGGGAATGTGCAGACTGCAGGAACAAGTAGATGCATATCAGAACTTACTATTTTATTTTATGAATAATCAACGACGTTTTTCTTTATTAAGTTTATACTAAAATAGATCATTAAATAAGGTTTTCAATTCAATTCATCTTTTTGCCATTGATGTTCCTCAGTATTTCTGTTTTATCCACTTGGATATCAGTGGTGTGCCTCAGTATCATTTAAATCGGGATATTTAAATGATATCTTGATTCCTTCCTTTTTTCACTTTGGAGTTATTTTCCCATCTTATGACTCTGGGGATTGTATATATCTCGATAAAATTTTATCTAACAACACATGTTTCAATATCAATGATTCATTTAGCAATGAGGGGTATAATACAAATTGAGGGTGTTTTTCTCATGAAGCAAATAAAAGAAAATGCCATTTATTGTTGAAACAAAATCCAATATAATTTTTAACTAGATGATATTATAAGTTAAGTTTTCCTCTATATCGGTTCTTTCTATACTTTAGTCAAGAACTTTCTCCTGTAGAAGCATGAGGAGATGATCACTTTATAATCGATCGTTATTGTGATTTTTTCTTCCAACCATACAGGTTCTTTCTTTGCAATCTTGTAAAATTTGAAATTGTTTTCAATGTGTTCATGTACAAATCTTTTAAAACATGTAACATAATGAAAATAAGGTGACAATTTTGTGATTTAAAGTAAAAAAGAGAAAATGAAAATAGAAAACATTTGGTGAAACCAAATGGCCCCTTGCTTTGATTTCCCAAATACTGTACATAGAAATTCATGAAGTTTTAAATTTCTTTATGGAACAAATTATTTTTTTATTTTATGGTTTAAAATTTATTTTTATAATTTCAGGGCACCGCGATGGGCAAGTGTGAATCTAGGGATTTTCATTTGCATGCAATGTTCAGGGATTCACCGAAGTCTGGGAGTGCATATATCAAAGGTTTACATTATTTCATGGGTTCTTTTAGCTTATCATTTTCTCTTCTATGCAGAGAGTTTTGACATGAGATTTTTGTACCAAAATGCTACAGAATGATTTGGATATGTAGAGATGGGATTTTACTCAAATAAGAACTATGCCTTTTCTTTTATTTTTTTCCCTAAGAGTTGTCACATACATCTCAGTAGTAAAGGTATCAATTTGTTGTTGCATATAATTTTTTTCATAAAATTAGTCTTCTCATACATTAATTTTAAAACAAAATTCACTTTAGTCTTCTAATATTTTTTTATTTAATTTAGTTTTCAAAATTTTGTGTATTTCTCAATTTAATCTTTTCCTTTTCTATTAGTTCTATTACATAGGTGACATTGATATGGTATAATGTCAATTATTTAATTCAATCTGAATTTTTAATTTAAAAAATTATTTAAAAATAATAAAATTTGTTTAAGTCCCGCCATTGTAACTCCTCTTTTTTCATCCTACTGTTGCAACTCTCCACTCCTTTACTCCAAACCCACTAGCGCCTTATCTCCCCCTCCTGCAATCCCAATTTTCCCTTCCTGCAGCCTCCTTCTTTCCTCTTTCTCCTCTTGTAACTCTCTCACCCTTCCCTCAATCCACCAACCTGTAGCCTTGATTTCCCTTTTCTTTGGCCTTTTTTTCCTTTTCTGCAACTTTCCCTCTCCCCATCCACTCTCGCAGCCCCTATTTCTCTGTAGCCCTCTCCCCTTCCCTTCCTTCTTTTGCAACTCCCTCACCTTTTTTCCCTCCAACTCACTAGACATTATTGCTTAAGTTATTATTTGTTAACACATAGATTGTTACTCTCCATACACCATTCTCATCATCACATCATCCATTTCTTTTTTAGTTCAACAAAACATGAAAATACATAACCCAAAACACATAAATTGTAACATAGAAAAACACGAAGTAAATTCCAATCACAAGAAAAAAAAATACAAATTGTTGCAAAACTAAAAACTTTTAAGTTGTAGCAATTCATGTGAGCTAAAAAAAATACTAAATTCCTTAAAAAAAAGCTTCAACTTCGGCACGTCCATGTGCATGCACAAGCCCTAGCTCACACTGGAAAAAGAAAACACACTCTATTAAACTCAATGTTTCAAAGTTAAAACAACACACTTTGAAAAGAAGAAAAAGAACATTTTGATACCACCCAATAAACAAAAATAAAAATTTAAAAATATAAACACAAAAATCCAAGCTGAAACAAGATCAAGCATACTTTTTTTCTTTTTTCTCTCTTTCAATTTTCCAATAATTTTTTAATTTTCTTGTAGTTGATTTTGTGTTTTTAGTTTCTTTATGATTATAAATTGTTTAATCCTAATTAAATTTTTGTAGACAGAACAAGATTAAAAATTTGAATTATTTGTAGTACCCCTGTGAGAGAGAGAAACATTGAAATATTTCACTTTGGGTAAAAGAAAAGGGACTCCGGAAGAGAGAGATAGAGTTGGTGGGTTTGAGGAGAAAGAAGTAAGAGAGATACAAAGGAAGGAGGAAGAAGAGGGGAAGGAAAAATGGACGAGTGAGTGTCACCTAGATTATTTTTTAAATAAAAAATTACATGTTAAATTAAATAAATGGCGTTAAGCCATTTTAGCATCACTTATGACATCTTTGTTATGCCATATAACAAAGTTAACCGAAAGGATTAGCTTGAAAGAAAAAATAAAATTTTGAGGACTAAATTGAATAAAAAAAAAGTTAGAAAAATAAAATAAATTTTACTTAAAGTTAAGAGATAAAAAGACTAATTTTGTCTAATTTTCTTTAATGATTTTTTAATCATGTAGTTTGTAAAATTTTCTTAATAAAATGTTGTGTCTAGATGACTGTACAGATAATTTTAAATTAGTATATAAAAGAAATTTCTATAAGAAATAGTTGACATTTCTATTTTGTGGAAGGTTGAAATAAACCACAATATTCAAATTGTTCTTTACATACATTTCTCTTTTTTATTAATAAATTGAGAATGATTGAATCTCTGATTTTGTAACTAGGTGCGGTCCACAACTTTGGATACGTGGTTACCAGATCAAGTTTCTTTCATGCAATGTAAGAAACTATATAATTTGTTTCTTGCTTTCTTAGTGAAAATTATTATTAACTGAATCACAGTAAGATGTGAGTGACACTTTTAAAATGCAAAGTGTTTGTGAGCTTCTTTTCTGATTAGTTTAGCAGTAGCACTGAACAAAATTAATTATATAACACAAATAGTCTACGCCACTCGGTATTCATGTAGAGAGAAAACATTTCCAGGAGATTATTTCACATACCTGTTTAAATTATTAGAAAAACTATTCATCACAAAAAGGAAAGAAACAAAGGTTAATTTTTCATAAAAGACTAGTCTTGTTTTTTTAACCGTGGATGCACATTACGGATACTGAACTAGTCTCTTGATTTGCATGTTTTATGCAGCTATGGGTAATCAGAAGTCAAATAAGCACTGGGAGGCGGCGATGCCACCAAATTTTGATAGAAGTAAAATGGGAATTGAGAAGTTTATTCATTCCAAGTAAACTTCTGATGGACTTTTTTTCAAGACATTGCTTGAAATTAGAAGATATTTTTCATCTACTTTTCCATTTCCCATTCTCAACTTGCTTAGGATCTTTCAGGTATGTGGAGAAAAGATGGGCTTCAAAAGATGAGTTACAGCCAACTTCAAAGTCAACTGAAACAATATGTAATTTTAATGAGTCACCAAACGGAGGGGCTAGGAATTGTGTTCCAAAGAACATTAGGAGACTTTCTCTTGAAGAAAGCATTCTAGCAAACCACATGGCACAAATTCTGCCACCAATGACAAGATCTACAGGGGTAACTATGTTTTCATGAAGTTCTCTTTGAGTCCTTTGTAAATAATGCCCTTTTGGATTTTAATTGCACTGATGCATGTTCCCTGGATCAATTAATGAACCTGTTTCTTACTACTACTTGCAATCCACTGTCCCAAATATTAGAACTTCGATGACTGAAGCAAGTGACACCAAGTTGGTGAGGCCAAAGATCATAGATCTCAAAGAATGAGGGAGGAGCTCCATAGAAGTAACTCATTATATTGATTGAACATGAGTATACTAGAAGAAAAATCTAACCAACTAACTAATGTCACAAATAATTAACTAATCTAACTAATTTCTAACTGTCATTAACCATCTCCAAATTTTCCCCTTCATTTGCCCAGTGTTTTTCTCTTTTGTCCATGTTTATTTAGATTAAATTTTGGCTTACCTTCCAATATTTACATCTTGAAAACAAGGAAATATGATTTAAGTTTATTAATGCAATTCAGGGTTCTTTGATCATGCAAAAGAAGAATTCACCTCCATTAAAGAGGCCATCTTCATCAGTTGATTTTGACAAGTCCACAGGAAAGAGTAATGGTTCAGCTGACATTTTCAGCTTGCTTTGCATCCGTGACGATAAACAGAACTTCTCAATTGTTCCTCCTTCAAGCTGGGCAACATTTGATTGTATGACAAAATGCTTTTATCTATAATATCTTATATTCTTTTCCTCAAATTCAATGGATAAAAAGAGTCCTTAGAGAATTATGAAATTGAAAGCAAGTAAAGATGTTTCACATTTTACACAGAATTTGAATACATTAAATGACACACACATATATATGTTTGCAGAGGTGTGTCAGTGGTGTAAGTTTGTAGATTGTTCAGCTAGCCCTTGGTGTTGATGTCACAAGATTATAGTTGCAAATGACATTGTTATGTGGCACGAGCATTGAGCTACGTAAGTTTGGTGTGTGCTTCGCTTCTCATTTCAATTTTTAACAATGTGATTTCTAGTTTCATATTCCAGTTATAGCATGTTTGAAATGTGCAGTATTTCCTTAAAGGAACTTAAATTATTTTTTGTTTTCGCAGGTTGGTTTGAGGACCAAGTTTTGAATCAACACACTGCCGCAGGATATAATTAAATTAGACTTTGCATCCACACCACTTTGTCATTTAGTAAAATGGTTTATTTGCGTTGTAATTCGTGGTTCATTTTTCTTACAACAATGACTAATTTGAAATGAACAAAGGGATGGAGGAAATAACAGTTATATTTATTTATTTTCATTCAAATGCAAAGACAACGTTAGCGTTGAATTGAATTTTGAGTTGTTAAACAATCAATGATTAGTTCTCTTTCTTGCCTGAAACACCCAGAAATTTTACTGCCAGCCAATCATGATAGAGAATCATATATTATAAAATTACCAAACAATTGTTAATTTAATTTGCAAATCTCTTATACTTTATACTTCAACTTTCATATTGTTATTTTAAAATCCATAAAAAAGGGTCAAATGTTATATATGATTATATCCACTTTTCATAAAATTTTTATCCTAAAAAGCTCAAAGATAATTTTAAATTATTTATATCACCATGAAAAGGCCTCATCCTAAAATTCATTTTCGAAGGTCAACGACCAAAATAATTTAAAAAAGCCGTTTCATTTAAAATATGATAAGGGAAAGGTTTGAAGTTGAAGTAATCAATGGACAACAGTTACACTCTCTTCCTCAGTTCTCCTCTCGCGATGGCTCCATCCGTTAAACGATGCCGTTTCAGTTGCTGTGCCAAAGCGCAACAGCTCCAAGAAATTCGGGTGTGCACGAACCGCACGTGCCGCAGACAGGGCTCATTTCAGACCCTAGAAACCCTCTCTGGCCTCGCTCCGCCAAACGTCGACGTAAAGTCCTGCGGTTGCTTGGGGCGGTGCGGCGGCGGCCCCAACTTGGCGGTCCTCCCTGACGGCCTCATCGTCGGCCATTGCGGTACAGCTGCTCGTGCGGCGGAGGTCATGGCGGCTCTCTTCGCCGGCGGCTATGACGCCAAGTGTTGTTTGGATGCGCTTGCTTTGAGGAAGAGAGCGGATGTTGAATTTGCGAAGGGAAATTTCGCTGATGCTGAGCTTCTTCTCTCACAGGTATTTGCACGCTTTTTTATTAGGAAACTGATTTGGTTCGTGAATTTAGAGAGAAACTGATTGTGCCATGCTATATTTTGATTTTGAAAATAATTGATGCAGGCTATAGATTTAAAACCTTTTGGTGGCATACATGTCATTTTCAAATGCAGGTTTGTTGATTATGCATCAGGTTTCATGATTATGGTTTTGTAGTTTCATAGCCATTCTCTATCATTCCCAATTCTGAAAAACACAAATTTTATTTTGGTGTGCTTGTGTTTCCAGTTGAAATAACAATGTTTTTATGTAACATTCAGGTCATTTGTAAGGCTGGAATTGGGTAACTACTCTGGTGCCCTTGAGGATGCTAGGGAGGCTTTGGCATTAGCTCCCGGCTATTCTGAGGTCACTCAAATTCTTATATTCTTTCCTAGACATTTGAGGTGGTACTGACTTGTCAATTCGTCATTTCTGGGCTGATATTAAAAGCTTCCCTTTAAAGACTACGGGTTCATGATTGATACCCATGCAGAAAAACAGCATTTATTTGTTCATTCTCTTGAAAGCTCACCAGTTTATCAATTATAGAGAGTGCTATACTTAAAATAAAACAAATGAAAAATAAACTGTTAAATGTGGAGCTACTTTGACTTTTGTCAAGGACCAGGGATTAGGTAGGTGTGGCTTATAACACGGATTGAGATTGTGAAAAGAGTTGGTTTGATTCCCACTAAACATACTTGTGGGAAGGGGTGAAGTGTCTTAACTGTGCCTAAGCCCCAAGTCCAGAATAGTCAGCACCAATATGATGACTAGATACCGGATGGTGCAAACCAAAAAAATAAAATAAAATTCCAGGGATTAGGTGATTAATCATGTGCTGGCATTTGTGATCACTCTGTACAATCATTAACTTATCTTATTGGGAAAGAATGTATGCCTTCTTGCACACTCAAGATAAATATGCTCATAATATTTGAGTGATAAAGAGTATAGTCTCTGAATTAATGAAAAATTCTGTGGAAAGGTGCAACCCGCAAGGGGTTGAGCTTTCTCAGCATAAGAAGCATGTTGAAAATTTCATCTTGATTTTTTTAACCACCTAAGTTTCTTGACCCTTTGGAGGTCCACCTTTTCATTTAAGTACCCAAATGCGAATTCAGTCTCTATGCACTGTTCCCCAGTTTTAGGCAGTTGGTGAAAACTATACCTTCTGATCATTTACCAAAATCCCATGATAAAATGCCATAGCTAGAGATTTTATTCCTGACTGATATTACCTTAATTTTATTTGCCTATCACCAGAGTGGGAATGTTCATTTTTCTCGTCTTTGTTGTGCCTATGTTTAAACAAACTGTTATTCTGTTAAAACTTATGATTTCAAGGTTCTCATTAAATTAAGCACTCTATTGTTTATTTTTGTTATTTCACTTTGCAGGGTTATATTTGCCAAGGTGATGCCTTTTTGGCATTGAACAAATTTGATTTGGCAGAGCAGTCATATTTAGCATCTATCGATATTGATTCTTCAATTCGTCATTCTAAATCATTCAAGGTAGCATTGAATATTTGACTTTCGGTATTCTTATCATATGTATTTATTTGTAGCATAAACAAACATCTGTGACTTTTGGTAAGGAAGATGTAGAAAAACTGATAAGTAAGAAAACAGATTGTATTTCCCCTGGATTTTGTGAGCTATGCCAAATATTAATCTAAATTAGTAAAAGTAATCCTAGAAAGAAATGAAAGAATATTCTTGCTGGATTAATATCCTCAAAAACACGGACAAACTCAAAAGAATCCTATAAGCATGGACAAACTCTTATTTTTTTTATGATTTAATTAAAAATGGTTGTCATACCTTGTACTGTTTTGAGAAGTGAGAACAATATTGAATTTTCTTTTCTGCAAGGTCTCTTATTTCTCCTGTCGTTTCTGGTGTCTTTGTATCCTGTTTGGCTTTGCCTTTCTGGTGTCTACTGGAATAATCATTGTTCATTACATTTAAATTTAAGCAGGCTCGGATATCAAAACTTCAGGAAAAACTTGCTGCTGTCAATACACCATAAGATCTGACTGGTAAATGAAAGTCCAGTTAATTCAATTACATCAGAAGGGTGAGAAAAATTATCTACTGTTTACAGGTATTAAAATGTCTTTTGTGTTGTATTTAAACTTTTTGGTCTCAAATATCAATTGATCATTGCTATAATATCTTATAGTATTTTAGAATATCATAGCATGTCTTTATAATACCCCAGAATATCGTGGAAAATATTTATAATGTATGGCGGAATTAATAGGTTATATAAATGATGAAGCTGTATTACATGTTTCCTAATTTCATTATGTTTCTTGATTTGTTTCCTTGATTAATTAGGGTTACTAGGCTTATTGTATTTCCTAATTCAGAGTTAATAGTGTAAATAAAACCTTATTTTAGTGTTTTGTTTCACATCCTTACAACTAAGAGTTTAACAAGAAAATCCAAACATGCATTTTATCTTTGAAACTTGGTGGCTATGACTTGCTGCAATCTTTTGGTATTTCGGCTGCAACTGGCATGACAGAAAGACCCTCTTGTATTGGCCAAAGGCTGCTGCTGCTCCATTCAACACTGATGCTGCCCACACGTGAGTAGACTAATAACTTGTGAGGCCTTTGTATTTACTTTGCGAGGGGGGTTGGGTGGCTTTGTTGTACAAAGTTAATACTTTTATGTAGACGAGCTATTGGGACCCCCCCCCCCCCCCCGGTTAAATGATGAAATCGGCAGCACTATTAGGATAAGTGATCAGATATGCAGCATTACTCTCCTGCATGTTATAGTTTTGGCATATTTGACGATTTCTATATTTTTCCTTATTTTTACCCTCACCCCAATTTTGTTCATTCTTTACCTTCCGAATCACATATTACAAAAGCTTCCTAACTCATACCATAACAGAAAGCCGCACAGTCTCCTGTGATTATTAAGACATTAAAAAATGGACTACCTGATGCACGTCATCTAAGAATAATTTGATTCTTAAAGGTAATAATGTGCGCTTCTAATATGCTTAAAGTTCAAAACGACTCTGATCCTATTTGCTTTCAACGTCTATTTGCATTAAATACAGGGAATAACGTTTAAAAGCTTGGTTATTTCCTCAACATTGCTGAAATTGTATTCAATTCTTCTTAGCTCTTATTCGATTTATTCTTTTTTTTTTTTTTAAGTTAGCTGTTCTTTTAGAGAAAATCTATTAACGATCTTTTTCTATTATTGTAAACCTCGAGAGATAACATTATTCTTTTTGTTTCTTTTTTATAAGTGTAAAGTCTGGAAATGTTTGATTGAAAGAATGAAGGGGTTTTAGTATGAAAATGCTTATACAACAATACATGAGTTTGTGAAGAAATTTTCCTTGTAACAAGTTCATATACGGAAATTTCCAGCATTTTATTATGGATTGGACAGTCCTAATTGTTAGAGGTTAACTAAATGTATTTTTATGTGTTTATTTTCTCTTCCCTTCAATTGAATAAGAAATCGAATTATGATTTGATGAACTATATTTTTTTTAACATAGTTGTTTCAAGAAAACTGCATGTCAAAACCTTAGAAAACTCGCGTTTTTCTAGTAGACAATTGTATTTTTATTTTTTTTTAAATAAGCCCTTAAATTAGTCATCGAGATTGAAGGAATTACGTTATCATGATTTGTTTTGTTGGAAAATGGTAATTATGCTACACTATGACATTGTCTAATTTTCATTTTTTTCAAAGAAGGAAGAAGATGACAAACGCACACACGCTGAATTCATTACAACGTATGATGATAATCTTATTGTAAGAAGAAAAAACACTTACTCTGAGAGAAACCTATTTGTCGAATAGGCTCGCACTTTTTGTGAATTTTGGGGCAGTTGTGCTCGTGTGGAATTTATTCATGAACAATGAACCGTTGTGACTTGTATTAGAAACGATGATAAACTAAAAATCGATGCATCTTCTTATGATACATTTGTGTCAACGAACAACGCTGACGAGATTTGCAATGCAATGTATTCTAACAAGCGATATAAGATGAGCGACAACTTCAAATTCTTTCTTAAGCGCATTTTCTAGTAGATCTGTTCAAGTACAAGAACAGGTTGAACCAGTCTTTGATTGATTTCTCAATTCCTTTCGTTGTTTGAGTCTTGAGAAGTATACTTCACCCAATCATCTCCCATTGAGTTTCAGTTAGCGGTGGGTACATCCAATATAACTTAATAATGTAGCTTTTGGGGATTTAATTATAAATTTTTTTAATTGCAATGACTTAATAATAAAATTATCATAAAGACTAGTTGAAAATTATTGAAGTGTTTATTAATTTGACTAAAAAATCAATGTTCTTATTTCATAAAAAAATTTACATTCAATAAAATAAATATTTTGGATGGTGAAAATTTTTAATATGTAAAAATAATTTATAAATTATTGCAAAAATTCAATAATAATAATAATAATTGTCGAGGGGTGATCAAAATTTAATGGTGAGAACTAAAGCAGGTAAAATGAGTTTACCAGTAAAATCAGGTCAATTAAATCTCATAAAATATAAAATTTAAACTTTAAACTTTAAAAATTGGATGTGTTAAAGGTTATACCATTAAGTTAAGAGAAGAGTAAAAGTAATAAGAAAAGATGGATTGGGCTTGGGCTAGGATCTAAGATTTTGTTAACAGGTGAGTGAGACTGAGCTACATCGCAGAGAGGTGGAAGAAAGGATGAGGTGGTGCAGTGAGGTGATGAGTGTGTCAGGGTCAGGTGCCCATCCACTCGCTCCTGTCACTGCTTCCTTTTGCAACAAAAGTCTTGTGTTGCAATTCCACAAGCCTCTCTTCAAATTCAAATTCACCTACTCCTCTTCTCTCGCTCTTACCCATCGTAAGCTGCTTCCCGCTGCTCAAACCCAACCTTCAGCTTCAACTTCAACTTCCAGCGACCACGATTTCGTGGTCGTCAATTTCTACCATTTTGTGTTCATCGAAGACCCCCTAGCTGAAGTCGCCAAACACCATTCTTTCTTGGACTTTCAGGTTCGTCTCATTTTCTTTTTATTGTTGCCGTTTTATATCATTTTACTTGGTTTTTTTAATTTTAATTTTCCAATCGCCAAGTGCATGAAGAAAATTCATACTACTTTACATTATTTTAATTCTGGTATCCAAGTTTTGTTATTGGTAAATCATTTTCTTCGCGAATGCATTCACCCATACGTTCATGCTCTAACAATGGTTAATTTGATGTTCTTAGTTGATAACGACAAGATAATTGTTTGTCACAGGTATAACTTTTTGTCTTTTGGCAGGGTCTTGACATCCATGGAAGAGTCTATTTGAATGAACAAGGGATTAATGCGCAGGTTAGTTTTGACATCAATGTTCAATGAGCTTTGAATGAACATTTTTAAATGGTTTACATTTTAGATTCTAATCATCTTGCATCGTAAATATTTACTTAACGTACTACAATGTTTATAAATTTTGCTACAAGACTTCCTTTCAGTGTTTCAGTGTCCAAATATGTCCTTCTTATGTGATATATTACTGCAGTATAGTGGGCCATCAAAAGATGCTCTGGCGTATGTCAACTGGTTAAGAGAGGATAATAGGTTTTCTGACATCTTGGTTCAGATATCTCCATCAGAAAATGGACATACCTTTCCGGCATTGAAGTTGCGTTATAAGCCATCATTAGTACAGGCAAGCCATAGTAGTATGCAATAAAATATTCTTACAGATTAAGCTTGTTAGCATTGGCATAGCTGTATTGTTATTTATTTATTTATTTATTTTTAGGGGTGGGGGTGGAGGTGGAGGGGTTCTCATCCAATAGATAGGACTTCCCTGTGGCTGTGCTGTATCTTTATAACAAGTTTCTACATTTCTTTATCCTCATGTCTTTAGAATGTGGCAGTAAGGCAACATTATCAACTTATGACTTCCATTTTTTTACAGTTGGAAGGTGGTATATCACATCTTCCATTGCTTGATCCTTCGATGCGGGCAAAACCTTTATCACCTTCAGAATGGAGAGATAGATTGCAAGCAATCAATAAAACTGATCTTACGTCAAAAGATTATCCTAATAGGAGTTACATTCTATTGGATGTGAGAAATGGTATAGATTTTATTGTTTCAAAGTGAATATACCTTTACTTCCTTAATTGAATTTAAACCCTCTCTCCCCCACCCCCACCCTTCCTTGTTTCTTATGTTATATTCCTAATTGGGTACTAGACTGTTTGGTACTTGAACCAAGTGCCTTTTGTAATGACCTTACGAGAATCACACCATAAAAGCTAGTTGTTATAGTTGAAAAGTCCAAGACCTAATAAGCCCTACATTAAAAAATTATTGAAACGTGCGAACAAAGTTTCACATTTACTAAAATTAGTGAGGATCAAGGACATATAAGTATGGTAAACTAGATATCTCCATTAGTATGAGGCTTTTTGGTGGATATTTAAAAACAAAACCATGAAGGCTTAGGTTTAAAGTAGACAATATCATACTACTGTAGAAATATAATAAAAAGTTCATACTTATTATAACAAGTGGTATTAGAGTAAGTGTGGGTACGCACAGTAAATTCCTAGGGTTAGGGGAGTGGAGCCTTTAATAATCTTACATCAAATTTTTTTGGCTGGCCTAGTATCTATTTTTCCTGCTCTTTTGAGATCTCCAATTCATGCTGTTAAATATGAGTATTTCCCTTTTTTTAATATATATATATATATATATATATATATATATATATATATATATATATTTTGTAGTTTTAAGTTCTAAGAATGAATACAACATCGTCATTGTTATTCAGGTTATGAGTGGGATATTGGACATTTTCGTGGGGCTCAGCGACCTAATGTGGACTGCTTTAGGAGCACTTCATTTGGTCTGTCTCAGGAAGAGGTCAGGTTATTATTTCATCTTTCAGCACCCTAATGTGATGGACTGATTTGGGACTTGATATGCTCTCATGATAAACTGAAACATCCCATCAACTTGCATAACTTTTATAATCAATGTAATGCCATAAAATCATGGCTTTATCGAATCTAAATTTCAACATTGTTATTCATGGAAAAAACATTTTTTATTTATTAAATTTTGTTATGATAAAAAGTGGCATTCTAGCTGCCATGCTGGTTTCTTTTAAAGATTTGTTCTTATTTTGCTATGAGCTTTGCCTTGATAATAGGTTGGGGTCTGTGAATCACTAGTTCAAAGTTTTTCTTTCCATTATGGTTATTAACGCACTCCTCTTCGATATGCCCTCTTTAGATCACTGCTTCAGATCCTTTATCAAGTGTGGATAAAGAAAAAACAAACATATTGATGTATTGCACTGGAGGAATTCGCTGTGATGTATATTCTACAATTCTAAGGTAAATTATTATACAAGGATTGTAATGAGTTCCTTAGCACTCTGATTAAAGAAACATAAGTAGAGAGTACTTTGATAAGAAAGAAATTATTTATTACATTGAAAACATAAAATTCATTTAGTAGTTGCTTTTTAAGCAACTAAAAAGATTTAATTGAGAGTGATGCTCCTTAACCAGTATCCTTAGGATACTTGTTAGAAAAACCCAATATTATTTCATGTGTTCTTTTATTTTTCTTTTGCTTCTTTTGGTATTATGTTCTATTTCCAGAAAACTCATACATTTCCGAGTTTGAACTTCTGTAGATCTTCTATTTTCTCTTTTTTCCATATTGTTAAATTTGATGTATTGCTTTGATTGCATGTGACAGGCAGCAGGGATTTCAGAACTTGTATACCCTGAAAGGAGGTGTTTCTCACTATTTAAAGAATGAAGGCCCGACAGAATGGGTAGGAAATTTATTTGTATTTGACTCCCGTCTGTCTCTCCCTCCTTCTACTTACTATCCCCAGGCCACAGCTGAAACAGAGTTGGCTCCAGTTTCCAGAGATGATAAGTTTGCAAAATGCTACATATGTAGTTTGGAAGTGAGTGAATTGAGACACAAAAACTGTGCAAATCTTGATTGTAATTTGCTTTTTCTGTAAGACTCCTTTCCCCGTTGAATTTGTTTCCGTTTTAACAGACTTAACCAGCCTTTTTGGTCCTTGGTGATTTACATTTTGCTCCCAATTTGTAATTAATTCATTTATATTTATGTCAAGCATGTTAACCTTTGTCTTGCAGATGCTGTATAAAATGTGTTGAGGATCTAAGAGGATGTTGTTGTTTGACTTGCACTACTGCTCCTCGGCTTAGACCTGTTTTAAATGGAATGCAAAGGTACAAAAAATGGCACATTTATCGGGATATGGATTTTCGAGGCAAAATGGAAATTTCAACTTGAACGCCCACGCCCATGTTAACCCATGGAAATTTCATTTCAACTCTCTCTCTCTCGTCATTTTCCTGCTGTGCATTGGAATCTATTGGAACAGTGCTAGTCATAACTGTTAATGAATTTCCCTGTATTTAGCTAATACCTTCGATTTACAGGAGTTGAAGTACTCTAGAATAGATGAAATAGGGAATACATCATACAATGCACCCTCGCCTATAAGTTTATACTGATGATCTGTCATGCGCAATACATCTTGCTAGAAAAGAATAATCGAAGGTTGCGACGATAACTTACTGGAATATTTAAATGTGAAATTTTGAAATTTCATGTAGTGTACGTTGAGAGAGAACTTGTTTTTCATTTTTCTGGTTATCTCACTACTCTGATTCTAATCCCTGTGTAAACTTGCAGCTAACTTGTAAAATGTTTTCAGTCATCTTAGTTCCACCTTTAGAACAAAAAGGAGGAAAAACTATTGAGGTTAATTATTATTGATCATGTGAAAGATAATGTCCAATATATGATTTGAATATTTGATATGAATATTTTGTCGATTATCTGGTTGTCAGTGACATCAAAACCTTGCCCGGATGCTATTGTTAAGGAAGGGTAGTGAAATCGCCTGGTATGCACCCTTGTAATAGCAAAATCTTTCAAAACTTCACATCAAGAGAATATGATGACCATTACTTCCTATTTTTAAAATCGGCCAGTTTAATAACTAAGATTATTCTCAGATAAAAATACAGGATTTGAGATTTAATTTAATCTCCTTAATCCTTTTAATTTAATATACTTTTTTTTCTATTAATTAATCTATTGAATTAATAAAATATATGTAATTTATAATCATCGAGTTAGGATTGATCTAACTAGCTCATTATGTATATATGATCCACCATGCCAACTAAAACAACTTATTAGCTACTAAAAAAGACACCGGTGCATGGTCCATTGATTTAATCCCCCCCTTTTTTTTGTCAAATTGATTTAATCATAGTTGAACTGTACACCGATAATATGAGGCACTTATAAAGGGTTTTGATTTTTCACTATAAGTTATTTACTTCAAATGATTAACCAATCAGACCTTTATTCCCCACTCAGTGAACACCAATGGCACACCCATATTCATCATCATCAGCCATTACACTAACACCGCCATCAATAATGACAGCAGAGCAGTGGTAGCTTCTTCGCATGTGAGCTGCAAAAAGTTCTCACGGCAGCACATGTCTTCCGATATTTCTATAAGGTGTCGACGATGAAAGAGATTACGGGGCTGATAATTGATAAATGAGAGAACAAAAAAAAAAAAAAAAAACAAACCTATAGCACAATTTTTTTTTTCATGATTGACTATATTAATTTTGAACATCTCCTATCAATTTTGCAACCTTAGAGGATAAATTAAAGATATTAGGTAATATTTTAAAGCTGATAATGCAATTATTTAAAATTCTATGACTTCTAAAATACTTGTATCAATAATAATTAAGTTGCTATAATACTAAGTTATAAAAAGATAAAATATCTTTAAAAGATAAGTTTATATAAGTATTTATTATTGTCATGTGAATTGTTTATATTAGAAAGACTAAGTATGACCCAACTCATATATCTTTCAAGGGTTGAAAGGAGAATAAAAAAGGAGAATGTAGCACACATTCCACAATACACAACAGCATACAAGTTAGGAGGATTGATTAATCACTATCACTGCAACTGAGACAGAGAGATGAACTAAACATGATTCTTCTGAAGCATACTATTGATTCATTCAAGATATTAAAAGATGTGAAACAGTGTATAACATTACAAGAGTAGGAAATCAGGAATGGCTGCATGGCACCACTAAGTGTACTACCTAGAGTAACCGACAAAGACAAACATGAAATTGGAGAGAGTAAACGAGTTAGGGAAAGAAAGGTAAATAATCAGAACTAGAATACATACAAATTTAGGGCTTCATTTCATTTACAATAACGATCAGCCTTCTTCTTGACACGATCATCAAGGGCATCCTCAACGGACTTGAAATTGATTTTGGGTTCGTAACCGAACTTCCTGGCTTCAACTGGGAACAGTTGTTCGTACTTCATTCGCTTCGCCGCGTCGATCGTGTATTCTGATCCCTGGCCCTGGCCCTGGCCCTGGCCCTCACCCTGACCTTGTTCTTCGAGGGTTTGTTCTTGGTCTTCAATGTTAGGGTTGTCGTCATTGTCCTTGTCCTTGTTCTTCTTTTTCTTCTTCTTCTTGTCAATGGATTTGGAGCGAGTGGCGAGGGTTCCACCTTTGAATGCTAATCTTCCTCCTTTCACTCGCTCGTATGGATCCGACATCGCTCTCTCTTCTCTTCCCTTCCCTTCTCTTCTCTCAGTCACTTCCTCAAGACCACAATGCAATCGCGTTTCGCTTCTTTTATATGTTATATGTTTATGGGCTTCATACTTTTGGGCCCAGTCACTTCCTACTTCTATGTCCCAAATTAACAGGCCCGTTTCTTAATCTTTCAAATTAACATTAGTTTTCTTAATAATCAATTATTCAAATAAGTCAGACTTTTTCCATTAATTATTTTAATTAATACCTAAATTTCACTAATCATCATTAAATATAACAACATAATTATAAATCCTCATCAAACTATAATTATATAAAGATAAAATAAAGTTTAAAAACCCAAAAATAAAAAATAAAAAATTTTAAATCATGTTTGATAAAATAATAGTTTAAGAGCATGAATAACTGAATAAGAAATACTAAAGGAACAAACTATGTAGGTTACAAGTATTAAATCCAATTTTATTATTTCCAATGCATTTTTAAAATTTAAATAAACTGAAAAAAGATAATATTTTTATAATTATTTATGAAAATGAAAAATAAAAGGCAAAAAGAAAACTACTAAATTTAGCTTCAAATATTGAATGGAATCAACTAAGGACCAATTTGGAATGTTTGTTAGTTACTGAAATTTTGAAATCGATTTGTAAAAGTTTTTTAATTTATTTTGTTATAATTTTTAATATTAAAATGTAACTTTACAGGTGAAAATGCGGATAGTGGCAATAATAACATGTGAAGATGAGTTTTATAGGTCATTTAAAGGGAATTGAATTTTTTTTGTAACCAATAATTAATTTTTAAAAAACTTGAGCTTAAAATATTCAAAATTACGTTAAAATTTCATATAAGTTTAATTTAACCAAACACAATTTATTTTAAAATTTACATTTAAAAATAAAAATTGAAAAAAAAAAACCTTCTTATACAAATGTTAGGGCAAATAATTTGGGTACTTTTGTCTTTCTTTTTTTATAAAAAAAGACTAAAGTATTAAATAAGCAACAATAGACAAATCACTAAATGAAAAAAGAATTAATTCATTTTTTAAGAAAATTTTAAACATATATAAAAACATTGAATATATTATAAACTCGTACATAGTTATAAAATCTAGTTGGGATATGAACTTCATATCCATATTATATCATATATGATAGGGATAATTATTAAGTACAGTACAAAGACAGGGATGGATTTAATTTTTGAACTTGGGCCTCTTCACAATCATCACTGTACAATGAGCATGATGAGCACAGTGGTCACTCACACTTCCAAGAACCGCCCTGCAATAATAACCACTATCATGCTTCATGCCCTTATCAAATGGATCATACAAATATTTCAAATTAATTGCATAGAACTAAACTAAAATAACATTAAAAAAGAAAACTCAAAGAAATTTAGTGATAAAAATTGCTATATATTTCCCTCTAATATCATTCTGCACTTTGCACTAGAATCAGCAAGGACTGGGAATTCTGGAAATGTATTAATATATAAGAAAATAGCTCATGGTTAATTAATGGATACCTTTTGATAGCTCCATAGCCATGGCTACCTAAAACCAATATTGTTGCGTGGTGTCTATCTACGGCTTCACACAGAACATTCCTAGCATCACCTTCAGCCACTTCCACTGTCACTTCATGAATCTGCATGTCATAAACCAATATTTTAAAAACAAATTAGAAAGGAAGGATCACCTATCATTGTATAACATTAAACTATGAACAAAACACAATTCAAAAACACTACTCATTGAAACCATATCAAATTTTTACCCTCCTTTTTATCATTCCTTGTTATTTAATCAATTGAAAATTTTACTTTTTGGTCCCTCTCTTTTTTCTGATTATTCATCTAATACAAAATGTCTATTTTATAATTTTTTAAGTTAAGAAAATTTTACAAAAATTATACACATATTTTTTCACATTACATTAAAAATTGTTTAAGAAAACATATTAATACATAACTGACATTATTATATAAATGATATATGCGAGCATTTTACATCAATATATAATTAATATACTCTTGGCATTATGATTAATAAAAGATGTGAAATGTAATTTGTCTGTAATAACCTAAATTATCAATTGCTTTTGTTAATAATATTTTTTTTAATACATGTATTGTTTTGAAATTTTCAAATATTTTAACATACACACCTTGCATTTTATTGTATTGGACAAAAACTTTGTGTGAAAATATAATATATTATTTGAATACTAAATTAGTTAGCTTGATATTTGATTTTAATGATAAATAAATATGGCAGTGTTTAAATAAAATCACCCTTTTTAAAACATTAAAAATTATGAGATTTTAAAAGTTAATACACCAGAAGGTCTGTTAATTGCGACGACTCCACACTTTATTATTCATTTTGATTTGTACGTTAAGTGGGTATATATATATATATATATATATATATATATATATATATATATATATATATATAACAATTGTCATTATTCAAACATTATTCTTATAAAATATAATATTTACAACAACATATGTTTTTTAGATTATGTATGAATTATATTTGTTATGTATTAATCACTTAAAAACAATATATATAATACTTAGGTAAAAAACACTACTTCTAGACAGAAAGAGAAGATAAGTACCGATCTACTGGAACAAATTTGCATAGCCCTTTCTATAATTTGTTCAGCAATCACTTTCAGCTGCACTTCTACTGCAGGAAAAATTTCAGACCCTAGGGCCCCTGTTCCATCAACATGTACTTTAGTACTTAGCACTTTACCTATATACACAATCAAAATTAATTGGTAAACATAAATTATTGCACTAAGTAATAAATATGACAAGTGTAATGCGATATCATCAACAAACAAAATGAAATACAAGTATATAATTTGTAGATGCAGAGAGAAGCATGTTATATGATCATGATGAGTTTTTAGTGTGTTTAATTTTTTTGTGAAATTTAAAATCATTTCAATGCTACAAGTTAAAGATAGGAGAATAGTTTACCAGGTCCTGCCATGCTCACAGCAAGAGGTGGAGAGGGTTTGGCATTGACAATAACAAGACTGAAAGGAGCATTTGGAGCAAAAGGAGTGAAGAAATGTTCTAAGGTCCACTCCAAGGCATAGTTGCTGTGCTCATGCTCATCCATCGCCACCACCATTACTCGTTTCTCTGAAGAACTCGCCATTTAATTTCCAAAACACAACTAAGCTAATAAAGACACTATTAGTCTCATCAATGTTGCTTGTCTATGGGAGTGGTATATGCATTTGTACAATCTAATGCTAATATATATATATAGCAAATTTGACATGTAATTCTTATCTCTTTTTTCTTTTAATCTATCATTTTATTTATATCAATCAAAATATTTTTTTTATGTATAGATTAAATTAAAATGTAAATCAAGCACAGGAACTAAAATTATGAATTGACCCTTATTTTTATTAAACAAGTTTGTGAAATAATCAATTAAGAACTATAAATTAACTAAAATAATTAGGCAGATAATGCTAATGTTGTGAGAAAGATGCAATAAGTTTTTTCAAGTAAATTCTTTGCACAGATTTCTTATTAAACATTATTTTCGTTAATTTACCTTAAAAAAAGAGTGGAATTGGATTTTGGTATTCTGAAGGGAAGATATTCCGATTATAATATGACTTCTTAAAATACAATATTTTGCTAGTCGTGAAAAAAAAATATTATTAAATAAAAAGGATTTCGATTATGGAATTATAGTTTATCTTAAATAATTGGATATGGTTATTATTAAAAATAAAAGCATATAATCATTTTTAAATACAAATAATCAAATTTATAACCAATCATGATGAATCATAGAATATTTAAATACTCATACAACTTATGAAATATTTAATTTTTTTAAAAAAAATAAAAATTTCAGAGTTGTCAAAATTATATATAGTCGAAATATTTAAGTAATTTAACAATATAATATGTGATTCCTATGGTTTGCTTCCCACTTTTAACAATTTCAACCGAATTCGTCAATGTCCTTTACTATTTTTGAAAGGAGACAATAAGTAATTGCATTGTGTTATTATATTTCAAATGTCCTTTGTTAATTATGAAAAGAAAAAAACAATTAATATGGCCGTTATTTAAAAAGAAATATTTTGATACATTATGCGCATAGTTTCGTTTCAATAGTTTTTATAAATTATTTAAATATTCCGTTGTTAACCTTTACCTGTCTCTAAGTAACAAAACAAACATATAAGATGAAGTAAGGAATTAAAGAGATAGCTCAAATATTTAGTTTAATTATCTTTATTTTATTATTTCTCAATTTTAAAGGGAAAGAAGAATTATAATTGAATAAGGAGAACTTTTGTTTAATTTCATTTTTACTCTTTATATTTTGGTTTACATGTGATTTTAGTCTTTTTATTTTTAATCACCCACATTTAATTTCTTAATTTTTTTAATCATTCAAATTGAATTTTTCACTCCAAAATTTCATCCAATAATTTGCAAACCTATAACATATTATTGATTTATAAAAATTTACAAAAAGAAATAGAATAAAAAAATTTCTTATATTTTTTCTTTTGCTAAGTTATACAAATCAATGATATGTTACACCTCTATAATATATTTTTTTTTAATTATTGGCTTAAATTTTAGGATGGAAGACTTTTTGAAAAGTTAGAAAAATTTTAAAAAATTACATATACGTTAAAATACAGAAAGAAAAAAAAAATACAGTTAAACTAAGAACTTTCAAAAAAATTTCCCTTTCTTTACCTTCAACCAAACACCGTGGATTTTCCTGTGAATAACTTAATTCAAATATCCGGCTGCGCACCTTGATTTTATTTTTTGTATTTTGTGGGTTAGAATTCTAATGATAATTTATAATGGTTTGGAAGCATCCCCCTCTTTGCCTATTATTGCCTTGAAACGCAAGCTGCTCTGCTTCATTTTCTGCTTTCTACTCCTATTTTGTTCTCAAGAGCCAAGACTGAAAGGTTAGGAAGCTGGAGTAAGAAACCGAGTTTCCTTCTTGTGTATGATCACATATAAATATAAGTAAAATTTTTTATAAGAAAAACCTTGGTTTTTTTCTAATACCTAATTTTAAAAATAAAAAGATAAGTTTAAACAAAAACCTGAGAAGTCACAATTTTATATGCTCAGGCAGCAGCAAGTGGCACAAGAAAAATAATTTTTTGGCCAATGGGTGATTCTATCTCCACCCTCCATTTTCTCACCAGAAATCTTGACAATTGCAAATTCCATTCTCAAAATGATGAAATCGACTTGCATCTCTCACTGTTATCTTCCTCCTTGTTATAAGGGTCATAAATTTTATACCAGTATGGCAGTCTACACATACACGCAAATTTTTAGTAACTAGAACATGGTCACTAGGGTTGGTATTAAGAATTCCAAATGCAATGGCTATTTTTTCACTATGATAAAGGAGAATCTGTTCCTTCTCCTCTTCTTCAACATCCTGGAGAACCAAATTAGGATCTGCACGATATCCCAATTTTTTCATCTGCACTAGCAATTCCTGTAGCTTGTTATTTATGGATGCTGATTGAGGATGGGATTGATCCCCACCAATAAATCCATGGATTACCCCAGATATCTCAATCCAACTACATCCTGGGCTTTTCTTGAAACCGTGATGCCTTTGTATGCTTCTAATATGTGCTGCATCATCCCATCTGCCTACAGAACTATAGATGTTAGACATAAGAACAAAATTCCCAGTACTTTCAGGCCCAAGTAGCTGAATCTTCTTTGACACTCGTTCACCCATTTCAATATTTTTGTGGGTCTTACATGCAGCAAGCAATGCACTCCATACACGAACATCAGGCTCAAATGGCATCCTTTGAATAAAAGAGTATGCTTCATCCAAGTTTCCTGCTCGGGCCAGAAGGTCTACCATGCATATATAATGTGCCATCCTTGGTGTGATGTTGAGGTTATGGCTCATGGCACTAAACCAATGTTTCCCTTCTGTCACGAGCCCTGAATGGCTACATGCTAATAAAACAGCAATAAAGGTCACATCATCCGGCTTCAAGCCTGATGCTTGTAATTCACGAAACAGTGAAAGTGCATCCATGCATAGCCCATGAATGCCATAACCAATTATCATTGCATTCCATGAAACAATATCCCTATTTTGCATTCTATCAAAAACTTGCCGACTGATATGAATTTTCCCACACTTTGCGTACATGTCAATAATGGCATTACAAATGGAGGTGTCTGCAGCGAAGCCTTGAACCACCGAGTATCCATGGCAACAAGCCCCGTGTTGTAGAGCGGCCAAATGTGAACAAGCTGGAAGTAGACCAATCATGGTTGCTGAATCAGGGTCGGATCCAGATAACTGCATCTGGCGAAAAATAAGTAAACCTTTCTCTGCATGCCCATTTTGCACAAAACCTGAAATGATAGCATTATAAGAAATGGTGTCTTTCGTGATCATTTCATCAAGAAACTCAATCGCATCTTCCATAATCCCACACTTGGCATACATTGATATCAGTGAGTTTCCTACCATTGTGTTTAGACTCACCCCTGATTTAATCATGTAACAATGTAAGTTTTTCCCTTTATTCAAATCAGTGAGCTTTGCACAAGCTCGAAGTATGCTTGCAAGAGTGACCGCCGAGGGGTTCAAGCCATAGATGCATACCATGTCATCATAAAGTCCCAAAGCATCTCTCATGGAATCACAGATGACATACCCTCCAATCATAGCACTCCAGCATATGTCATTCTTTTGGTTCACAGTATCGAAGATTTTCCGGGCATAAGATAAGTGACTGCACTTAGCATACATATCCAAGAGCCCCGTGGCAACAACCACATCACGAATGAAGATTTTCCTAACAGAATAAGCGTGAATAGCCTTCCCCAGCCCCAAGGCATTAGCTTGTCCAACTGTGGGTAAAACACACACAACAGTTGAAGAATTAGGGGTGATTCCAGCTTGCTGCATTTGGACAACTAACTGCATTGTTTGATAGTGAAGAGCATGAAGTGAAAATGCAGCAATGATGGCATTCCATGCAACAATATCCCTTTGGGACATACAATCAAATATCGTTTGTGCTTGAAACAAGTCCCCACATTTGGCATACATGTCAAGCAACGCGGTGGAAACATAGACATCGGTTTGGAGACCAAGTGTGAGGGCATGATCGTGTATTTGTCTACCAACTTGAATTGCTTGCAAAGCTGAACAGGCTTTGAGAACAAAAGGGAAGGTGAAGTTGGTGGGTGTGAGACCCAGATGCAGCATGCGATGGTACAAGTGAATGGCTTGTTGAAAGGGGCCAGTCCAAGCATAAGCTCGAATCATCATGTTCCACAAAATAACGCTTGGTTTTGGAATTTGGTCGAACACGTGGCGAGCATGTTCTGTTTGATTACGTGAGACATAGAGACGGACAAGGTTGTCAAGGATAAGTGGGTGTTGTTGATGAGGTACGTTGTTCCATTGAGATTGAGAACGAGAATTGGGTTCATGTACGTTGTTGACATGGCGGTGAGTTTGGGTGTCAATTGAGGAAAGTTGGTTCTTATGGTTTCGGATCAAAGCTTGTTCACGTTTCAAGCATCTTCGCATTTTATTCCTTGCCCCACCCAACTTCAGAAGAGAACGCTGATTTTTCGTTTCTTGTTTTCCTTACTAGCGAATTTGTAATGGGCATGCCTTCCACGTATAGAAGAGCCGTGCTACCAACACTTTTTTAATATATACTAAGATTGAGACTCATAATTTTTAAATAAATTTTAATTAACAATTTAAAAATTATTTATTAAAAAATATATTGTTAATAATTTTTTTAATTAAAAAATGTTCTTTGAACTTGGTAAAGGTGGAAACCATTTGGTAAGATAGGCTTTAAAGTTATGGTCAAGTTTGGACCATTTTCAATGGATATTTATATAAAACAAGAAAATAATACTAATAAAATAAATAAATTTATTTTTATAAGTTAATATTAACTTATACTCTTTTATTTTTTAAATAATTCTTTCAATTAACTTCTTCAAAATTTATAACTTAAAGTATATGGATTATTTTTAATTTATAAAATAAGTCTTATGCATATTATCTCTTTATTTTTTTTTCACGTAAATAGTTATTTAAAAGCTTATCCAAATTGAATTTGTGTAAGAACAACTAATATATTAAAAAAAAGTCAAGAAATTAATAAAGTTATTTAATAAATAAAAAATAATTTTAAAAAAATTTATTTGAATTAATATTTTATTTTTAAAAGTTAGCTATCAATAAATATAACAATTTTATTTTAATTATTTAAATATAATTTTTTAATATCAGTTCTTAGTTTTTAGTTTAAATAATTAATAATAGTAATATTTTACTGAAAAATATTTGTTACACTTTTTAATCTCCATTATAATGAATTTTATTTCTTAATAAAATTTATTATTTTATATATTTAAATTTAATTTTAATATTTAAAGTTAATAAAATTATTTTAAATAATTCATACTCATATAATAGTTAAATATTATTTTTAATTATTTAAATCATCGGTAATAATTATATAACTATTTTTATCAATAAGCCAGATTTAATTAACTAACTATACAATTATAACCTTCTAATTGACTTCTCAACTAAAAATGTTTTAAGCTGTTAGCAAAAAAATGTTTCAAGCTAGTTTTAAAAGAGGAGCCCAGCCCATGTAATGTATCCCAACTGTTGCTTTTACATGACCAAAACAGAAAACAAAAAACAAAAGATTTTGTTTTTCCATTTTTTTTTCTTTGAAGATTTTTGCGTGAAAATGGGAGTGAAAAAAAATTGAGTTAAAATTTAGTGTATTCTAATGTTAAAATTTTTATATTATTAATTAATTAAAATATATTGTGAATATATTTTTTTATTAATTATTACAAAAGTCAATAATTTTTACTGTTATAAGAATTTATAATTGGATGATAATGTAATTTTTTTACACTATATTTAAATTAAATTTATAAAATAATTTTAATATAACAAAAATATATTTTCTCTTCTTTCAAGTCATTAAATATTTAAAAATAATAAATACATTCTTATATAGTATTTTGAAAGACTGAGACTCCAATACAAGCTAAATAATATATTTTGCTAACTTTTTCTTCTTCTTCTATTTGGTTGCCTTTGACAGGAGGCAATATGGATTTCTTAATAATACAATATGTCTTCTTGTGTAATACATTTTGAATTAGTGAAAAAAAATATATAAATAATATGTATTTTTATTTGATTAAAAAATTAAATAATTTTTATTTTTAAATTTAAATTTCAACATATATTTTTAATTTTTTCCTTATGATCTGAATATAATATTGATGACAACAATCATTTAAATATTTTGTGGTATTTATCTTATTTGGTATGTAACTTTTTTTTTAAATTCGAGACATAACCTTTGAAAAATTTTATGAGAAAATGAGAGTGAATATAAACTATGAGTTTAATTTAATGCATCCTAATATAAAAACCTTTATATCATTTAGAATATTATAAGTATAATTTTGTTATTAATTGTTATAAAATTTAATGATTCTTATTGTTATAACAATCCACAATTGGATAACAGTATAAAAAACATTATCAGTATATTTAAATTAAATTTATAAAATATTTTCCAAAATAGATTTAATAACAAAAACAATATTTTTGCTTATTCCAAGTCATTGAATATTTAAAAATAAGAAAATCATTCCTAATTTATACAATACTTAAATATATTATATTTTGAAAAGAGTTTCTATATAAAGTTGTTTTATTAAAAATTGACTTATTAATTTATTTTTATAATTTTAAACAAAACCTAAATTTACTAAATGGATTTCATAATTTTAATTTCAAAATTTAATTTATTATGAAAATATTTTGTTAAAGACCCTGAAAAACCAAAAAAGGAAACGAGAACAAAGGAAAAAAAATTATTGAAAATAGGGAATGTAAAAGGCTTTGGCTTTATTGAAGTATTTTGAAATGATAATCTTGTGTTGCATAAATGAGTATCACGCTCCCTCAATAAATTTTCAAGGGTTTGGCTTTGTTGAAGTCAAACTGTCCATGGTCCTATCATTTTTATACCAAGTCTTCATTTGTCACTTTTCCAAATTACTTACTTATTGCTGCAAGAGCAAGTTTCTTGCTAACTAAGTTTTCTTACTATCTATTTAATGAGGAGTTTAATTATAAGAAGACTCTGAAAAAAAGTATCTATAATAATTCAAATCTTAATAATGAAGAACCATATTTGAATTTGAATGGAAAAGTGCATAGACTCTGAATACTCCACCTGTGTATATCACATATCATTGTTAACTTGTTCATTTTGTATACTAAGCTTATTAAATAGAACGTTAATTCTCTCTTCAACTAACAAAAACCAGAGATCTAACGTTTGACTATTACGCAAGCTTTTTATTTAGCTGTTGGTGTCAACGCACCCTTAATATAATTTTAAATAGAAAAACATAAAATTGTATTTGCTATTAATTTAAAGTTTGTTAAGTTTTAAGTTTATGATTTGTTTTAATTTAAATAAAATGATAAATATATCCTAATTTTATCACTTTACACACCTATTCACTTATTTATTTAATCATTAGAACTGATTCAACAGGATGACGTCTTCGTTGAAATAAAGCATAAACTAATGGTAAAAGAAAAAAAAAATCCATCTATTGTGTGCACATGCTGTAAACTATCAGAGAACTTATCAAATATTTTATATTATTTTAAAAAATAATTATTTTTAATGTTTTATTATAATAATAAATTTGTATCATGTACTTATGGACACAATAAAAAATCTTATGAAAAATAATAACATTGCCTGAAACAGTTTTAACTTGAACAACAATAACGAGTGATATATGGTAATTCTTTTTAGGAAATAAATGTGAGAACTTCTGCATTGAATTCACGAGACATGGCATTTTATTCAAAATAAAAATGTCCTCTATAAGATAAAAAAAAAAAGGATAAAATTGAAGTACACCATCTTATATATATTTTTTGAGTTAGTTATTAATTAAAGTTAAAAGTTCAGCTCAATATTAATATATATCTGTAATATTTTTTTTTTATAAATGATTAAAATAACACTGTAACTTCAATTTAAAATATTAGCATATGTTTGATTTAATTTGTGTAAAATATAATCATTTATTTCAAACACATACCTAACTTTTGTCTGATAAAAAATATAAAATAAAAAACAAAGTGAATTTACTGTTAATTTTAATTGAATTTATAAAATATTTTAATATACAAATTTAATTTAAACACAAATAATATAAATGTTTTTTTACCTACTAATAAATTATAATATAAATAAAAATAATAATTTCTGTATTGAATAATATAAAAATCAACATCAACAGGGTATTTTAATTAATTAGGCATGCACTAAAATGAACATCCTAATATACATAAAAATAAACATATCACTTGATTATATATTTTGTAGATGGGCACTGAAGGAAAATAGAAAGGAATAAAAAGAAGCTTTTGATTAAAGTTGAAAAAGTATATATTGAAAATACATGGAGCCCACTAATGATGTGAAGCCACAAAAAGTATCGAAACTGTCAAAATCTGTCTGTGATGGGCCCACCAGCTGGACACCTCCGATATAAATCCAACACTGACCGTCTTCTTAGTTCATCACTTCATGCAAACTTGTTTTTTCCTTCTTCAATTTATGTTGGGAGAAAACGTTAGTTATTGCAACCAATAAATTATCAACAGCGAGTCAATGCCCGAACCACACACTTTTTTCATGATCTGCTGGCTAATATGGGAACATGAACAAGGTAAAGACCATGTATGGTGCGTTCTTGACTCCCTCTTCTAATGCTTCCAAAACTAATGTGCAACACTCCTAGTAGCAAACAAAAATAAAGACTTTATTTAACCCACCAATGTACCCCAAAAAAGACCAGACCTTACCTTACCCCAATAAGCTAGAACAAATATGGTAGTTGGCTTGGTGTGAGATTGAAATGTAACGCAGCTTCAACTTTGAAAGCAAAAAACAACTAGCTCTACCACCACCACATAAACAGCTAGCAGTTGTAAATAATGAGGCTTCTGCTTCCCATGAGGGGGCATTCAAAGTCCCAACTAACCCAAAAGATACTTCTCCCACCGGCAGAAAGAGACTATGAAGTCTGAACCACTTCTGGTAAGCATATTTAAGGATGGTAGAAGAGTAAAAGCCAGGCATCATCTGATTCACCAGGAACTAGGTGGGACAACTCAAGGAAGCCTTTATTTGTTGGATAGTGGAGCCAATAAGATTATTAACAGTTGTCACTGACTCCATATTCAGCTTGGCAGATGGCAAACTGCTCACTAGAATCTGGAATGCAACTGTGACTAGTGAACCACCACTGCTCCCTATGTTCCTATTTGCATTTGAACTCGTCGATGCTCCATCTCCTTCTTGCTCGGCCTGGCCGTCAGGGGAAATGGTAAATCCTGACGGTAGTAGTGGTATGTATGAAGGGTCTTCGCCACTCATTGCTATGTTGATGGATGGTAGATCAACTGGGCAATAAACCACTAGTGAACCAGATGAATCTATGCAGCTCTCTTGGAGTATTAACATGTTGTTCTGACTGGTGTTGAAAGCCTATATATGAGCATGGTCATGGTAGAATTTAATTGTAAAGGGAATGAAAAAAGGTTTCTATTGCAATACAAATAAAAAGGGAAAATAAACTTCAATTGGGCCATGAAGGAGAGGAAGATAGTCTTACTCTAAGAACTGATATACTGTTACCCGGGTGTGAACCATTTGCTATGTGAGCAACCTCTTGCACAGCATTACCATTGGAAAGAACATCCCACTAAAGAGACAAAAGATAAAATAAAATTAGAAAACATTTTCAAGGTCACAACATCAAGTAAGTGGATTGACATAGCTAGGTCTCAGTCTCAACCTGGGGTCTTTTTCTTTCATCCTTGAAGAAATTGAACACAGTGTGTGGAGGCATGGGGAGCCAAATGGTAGTGGCTGCACTTAGCACCACACCATTAGGTTGTCCAGGATCTGTGCTTTTCTGAACAGTGACTCTGACTCCAATTTCATTCAACCCAGAGAGCGTGGTCCATCGGTGGCCACTTGATGTGCTAATGCTGGCACAGAAATTGGTCACCATCCTTTGAGCAAGTTTCATCATGCTCCTCTTACCCTCAGGAGATGAAATTACTGGAATTCAAATCACACGTCAAGTAAGAAAAATATAAATTATTTCACGTAGATGGTGTGAATGATAAGATATAATATATATACCTCCTCCAAGATCCCCGGTATGACTGCTTGTAACCATTAGACAGTTAAGTCTTTCACACATCCTCTGAAGAGTAGCAAGCCATCTTTCAGCTCCAAATGCCAATCCACTATAAATAAGAGTTCTGTAAAGGCGATGAGGTAGAGTTTTATCTTCAATCTCTACGTGTTCAACCCAAGTAATCTACACGACAACTTAGAAGAGTAACTACAGATGCCTGTTAATGGTTTCATTATTTCATGCCAAAGCATATTATTTAACATTTAATTACCTTGGAATGCCCATTAGGCATGTCCTGGATCAAGCAACCAGAAGGACGACGATGAGACCGAAATTGAGGGGCGAAGTGGTTGTCTTGGGGAAAATCATAAGAAACATCAACTATAGCCCACGTGCTTTGCTCAATTTGCTGACAGTAACGCAGGAAGTAGAACTCCCGAGTAGAAACAAGTGGAGAAAGCACTAACAACTCTTCATACATCTGAATAAAAAAATGGTTAAATGGAAATGGGTACGAAGCATTTACTAAAAATAATAAACATATTTTATTTGCATTGCATCTTTATTCAACTTACCAACTGCAAAGAACCGCTGCAACTACCCATCATCCCAGAAGATATGACTTGAACAGTCCTTGCCGCAGAAACAATAGTAGGAAAAAGTTCCATCCACTTGTTCTACAAAATGAATTATAACATTTGAGCAATTAAAAATACATGCAAACAAGAAGAAAGTGAAAAAAAAAATAAAAATTACTGGGTCCATGAACATGTCTGCCAAAGCCAAGCTATTGATGGATACAACTCGAGAATCTCGGGATGCTTCCACGCGAACATTAGGATTCTTGGGCCGAGCGTTGGGCTTGGGGAACATTCTTTCGTAGGTATCAAAATTAAGAACATCTCTCCCGTCAGTGTTTGACTTCATCCACAAAGGTTCGTTCGTGTGCAAGAGCCTCAGTAATTCTTCCATGGCATTGGAAGCAATGTCCGACACAAGTGACTTGTCCATGTCGGAAAGGCAAGGAGGCTGATAAGGCAAATTTGGCACAGAAGAGGAAGTGCCTGCAGGGAGAAGATCAAGATTAAGGGAAGGAGCAGGCCCAGGCCCAGGCCCAACCATTCCTTGATTTCCAAAACTCGCCATGGACAAGTCCAAAGACGATATATGCATAGGCTGAACCGGGGGAAGTTGAGAAATTGGTCTTCCAATGTACTTTGCAGCAATACTGGATACTCTATCAAGCTGCAGAATTTGAATACTTACAATTATTTTTTTTATAAAAAAAAAAAGGAACGTTTTGATTTGATTATACGAATTTTAGTAATTAAAAACGACCTCTTCTTTGAGATGGGCGTTTTCCAAACGCAACTTTTGGTCATCAAAATAAGAATCATCGTTGAGAGGAGGGGCACCGCAAGAAGGGCAAATAACGTTTTTCAGGGCCTCTCTGATGGCTATGTTCTCGCAACGTATCTTGTCGTTGTCTGCACGAAGAGCGCAGTTATCGGCTCTTTCGTGCTGGGCCTTCATCTGGGTCCTGCGGTTCTGGAACCAAAATTTGATCTGCCTCGGGGCTAAGCCCAATTCTCTGCTTAACTGCATCCTCTGTTTCTCGTCTGGATGGGGGCACTCCTTAAACATTCTGAATCACAACAAAGTGCAATCATTATATAATAATAATAATTATTAAAATGAAAATAAAAAGAAAAGTGCAAATGGGGTGGCTTACGACTCAAGCCTCTGAATCTGGTTGGCTGTGTGACGATGGTAACGCTTTCTCCTTCCTTGGGAATCCGAACCATCTTGCTCCCCTGGGGACTGCGACCCACTGCCTCCGCCACCGTACTCCATTTTTACTCTACCTGTAAAAGGAAGAAAGAAATGAACGGAATTTGAAGAGATTGGTTATGGTGTTGGTAGCTACGTATTAATGCTATAAAATGATGGCATGACACAGGTAAAGAAAGCAAATTGTTTAGCTTAGCAACCTGCGAGTGAGAGTGAGAGTGAGAGTGAGAGATAGAAGAAAGCAGAGAAGTGAAGTGAATGGTGTTTTATGAGTGAGTGTGGTGAGAGGTTTTAAAGCATTGAGAGTTGAAGAGAGAAAGAAACGTGTCGTCACGAATCCTACGAAGGACGATAATGGTATAACCATCGGCAGCTTTAAATTACCTCGCCGGTCCGCTCTTCTTTGCCCTGACATATATGCCCTCACTCTTCTCTCTGTGTCTCTCTTGTTTATGCCCCTAAATTGTCTTTTTCTAACACCTAGCTATAATGTTTTAAATGAGGGAAGAGGAATAAAGAAAAATATTATTATAAATAATGCAATAAATGTTATAATAAAAAACATAAAACTATAAATAAAAACTGGGTATTAAATGAAGACTTTAATTTTATGGTTTTTTAATAAATAAATAAATATTATAATTAATTTTTAAAAAGTTGTGTACAATAAATTCATATTATAATTTAAAAAAATATGTATAATATTAAATTCTCAAATTAATGAATTATATATTAAATGAATAAAAAAATCTAATTGAATAATTTTAAATCTTTTTACAACACCTTCCACAAATTTTCTTAGTTGTTAAATGAAAAATAATTAAATGCGTTTTATGGATTTAAGAATTAAATGCATTTATATTTTGATTTAATATTTGTCTAATTAACTATTAAGAGAATATAGTAGGATGATATAATATTACTTTAGGAGTCATGAGTGAATGTTAGTTGACTCATGCAAATAAGAGTATGAAAAAAATTTAATAATCCATAAATTTTAAAAAATATTTTTATCTTTTATAATAATTACTAGTTCTACACTTTTAAAGTGCAACCCCATTAGAAAAATGGAAAATATACGGTGGAGGATTACTCGTACAATGCCCCAAAATAATTTGATCACGGTGGTTCTATCAATCATTGTTATTTTCAAAAAAAGAAAAGTTCGATATTTTGAGAAAAATTGCTAACTTTTTTCCCTGAATGATACAATTCTAATCAATAGGCACAAAAAAAGGAAAAAAACTTTTGTTAATAAGGATTTTCTGGTTCATAAAGCAATTAAACATATTCTTTTTGGTATGTGCAAAAATGGATGGTCTTTTCACTATATTGATTAGCATCATATTCTTATCAAACAAAAACGTGCGTTTATTATGTATCTATCTATCAACGGATAATTCAACCTTCCCCAAAATATGCAATTTTCTTTCCATTTTTTCAAATGCGTTTTCCACAGTGTTGCCATTGATTATGCATTCAAAACTCACACAAAAAAGGTTCAACTATTTTACCCCCTTTTTTTAAATAAAAAATAAAAACCTATCTTTGGCCTCTTATTTGTTCTTATTGAATAACCAAATAAAATGTTAATTCTGCCATCTCACGTTATGAGTTTCAGAGACTCTCCACCTTCATTTGTTCTATGTTACATGCAAATATAGGAAAATTACCATAAAGGGCTTCCGTTATAAAACCAAGATTGGGTATCAGATATCAGCATTCAAGTTTCTCGAAATTTCTTTGCCCCTATATTCAATACCAAATCTTAACTTACCAAAATCACATTATGAAATATACGAATAGATGGTAAGATCAAATCTACCAATAATCATATTATTAATGTGTTAATTTTATTTTATTTTTTGGTAAAAATATTAAGTGTTGATTGTATTGAATGTTACATATTTTTAAGGAATAATACTTGATTGGTCTACACTCCTTTAAATATATATATTTTTTCGTTATTATACAACTACTGATATTATAAAGTGATCATCATTAGCTCTCATTAAATTGAGCCTATACATTTAAACCTCAAATTTGTTTCTAGCTAGAATTTCCCAGTATCAAATTAAAATGCCCCAATTTTCTCCAACTTTTTCATTTTTCGAGGTTAGATACGTAATTTTAAGTATATTATAAAGTTTGCAAAACACTCTAATATTGTAAATATACTTAAATAGTGGTGAAAAATAAAGTTGTAAGAGAGTTAAATTGAAAGGACACATATACATAAAGAAATATTCAAGTTAAGAATTAAAGAAAGATTCATAAAGAGATAGAGAAAGGCAAAACATTGATCAATTTTCGTATCCAATTTTCTCTTTGAATATTACTACGATTTGAGTAATTGTGTATCTTGTAGTCTGAACAGGAACTGATGCAACGAAACAATTTGAATAACATTTAATAATTGCTAACGCAGATTACTTGGATAATTGAGAAATATTATGACTTAACAACAACATGATGTGTTTGGATGAGAAAAAAAAAATTATAAATAATATTTTTTTATGTTGACAAAGGAAAAATTAAAAAATAAACAAATTTGATTTATTAAAAAATAAAAAAATTCTTCTTTTATTTTTTCGATTTAAATTACTTTCTTTATAAAACAAAATAGTTTATTATAGCTTAATTTGTAATGAAATTATAATATATGACTTATTTGAGTTTATATATAGTTTAATTTTGTTTTTAAAAGAATGTCAAATATAAAAAAGCACTTTTAAGAGAAAAAAAAATAGTACTCTTATTCTTTAATTCTATTTATTTTTTATTTTATTTTTATATTTTATTTTAATTTAGTCTTCTGATTTTTTTATTTAAAAAAATTAGTGTGAATAAAATAAATACTTTTTTTTATTAGTCATCTTTGACTCTATTAATTTATATTCTTATTTATTTTTAATAATTATTATTATTATTGTCTTTATTTTCTCTCTACTTTTCTTGTTAATTGATAAAATAAAAATAATTTATTTAATCAACTCCTAAAAGTTAAAATAGAAAAATAAAACGAGAAAATAAAGAATTAAATACTTACAAAAAGAAAATAAAACACTAAATCAACATAAATACTAAATTTTCTCTCATTTATTATGTTTTCTTTCATTGGCGTTACCTTTAAGAGAGGTAAACCTGACTTTACTCTGTTTTTTCTTCTTCTTCTTTTGTTTTTTCATTTGCTTAAATACTAAATTTTGCTTAGTACTTGGTTGTCTGACGAAAATCTAAAGTTTGTGTTTGGGATTTTTGAAAGTATCATCTCTTGAACAGATGTGGCATTTGGTTAAACGATGGGCGAAATTTGATCGATTTGAATGATGATAAGATCACTTAAACTATTTAATTAAGCAATGAAGCAATTCAACGATTCAATGTGGAAATTTAGTGATGAGGGAGAAGACAGATATACAGTACAACTTATTTTGTTGGTTGTTCAATTCAATGGCCATCTTCTACCATCGTCACTAATTCCATGAGACCTATCAAATAAATATAGCATTTACCAATTTGGTAAGGAACATTTTCAGCCTTTTCATTTTACATATATACGAATAACTGACATTATAATATAAGTATGTGCATTGCTTCTTCAGCCTCCATTCTTGATTTAATTTAAATGCACTACGTATATTATATTTACGGCATTAAAGCATGCTAATCCCTCATCATAACATAACCATCTTATTCACCAACACTTCTGCACCCATTAAGTCTTAATCAGTTGTTTTTCTCCTTTCATTTGATTTGAGATGTTAAATTAAATTGTGTAATGGAAAAGCATATTTAGTTTTAATTTAAATGATCTCTTAGACTAAAATAAAACACCATTGTATATGATAAAAATAAAGATGCCTCCACTCTCTATTTAGTAGGTTCAACTATCTATTTAATAAATCTCACATACATTAATCTGAAGGCCGATCAAACAAAAGTGTTGGTTTAAACCTTAATTAGCTTAATTGTGTCCATAACAAAAAAATATATAGGCCTCAATGGCCCAACCTCAAAATAACTTTGGGCTTTGTATGAGAAGTATGATGATCAGCCCATGAGGTTTCATTAAGGAGCTTCATGATGACAAAGTAGAAAAATTAATAGACATATTTTCACTAAATTAATTTCAAAGCCATGTTCGATTTGGACCAAAACTGAAAAAAAAAAAAAATCTTGTTAGATCAATTTTCAGGGAGCAACAACTGCAAGATTTTTTAGTTCCTCGATTTCTCAGATTGAACTCACAAGAAGAAAAATTATCTGCTCTGTTGGAAAAGAAATGAGTTTTTTTTTTCTCTGACATTTACGATAATTATTTCTCTCTGTCTTTCTTTTAGCTCCATAATCAAGCTTTGTAAAACTTGATGCATTCTCTTAGTTTTTTCCCTCATCATTAGATCTCATATTTTATATATGTGAAGAATCTTTAAATTAATTGGTTAAATTTTTATCACAAAAAGCGAGTCAACAAGCAAGTTCCTTAGTTAAAGGGTTGAAAATGAACCAATTTAAATAGATTAATATTTTTTTTCCACTCACTTAATTTCACTCAAGATGGGTTTTACCCATTTTGATTGTCTTAATACCCGAAGCTGATCTACCAGGTACCAACAATGTTGCTAGAAGTTAAGTCATAGTTATGAAATTTAAGCGTAAATGCGCATTCGGCCATTATTTTGGTCATCATTGGTGGTCGAAATCGAATTTTTGTCTCATTTGTGACCTTGATCTGTCATTATTTTTTTTAATCACAACACTCAATGCAGGAATGAAATTAAAGTGAGATTAATGTATGAAATTAGAGCTTGCATATACATGTTAGTATTTTATAATAAGATTCATACTCAAAATTATATACACTACGCTAAAATAGAGATGTTAGAGCGGTTCCGTTTTAATTTAGAAAGCATTTATAACTGTTCTAAAATTTTGCGCTATCTAATATGTTGCATTTAAGAGAGCGGTTAAATTACTCTCAAATGTTGACATAAGAGAGCGGTTCTACGTGGAATTTAAAATATACCGCGAATCTGGAATTTAAAATTTCTTTCTTAGTGAGTTTTTTATTGTTATAAATCTATTTCAAACTAAAATTAATTTATTGTTATGCTCAAACTTTCTCTATTTTTATCACAAATCAAAAGTACATTGTATTAACCAAATAGTCCACATCTACAACACTATTAAGCAGAAAAAAGAAAACAAATTAGAGAGAACATAGAAAACAATGAAAAAAGTAGCAACAGATATAAAAGAAACTAACTTTTTAACGCAAAGAAGACAAAAAGAATCTACACTGAAAGAGACAGAGAACAACTTTATTAGGATAAAAAAGACGAAAAAACTTACAAAAAGTGAACAACTTTGTTAATAAGACGAAGAGATTTGAGAGCAGTTCAATATTACCGGCTCTTAAAAATATGCTTTAGAAAGCAGTTCAACACTAACAACTTTCTAAATATATTATTATAAAGCGAATCATATTAACCGCCGTCTAAATTAGCACTTCAAAAGTTCATTTCTAATATGCAAGTTAGGTATTAGAATTGTTTATTAAACCTTTAGGCAAAACCTTACTTATAAAAAAATTTGTGAACAATTATTTAAATTTAGAGTAATCACATTGCGAGTATTTATTTTCTTTAACATTCATTAAATCAGTAATTATGTTTGTGTTTTTTTAGCTCTGAAAGATAGCAAAGGTATGGATGAGATGTTTAGACTTGCTGCATTTGGCATGCCTTACAATTTGGTTCTTATGGCAGAGAGAAATTTATAACATATTTGTCTGAAGATAAATTAAATTTTTTACAATTAATTAAAGATATCTTGCATACATAACAAAATATATATTATGTACAATGAAGTTTATTCAGTGTGTGTTTGGTTTTTGGATGCGCTCCTGGGTCTGTGTTTACCTGATGGTGTATTGTGAGGACGTAGGATGTTTTTGACTTACCGATAATGTTGTTAGCAAAATTTTGTGCACACTTAACGGGTATGTGAAGTTTCAACATGTCAAACTATTTTTGGTTTGTTAGATTTGGTGTGTATTTATTATAATTGTGCTCTTGTAAAGGGTGAATAATAGGTTAATTGGTTCTTTAAGAAAAACTTGTGATTATTTATTATTGTTTTTATAATTATGATTTAATGTTAAGATTTTTTTATTTGTTCGAAAAGTAAGGGAAATATAGATGATTCCGTTTAAATAGAATTCTGAATTTTGTGCTGAACTCGTTTTCTGGAGAAACTTGTGCAACACTGGAGATGGGTGAGATGTCCACGCATTTGTCAAAGAGAAGGAAGAAATAGTGTGCACCAGTTGAAGTATAAGTGTCGTTATTATGATGACGGTGGCTATGAATCCAAAGTTAGATTTTGACAGTCACCAATCAGATGGCAGTGTAATAATTTTATCGTAGAAATTGCAGAGGCAATGCCTCATATCATATTGAGTGTTTAAGAAGGACATGACAATAAGTGGATACAAAGTAGGGAGTCAAAATTATGGTCTCTTTGCTTCTTAATAACCCCATGGATGCAAGGGATACAAACACCTCTCTATTCTTTTAAGAGATGTGAATATTCTGATTATTTTATTTTATGTTATGTTATGTTATACAGTGAATTATTATTATTGTTGTTGTTGAAACGGGTTTAAAGCTCAATTTATTCTCAAATTAGAGCTTTAAAACGATTAGGAAAGAAATATGAGATAATACATTGGCGAAGATAAATAAAAAATATTATGAGAATGTCCAATATTTTCAAATTTCAGACCCTAATAAAAGAGGTTTGACTTTGCTATAGCTGGCTTTATCTCTCTCTCTCCCCCTCATCCCTTTTTCTTTATAATTTAATAAGGTTTGGCCCCATGATATCCATGAAGAATGGAATATTAATTGTGAAGAGCAATGAGGGGTGTGAGAGAATATATTATATAAGTGAAGGAAGCAAAAGAAAAGTGGTGGGAGGGTAAAGAAACTTAGGGAGAAAGCCGCATGTTGAGATCTCACCTTAAGAATTGCTTAGAATAGAATAAAAGCGAGATGCTTACACCAACATACACGCACCAAGTGAGTGATAGAGAGCTATAACTTTCACGTCAATCTTTCTCAGTGTCAAATATTCACACAACAATGAATTGCTTCATGACACTGACACACTTCACCCCTCACCCAACTCTGATAGTACCCTCTCAACCATTAAAGAAACACACCATCTCGTACGTCCAAGAAATACTCCCAACACATTGCCAAAAACATTATTCCAGACTCAATCTTACGTTGTTGGAAGTGTCACAGACACAACATGGCCAAGAAATCAGATTTTGCACAGAAACTGCTGGATGATCTTCGGTTAAGGAAAGAACGAATGGCTTCATCTCAGACTCAGAGGTCAAACCAATCCCACCATTTGCCTATTGGTATGTTTCAGTTGATTTTAATTTTTTATTGTGACCCTTTTGGTTAATCACTCCTTTGGCTTCTGAAACTTTATTGCTAATTGTGTGTATGAACGCAGAAAACAGTCATTCAATTTAAATGAGTCATTTTCTCTGGTTATTTAACCAGTCTTCGTTGGAAGTTTCATGTTTTTTTTATGTATGTCGACTTTGTTTTGTAAATGTAATCGATTACTAACAACACGTAATGCCTCGTTGCATGCTTCATTTCACAATTTATTTTCTTCTTTTCTGGATTTCCTCGTTCACTGCCAGCATGATACATGTTCCAAGTTCTAGTAATTTCACCTACAAGTTTGTTTATTGTCATCAAATGAGACTTATGTAAAAAAGAGAAGAGAAATTGATAGATCAGCTTTAAATCATAAATAGTTATGATATATTAAAGATTAAAATTTGTAGGTATATGTTATATAATGTACTATTGAGTGTGTCACATCAGATCTGTGGGGCAATGCTGTCTTTAACTAAAACTCAATTTTTTATGTTACCGCTTATATGACATATTTAATGGTATAGAGCAAGAGATTTCTTTTGTTCCATGAGCAATCTGTTGTTGAACTTTTTGTTTCCAATCAAACATTCAACCACCTTCCCCATTTACTCAACAATACTTTAAAGAGAGAACATGCATGGACAAGTTTCTATCCATTTTAATTCCAAGCACATGTTGGTTTAAATTGTAAAATTTTTTCCAGGAAACCATTCCTTAAATTAAGGTGTTTGTCTTTGATATTCTCTTTTCTGTACTCTTATTATGCGAAATCTCATGTTTGCCCGACTGAAATTAACTTTTCTGGTTGAACGTTCCATTTATTTAAGAGAAACAAAAATTTCAACATATGGAAAAGGATAATTATATTTTGGATCTTGGAAGCACGGTGCTTGCGTCGTGCGTAGCAAAATTAATTTAACTTTTCGCCCCAAAATGACAATATACTTGTGTTTTTACATAATGAGACATTCTAATGATTGGTGATGTGTAAGAGAAAATGCCCTGTAATGTCTATTAGTAAAGAGACTTCCCAATGTTTTTTCCCCCCAGTTGATGGTTGAAATCACAGAGACAATGTATGGAATTTAGATATAGATCTGAGAACTTTATGTCATTACAATATCCGCTCATGGTAGCTAATAAACAGAAATCTTCTACTGTAAAAGAGGTTTATGTGATCTAATTTTGCCAAACATGTTCAAACAGATGCATATGCTTACACCAAGCAGACATACAGAGGATCCAGAAATACAAAAGCAAATGAAATTGTAAGATATTATTTGGTATTCTATGTATATATTAAAGCAAGACAGCAAACATTTTTGTTGGTTAAATTAGTTGATGTCGTGCAGGTCAGTTCCAGAACTGGGGCTATGCTGAATAGTTCTAGCAGAAACCACAGATCAGTGAACAAGGGACAAGTTTCAAATCAGATGGTTCCATATGGGAAAGGTCAGAGCTCAGGGCAAATGGGTGATATGTCCCTAGCCCTGGCTTTTGCCTTTGAAAATGGAGAAAAACTAAGGAGGACTGATTCAATTATGGGTTTTCTCCATCAAATTAAAAGGGGAACATTGGAATTCAGCATGTCAGAAGGACAACTAGCTTCAACTAGCCACTATCCTGTGCAACTAAATGACATATCCAGAGGTGCACGGAAGCTAAACCAGATATTGAGAACATGCACCAATGGTCTTAATATGGATACATATTCAATACAATTTGCAAAGGAACTATTACAAGGAGCTATTGATTTGGAAGAGTCCCTCAGGATGCTAGTAGACCTGCAGAAAAATTCACAGTTTATGGTTACCCCACAGAAGAAAAATCGAATCACACTATTAGAGGAGGATAATGATGATGAGGATGACACAAGGATGGAAATGCAACTGGTGGCACCACCAACTTTCTCTTTTGACAAGCATACTCGGGACTTGCAACAACTTGGAAAGGCTATTTTCATGCAGAGGCCAATTACTCTCACCAATTCTAAGGAAGCCAGAAACTCAAATAAAGAAAACAAAAATGTGAAGACACAAGTTTCTCAGAGGAGATCAACTGCAATTAGTTCTATCTCTACCTCTACCTCTAACATTAAGAATGTCAATGCTATTTCAGAAGGGAAAAACCAGACAGCCTCCAACACAGAGAAGGGAAGGATTCCAAATGTAATAGCCAAATTGATGGGATTGGACAACCTTCCTGAAAGAGTGGAAATGGAATCAAAACACACGATGCTACAGAAAACTGAAGGAATATCACACAAGCATACTGCAAAAGGAATCACTAAGAAGCCTGAACTGAAGAAAGATAACACGGTACCTCTGAAAAAGCAAAAAGTGGTAGAAGCCTTCAAAGTGCCTGCGACACAGGGTGAAGAGGTGATATATGGTCCTAATAAAAATTTGTTTGGCCAAAAGCCCATCTCTGAGGTGACTGTTCAGAATGGAAAACCACTATGGAGGGACCTGGATGGAATAAAAGCATTGAAAGGCTTTGACAAACCCAGCATCAAAATAGACAAGCATACCAAAAGTTCCACTCAAAAGAACCTTAATAGAGAAAGTCAAAATGATGTGGAAGAGAAAGGAAGAAAACAGGATCACCCAAATAACAATATTAGAGAACAGAAAGGATCTGTAAAGGGCAGAACCAATGATCTAATTCTTAACAACATGCTGGCCCAGATGGAACCAGTGCATGAAAGATCAGAAGTTAAATATTCAATTCAGGAAGAAAAGGAAATCAATGGAAATATTGTTCAGCTGGAAAAAAGACACACAAACAAGCACATCCTAAACAATGAAAAGAAGCCTCGGAACAATGTTGGAGTTCAGAAGCCGAACATACTTTCCAAACAGCTCCAGCTAAGGGAAGAACAAATGTTGATGATGAGATCACATGGAGGGAGTGACATGACATCCAAGAATTCATCAAAATCCCCTCATCAGAGGAAGCAGCTATCTACAAACCATGCCACAATGTTTAAGAAAAACTCCGGAGAAAAAAATGTTGCTGCTATGAAATCAGAAGGCCTTTTAACCAGTCACTATGATGATCATGATCTAGTCAGAGATGAAGCACCCAATGACACAAACGAGAGAGTAAAAGAAATTAACAATAGAACTTCATCAAGAGATCAGGAATTTGAACGAGCTAAACGAAGTGGCATCAAAACACTGGTGGATGAAAAACATGTCTATAAACTGGCCAGCAAGAAAATAAACAACACCAGAAAGCAGAAAATTGATGTTCCTGGAAAGATTGATCAAGTGTTGACCGGTAGAAATGGTGCAAAGCTCACAAATAAACCAGGAAAACAACACATTCCTACTTCTGACAAATTCAAAGTTTTGAATGAAGCAGAACAAGAAAGGGTTCTCACGCTTAGAGAAGTAGATCCACACATCATTAGCTCCAATGAACCAGTAGCTGTGACTCAACCATTGGAAGTGAGGCGCCAACCCCGTAAAGAAGCTCCTATGTTATCTGGTTCTGGTGGTGGAGAACTTCAAAACCAACAAGAATTGGTAGCTCGAGTTTCCAATGATTTGGTAAGCTTTTTTTGTTTTTATACTAGAATCTAAAACTTCTATACATTAAGAACAAAATATAATTTAATTGGTGAAAAGATTTCTTCCCAAACGAAGAAAAATAAAGCTAAAGTTCTCTACAAGTGGTTAACACAATCCTTGTTGTTTGAATGAATTTACAGCATTACCAAGATGTGCAATCGGTAGCAATAAATTTGAAAGGTCAGGTTGTTCCTGTGGCAGCAGAAGGATTCAAGACTGGTGAAGTTGCATTACATAGAATAAATGGTGAGCATGTATAACCATAATTTTGGGTTCAAGTTTTATTTCCTAGAAAGAAAATAGCATTTCTTGTTGTTCACTTGTGCTATGTAGTGCATTGAGAGAGAGTTCTTTATCTTTCTCATTCTTCATGTAGTCATAATCTTCCCATAAAATCTATCATAACCTTTCTTCTGGTTCAGCTTAGTAGAAGCATGGCTCAAAAACAGAACTTTTGGAGATAAATTTGTTAAATAATTTGATGGAACGAATCAATTGAAGTATTATATTTAACTCCAATTTGTTTAATATTACAGGAATTCAGGAAGACACAATGTGTGTTAACCACTCACAACTACAAGATCAGAATATTCCTGAAATAAGCACCCAACAGCCACTAACAGAAAGTGAAAACTGCCTCAAGTGGACTCTGGTGATGAGTCAATTATTCGTCAACACTGCAGAAGCGCTTTTCAGACTCAATATCCCGTTTAACGTTCTACAAGGTGGTGTTCTTCAGGAGAATCAAGACCAAAGTAGCAAACTCATATTAGACTGTGGCTATGAAGTGATGAAAAGAAAGGGGATAAGGCAGGAACTTAAAGTTCATAACTGTTCAAAGATATCAATGTGTAACATGAACATAATATCCTTAGATGACTTGGTTAGGCATCTGAATAAAGACATTGAGAAGCTTAAATTCTACGGAAGGAAAAGAAGTTGCCAAGTTGATGGTGATGACTACCTGTCTAAAATGCTTGAACATGACGTTTATGACAAAGATCCAGATATAGATTGCATGTGGGATATAGGTTGGAATGACGAGACATTTGCATTCATTGAAAAATATGATGTTATAAGGGATACAGAAAAACATATCCTTAGTGTTCTTCTGGATGAGATCACAGTAGATTTTTGCTTGTTCAAGGAGGATTCAATATGATACTGAACGGAACAAAGAGAGCCAAGGAGGGAGGGGGGATAAAGTTTTTCATGTGTACTTTTTTAATGCAATTTTGTGCTTTGTAAATTATAAGCACGAGGATTTGATTACTGCAAGTTTTCATTTGATGATTTCTAGCTTTAGAAATTCATTCTGGTTTTCTTTTTTATTATCAATTTAACATGCTTCACAAAAATAAAAACTCCTTTGTTGGTTTTTCCTTTTCATGTCTTCCCTCCCTCTTTCTTGTTTTGCTACCCCAAGAACGTAGCACCAGAACACAAGCTATAAAATGATGTCCTGTGTCATCATTCCTGAAAATGAATTTTTAGTTCGTCAATTCATCCATCTTTTCTTCTAGTGATTATTCTCTGCATCTCATATTAATTGTTTATTATTTTCAAGTATCAAAAAAGCATTTACTATATTTTTCTAATAGTACTCATTTATTAAAGATAACTTGTTTATTAACAACTAAATGTCTTTAAGATTAGTCATCTAACTACTACAATAACTTCAACTCATTTAACAAAAGCAATTTAGTAAAACTAATTATGTTTTACCTAATAATTTTTAAAATATATGTGTGTATTAATAGTAAGTGACAACGAGACAGAAAGAGTACTAATTAGCATATCGAAAATTGATTAGAAGACAAAGAAAATGTTGATGCTTCTGATTCGTGATGAATTTGACCCCGAACCTTTAGAGGATAGGCTTATTTGATCTTCTCTGGTTTTGGTGACGAATGAAGGCTTGGCCCCGTGTCTCTATCTCACTGACTAAGTACTCTGAATCGTATCGCATTCGCAAGGCTTTCTTGAACATGGCATCGTCTTCACCCTTGGGCTTTGAATTCCTGACGAAGAGGCCCTACACTCCTCCTTCATGGGCTTCCCATCTCCACCCTTTACCTTCTCAAGTCTTCTCTCTGGCCCATGTTCCCACTCCAATTCACAAATGGAACATTCCCAATTTGCCCTCCAACACCGAGTTATGGATAAAGCGCGACGACGTAACGGGAATGCAATTGGGGGGAAACAAAGTGAGAAAGTTGGAGTTCTTATTGGGCGATGCCGTTGCTGAAGGTGCTGATTGTGTCATTACAATCGGAGGCATTCAAAGCAACCATTGTCGTGCCACTGCGGTTGCTGCTAGGTATTTGAACCTTGATTCTTTTCTTATTCTTCGCACTTCCAAGCACCTTATTGATGAAGATCCTGGTCTCGTTGGCAATCTCCTCGTTGAGCGTTTGGTTGGAGCTCGCGTTCAACTTGTATCTAAAGAAGAGTACTCCAAAATTGGCAGTGTGGTTTGTGTTTCTCTTTTTCAAACTCTTTCGCTGATTTATTTATTTGATTGTTAATATGTCTAGGCCATATTTTTGAAGCATCATCTTGTTGATTTATTTTTATTGAATATTTTCTGAATAATGTTTTATCTGTTGAATTTTTTCCTTAGACACTCACCAATGTCCTAAAAGAAAAGTTGATAAAGGAAGGGAGGAGGCCGTATGTTATTCCCGTTGGTGGATCAAATTCTTTGGGAACATGGTTAGTGATACCATATCATTAAGGTCATTCTTTTTATGACACACTAAGGTATCCATTATATTGCTTATTGTTGCAAATGTAATACAAAATACTATATTTGTCTCCACTTAGCAGCTTGAGCTTTCGGGATAATTGATTTATGACATGGTCAATGAGTTGGACAATCCTTCCCCCTTAAGCTAGCTTTTGGGGTTTAGTTCGGCTTAGTTTGCTTTCAATTTTAATATCTATGCTCAAATTACTGGTTCTTTTATTAAAGGAACATACACTCTCATATTAGGGGCTACAGGTGCGTTTAATCTATAATTGCTTCAATTCAACAGGAAAAAATAAATTATTCATCAATTACAAGATTGATTTTTAAAAATGTATAACTTTTCTGATTAGTTATAAAGTAATAAAAGCCTTTAAAGGAGGTTTATATTTTTCACTGAATGAATTATTGTTTATCGGCTACTTATTTTGTGCTGCTATAAAGATTATAATTATTATTCTTAAAGATATATGGTGTGTTGATTTGCTAAAAAATGAAGGACTAGACATTACGAAAATACTTGTTTAATGTTTGATTTCAAAATTAAAAAGGGTCATGGACAAATTAAATGAAAAACAAAAGAGGAAGCACAAGACAGAAGTCTTAAAATTTGTTACTCAGTAATCCAAGTAACAAATTTTAGTCTCACATACACCATCCCAATGTGAAAAATACCCAATCCCTTCTTCGTCTCCCCAATTGTCCTCTGCGCTGAGCCCCTTTTGAACTGCATTGTTTTCCAACATGTGATCATGGGCACTGTATTATTTATTTATTTATTTTACATTATTATGATGATTAAGCTATAAGTTAATCCATTCAGGGGTTATATAGAAGCAGCTCGGGAAATTGAGCAGCAGATTCAGAGGGGGGCAGGCAATGTCAAGTTTGATGATATTGTTGTGGCTTGTGGCAGGTTCTGGTCTACTTGATTTCTGTATTTTTTTCATTAGCGACCATCTTTATATATATCCATGGGACTAGCCTTTACAACAACTTTCTGGCATGTTCTAAGATGCAATTCATAGTCAAGTTCAAAACTTCCTAGTGAATGTGAACTGAATCAGTATTATGGTTCATTTTTTAATTGAAACACTACCTTGAACCAGCATTATCTATTGAGTCATAGTTAATTTTATTTGCAGCTATGTAACATTGTGCATTTATTAATTTTCAGTGGGGGCACAATTGCCGGTCTGTCACTAGGATCATCATTGAGTACATTGAAAGCAAAGGTATATCTTTTGTTAAAAAGACTCGCATAATCTACATTTTTGCAAGCCTCATATATCATTTATGTGCTCCCTTCAGGTACATGCATTCTCTGTTTGTGATGACCCAGATTACTTCCACAACTTTGTTCAAGGCTTGCTTGATGGACTCAAAGCTGGCGTTAACTCAAGAGACATTGTCCACATACAAAATGTGAGTGTCTTGGTAAAGTGGAAGTGTTGAAAAGATTTCCTTTCATGAAATTCTATATACACACTATTTCTTGGTCTTGCTGCTGTTTGTTTTCATACTCTATTCAAATTGGAGCTATCTTTTTGTTGAGGGGGGAGGAATACATGCTGGTAATTATTGAGTAAATCAGTGATCAAACTCCTGTAGACCTAGCTTGCTAGTGTGACTATTCATGACATAAAGTCAAATAATACATACACTTGTGATCCAGAAAACTTCCTTCTTCTTCTGGGTTAATAATGTTTTATTAATTGATGATGGGAATTTAACTGTTTACAGGCCAAAGGTCTTGGCTATGCTATGAGCACTTCTGAGGAGCTTACTTTTGTAAAAGAAGTAGCTGAGGCTACTGGCGTTGTTCTTGACCCAGTATACAGGTATTTATTTGTCCCAGCGCATTGTATATTGTCAAAGTGCTTTGTACATTGTTTGGATATATTAAGAACGAAATTATTTTTTTGTCTTCTTCTCTCACTTACAGAAGACCATTCTTTGTACATCACATGAATATCTTCTTTATAATCTTAGTAATTTCTCCATCTTATTTTATTTGGTTTTGATCAACTAATTAATGATTATTCTATAACTGGAAAAAATGTTAAATGGAACAAAAACGCCATGTTGTATTAGTATATTTTGTACAAGTTTGTGTAGATGCTTCATCCGAAACTGCTGAACTTTTTGATAAAATTAATATTGAAAATTGATATAATTATTTGATTGGGATCATAGGACTCATGAGCCCTCATCTTTAGTTTATGGCTGATAATTAATCTTCAAGAGATAGAAAATGAGTCCTATGGAACTTATGAGCCTTGTTAAAAAGTGTTTAATACCATTCATTTGTTCCTCGTAATTTCCTGTATAAGAGAGTATTAAATGTTCTTTTGGGTTTTCAGGATAATAAATTTTGAACTTTTCATTTAATATTCTTAATTCCTTAGTATATATCTCAAGAAAACTTAAAAAGGCAAGAAAAAAAAATCTCAATAGATGTTGTGCATTGAACTTCGCTGATTTTACTTCATATTCTATTGTTTATACCCTCTCAGCGGTAAGGCTGCTTATGCAATGCTGAAAGATATGTCTGAAAATCCAAAGAAGTGGGAAGGGAGAAAGATCCTGTTCATACATACGGGTGGCCTCCTAGGAATGTACGACAAGGTCGATCAGCTGGCTCCTCTTGTTGGGAATTGGCAGCATTTGGATATTAATGAATCTGTTCCTAGGCAAGATGGTATTGGAAAGATGTTCTAAAGAAGGAAAATGAAAAACCCTGGCATCCCTGCATCTATGTTTTGTGGCAGCTTGCTTAAAATAAGTTATACTTTAGGTAGTTGCTTCGATGCCTCTAAATTTGAACGCGTATTGATACCCATATTAGGTGCCATCATGATAATTAAACATGGTTTAAAACTTGCAGCTCATTGGAATATTTATCTTTTATTTTGAATATGTAAATAATAGTTTGTATATTTGTTAAAAAGTTCGCAAGGACTACTCATTAAATTACAGAACATAACGAAAGGACCTTTGATTAAAACTTAAACACTAGCCCTACACCCAAGGAAGAGTTGTAGACTGCTAAACTGAAGAAAGAATCTGGCCAAAGTTAATTGGTATAAAAACGTAAGATATTATAGTGTACAACATTCGTGTTGAACCTTTCGGAGATTGTTTTTCAGTTGTTCATATATCCCATTAAAAAAAATCAAGAAACATGACATTTGTTTTGAGCCATTGGAAGGAATCGTTGACGGAAAATTGTTTTGAATGCAGTGAAGGAAATTTTGTTAATTTGTTAATTTGCTATTTTGTGTTTGTTTCTTGGTCCTTTATGTGAAAGTTCTGGTAATCTTTGGTTCATGGAATATAAAATGAGTTTGACAGCCTTTCATATATTTTTGTTTGTTTAATTTTTCATATTGATGCAACTCAACGAAAGGCTGTCAAATAATAATAATAATAATAATAATAATATTTTCAAATATCAAATGGTTTATGAGGCACTAAGTACATGTTTAGTTGAGATTGTTTTTAGAGGAAAAAACACTTTTTAATCTTTTAAAAAATAATAATCATTTCTTTAAAATAAACAAAACTAAATAAGCACAAAATATTGTGACAGAAGATTGTTTAATTTCTACAACTTTTGCGAAGAGGGTGAAGTTTTTATCTCGATTAAAAAATCTGTGGTTGTTTCAGAATTCAGCATAACAATAATTTGCAAATTGAAAAGTTGATCATGTTTTATTTCATTTATATGTTGTACCCCTGCCGACCTGAAATTGTGTTTCTTTTATTTACTTGTAACAACTTTTGTAGACAAGTTGGCATCTAATTTTCTAGGCACTGAAATGCCTCATCACTTGGATTTTGATTCCTCTGGAAACTGTATTATAACGCCTCCCTTTGAAATTGTGTGTTCCATGTCAACTGTTGCACTTTTTGATTAGGTCCTTTCTCTTTTTACGCATCTCTTAAGGTCAACTTGGTTACTGCATTACTGCAGTTGCATGTGACAATAAAGCGAACTGAAGGACTAAACAATAAACATGTACTTAATGCCTCGTAAATAATAATAATAATAATTATTATTATTATTATTATTATTATGCTTTCAAGTAAATAGGAAAATTAGTTTAAATCAGATTATAGTTGGTTTAGATTATGGGTTTATTTATTCAATAAAATTAAAAAATAACGTGTCATGTTATCAAGCCTGGTTACGCATGTATAAGCAAATCACGGGAAATTGAAAAAATAAAATAAATTAGAGAACATAAAATTAGATCAAATAATTCATACGGGCATCAGGGAGAGCTCTAATTAATGAGGAAATGCAATACCTTAATTTCGTAGGAAAGAACTTGGACAAGAACCGTACTGGATACAGCTTAGTGATGCTTCTGTTCATAATATTTCCAATGATATAGTGAACTGTTACAGACTTTAAGCATATATGCCTTTATTTTTGTACTTTTATAACTTTTGTTTCTTAAGTAAGGTGTCAAATTCAAACCTAGTGAATGGAAAAAACTCTAGTTAGGAGAGCTAGTCTTATAGCATGTCGTAGATATTCATGACTCGAATATAATTATATTCTGTAGAAGATACTTGTCATTTAGAAAGAAAAAAAAGTTCATAGATATTATAGTAGACATAATTTGTACATAAAAAAGACTACTTGTTATCATTTAAGGCTTGCATAGGAAAAGTAATAGGTAGTAGGGTCATTATGTTGCATTATCAGTTTCCAGTCAAAAGTGATGTGATGAATATGTTTTTTGTTGGGATTTGATTATGATAGGAATCAGTAAATAGCTAGTCTCACAAAAATTCACCTCTCAATTTCTTACCTGTACTACGTTTTGTATTTAGTATAATTAAATGTTGACTGTTATATCAATCAGAATAAAAAAGAAGTCAAGTAGGAAATTGTAGAGTTGTGGATATTCCTTCATTCGCACGCTGTGATTTAATAATTTCTTCCTTTGTGGTGTCCAACGTGGCATAGAAGTCCGATTCAAATTTCTAACTTCCAAAATTATGATTGGAGAATGAGTGGAACAATTTTAGTGGGATGTATCACTGTAATGCTGATGCAGTCATCGAGTAATGCTGAAGATTGTAGAATCTTTTTCACTATGACTCTCTAGAAGGGATGTCACAAAAAAATGAGCTTTCATTAGTCGAATTTATATATGACAAAATATTACGATCATCCTAGGCCTAGACTCAAGAAATCATTGCATCACTATACACTTAAGCCGAAAGATATGGTTATGATAGAGTTCATGTTCTACATGCTTTTGATAGGTTTTACTACTTGTTTAATGAAGAGTTTTCTTTAACTACACATCTTATGCAATAGTGGGGTCACCGTCTATCCATGGAACGATGGCTGAAGTTGCTGATTCTATTGAGATTGAGGTGTCACCTTTATGTCACTTTTTGATGGATAATTAGTTATCAACAACAACAAATGTTACCGAATTTTATTTTTCTTATTAAATGCAAAATTGAGATAATCTCATACCCACATGCTTGAGGACTACAATGAGAATTTTAAAGGTGTATCAAGGTCCGTATTATTCCTACTTCTACAACACAGAATGAAAACCTGCCCAACAAGGGAATTTACATCTGTGTCCCGTACCTAATACCCATAAACCCAGAAGTGAGTTGCACTCAAAAGTAGTGCATTCAATCTGAATGGTATTCACAACCTAGTCTGAAAAGTAGTATTGACTAGTATTTTAATTCTAAACAAGTCAAGATAATGGCAAAAGGGTTGACAGTGACATTGCTGGATCTGGTAATCCTAAAAATAACACAAGTGATATATACTTGGTGGGAAAATTGAGGACACATAACATAGTAATAGTTATATCGTGTATTATAGGTTGGTGTACCATTTTTGGTGGGTGTCATGATCAAATAGTAATACCTTGAAACATTTGAAATGTTGGTTTTCAGTAGTTTTTACGGTTGAGAGGTGAATATAACTTCCAAAAACAGAAACCTTGCTTCCAAATATAGGTGACTGCATCCAATCAATACATTTGAAGCAAGCCGGGGAATCAGATAGAGGAAGATTCTTCCTGTGGAAACTTGGAACAGAAAAGGGTATTGAGAAAAAAAAAAAAAACACTCTCTTGACTACTTAAAACTAATCAGAATCTTTACACGCTCGTTATCTATAATATTGCCTTTATGATGAGAAAGTAGGTTATTGGACTATATAAACTATAAAACAACACTACTCAATTTAAGCTTCGTGCATATCTTTAAAACTATTCTCTTACCAAAAATTAACAATAAAGTGTTTTTTGAACTATGAGAAACAACTTTTGGTTGTCGCCTTCACTTTTTAATGTATTTTTAAAATGCGTGCATATAAAAATATATTAAAAAATTAAGTAATAAATAAAATTATTATAAGTATCAAATCATTTTTTTTGTAATTCAAATATTAAAAGTGTAAAATAGAACCAATCCATGGTTGATCAACGGACAAGAAGCTTTCAGTTAGGCTTCACCATTTAAGCATAACATTATACATTGACCAGGTTTTCTCATTTGTTAAATGTTAGGTTTGTTGATGAGTTATCTTCGTGGTTAGGAGAGAGTAGCTAGCACAACAAAAATTCCTGCAATTATGTTTTGCAAGCATGCAAGTACAAGAGAGTTGAAGTTCTGGTACTACCAAAATCTATTTCATGCAACAGTTAAATTGTTAATGCTTACAAGAAAAGTTGGTAAAACGGGTGAACAGTCAAGGATGCACTCTGTTCATGAAAGTTGAGCCTTTCATGTCTAAATTAATGATGCAAGGCACTGTGCCACCACCTGTGCGTGCTGTGTGTTCTGAAAACCCCACCACCGCCACCACTATAACACTAGAGAAATTGCAATTTTTTTTATAACCAGAGAAATAAAAAGAAATTTGTTTAAAAGAAGATGACTTATATAAATAATAATGATATAACTCACATAATCAAGTGTACTAAAAAAGCACATGTTTCCGTTGAGAAAAGGCGGGTTAAATATCATAAAAAAATATATAGAAATGTTTAATGACACAAAAATAATAAATATAGAAGATAACTTGAAAAAGCGTAAAATTATAGGAAAAATGTGTTCTATCCTTTTACTTAGTTCATGATATAAAATTTTCTATTTTGTGATTTTCTTTGCTACATTGCTGTTGAGAGATAAATATAATACTTTTTTTAGTCTTTTTTATAAAATAAGTTACTATTTTTTAGTTATAAAAAATAAAGATTCATTTTTAAACACATTAATTATTAATTTTTAACATATTTATTTATTATAAAATACATATTAACAAGACATTCACTTATTACACATATAAATAAATATAACTATTTATTTAATATACGAGTCATCATCATTTATTACTATGAGTATTTTTTTAAATATATTGTAAATTTATAATATATATAATTATTATTAGTCTTAATAAATTATTTATTTATTTCTTATAAAAGACTAGAATGTGTATATACTTTTAATTAGTGTATTTACAAAATTTAATATTAAAATTTGGATTAATTAATTTATAGTCTCCTAATTTACTTATATTTTAAACATCATGCATTTACATTTTTTCCAAGATCTAAATTGTAAAAGAAAAAAAAAACTATCTATAACTATTTGTCATGACTTGAATGAATACTTGCAATTTTTGTGCGTAATCTGAATAATTTAAAAATTTCATTTTTATTTAAATTTTAAATAGTAAGTGGTAAAAAAAATTAAATTTAAGCTTATGATATAATACATAACATGATAAGTTATAATTTAAACATATATTAAAATGTTAAATCTCTAAAATAATAGACACACGTTACTAACGGATTGTATGATAATGAAAGCTAGTAATATTCTGTAAAAAAAAATTAATATACTTTTAATTATTAATTAAAATTTATTAAAAATATTAATTTAAAAATAAAAAAGAGTAAAATATACTTATTTTATAATTTGTAATAAATTTTAACTAAGAGTATTACGATTCATCATTCTTCTGTGTTAATTTATTAATGCACAGACGGCATCTCCGTTGTTGTTTTATGATTCGTCATTCTTCCCATTATGGCAAAGTTGACTTTCTAAGCCCTCTGTAAAACATGTATTGGTCGGGAGAGAGAGAGAGAGAGAGAGAGAGAGAGAGAGAGAGAGAGAGAGAGAGAGAGAGATGTGGCACAGCGAAAGGTTTTGTTCAGAATTGAAGAAAACGGCTGAGTTAGCAGTGACAGTCAGCAACCTTAGACAGATGGTGGGTGAAAGATTTGGCTCACTTTTTAAATAAGCAATTTCTGCATCTAAGGCCATAGTTAGGCCAACGGTCAATGATGATCTTTTCCTCATTTAATATAACGGAATGTTTACTAACTCTGCAAGTCATTTTGGATCATTAATGGACATTTCAAGCATATAATAATAATAATAATAATAACTATATTTATTCATTGATTTACATTCATAGTAATTGCTCCCTCCTTTTTGAGATTGTGCTTGTTTCTTTGTTGCTGTTGCACGAAAAACAGTTACCTATTTCTCATTTGGAATTGGCAAAATGGGCAGATAAAAATTCACATTCTTTAATTGAAAGAGGGTGGCAGTTTAGAAGTCTCTGATAGACTTTTAACGTACTTAACATAAGTCTTCTGCAAGACATTCCAACACTTCAGCCAAATGTTAACGTTGTTGTTCTAAGCAGTGTTCAAAAGTACTATAAATTATTAAGAGTTGTTAAATCATGGCCATCAACGAAATTGTTATTAATACATTCTCATTAGTTGTGTAACGTCAATCACTTCCTAACCCAATTTTAGCAACTATTCATGCCAGTTAAAATCTTATCCTCCATCACTTTTTCATTGTGGCTCTTATATATTTGTTGACACATGGGACTGCTGTAAAATTAAAAACACCATAATTTCTTTTTGTAAAAGTTAAGATTATTAGATAAGTTGCCATACAAAAAATAGTAATTTACATTAAAAAAATTACAAATATTTGATGTATAAATAATATATATTAATATTTTCTATGACTTAATTATTTATTGGTATAATATATTATGTTATATTACTATTGGCATAAATTCATGGTATTTTTATATTAATAGTTTAATATTTTATTATAAAAATTTTAATAAAAGCCAATTTAATATTAAAGCGTTAATGAATTTTTTTTTTGTTGTACTGTAGAGTTATCTCACTTTCATATAAAAATATATTCTCTCATACATCACACACACGTATACCTATAAAGTTGAAATATTCATATCAATCAAAGTTTAAGCTTAAGCTCTGTAGCTCCGTCGTGTATAATTAGTATACCTCTGATCGACCAACTCTTCAAATACTCATATATTTTAAACCAAACTTTCATTTGACTGACAATAATTAAATATATATCACTTCCAAATCTATCAGTAAAGGAAGAAAACATAGGAGAGAGTAACTTATACGAAAAGATTAATGTTTGATACATTAATAGCATATAATCTAACTTATTCCTATATATACAGATAGAATACATAATTTAATTTTATATGAAACACCGTGACTTTGAAGCTTAGGGCTACTATTCATCAACAAAACAACAAGAATTCTTTAATACGCAGCTTCGTAATACTAATTGATGGGAGATAACTCTTAGAAGTTATCCTGGTTCGAGTTATTAAAAAGAAAAAAAAGAAATTTATTTTCTACCAAATCATTATTAGTTTATTCCATTAAGCTTTCGGGTGAGACGCTAGCCAGCATATATAAGCCTTATAATTTAATTAAAAAAAATATCAAGCTCATATAATTTTCAAAATCAAACAATGAAATTTGAATATTTCCACAATATTAAACTGTCAAGAATTAATTACATAGTTTATAAAAAAAATTATATATGATTGTTTAATTTGAATATTTAGACGCAAAAATATTTAAAAAAATTGTCTAATTTTTGTCCTGAAATTTAAGATATTCTTTATTCCTATGTAATTTATATATGCCTTCTTAATTTATCTCTTACAGATTTTTTTTCTATCAATAAAATTACTTATGAGAGTAAGGTAATTATATATAAAAAAATTACAAGAGCGATTATGTGACATATAAAAGCATAAGATTGTTTAGTAAAAAAAAATAGGAGGTAAATTGAAAAGTATGAAATTACAAAGAAAAAAAAGTGTAATTTACCCTAAAGTTAAATTATCTCTAGGGAACTTATAGTATTCTTTTATAATTGTATGGATTGTGTAATCAATTTTAAGCTAACAATTTAGCTAGCAAAATATATATTAGTTTAGAGGTCGTTTTTTAATCCAGATTAGTCGTTTGAGACGTACCGGCGTGTGATCTGTGTATCTTGTAATTTATATACTACGGTAAACAATTGAAAAGTGTCTACTTCAAATTACATATTGTTTAGTTTTTAATGATATCCACTGTTAAAAGATCAATTTAAATATAAACTTGTATATTCCAGTTAAATGAAATAATATTTTATCAACTAAATGTTACTTTAAACATTATTTTTATTTTTCATAAGCTTTCTCTAAAAAAAGTATCTTATCCTTAGGCACTAATTTAAAATTATACAACCCTATGTGTGTGTCTATTAACCCGTACATATGGTCATCCATATGCACCATATATGTATATGTGTATCTAAATAAAATAAAATAAAAATAGTGTAATTTCTTAATCAAAATGTTGGACTACAAGGAGAACTTAAAACATTAAAAAGGTACGTATAGAGTAAATTAAGCAAGTTGGATATTTTAACGAATTCAAAATTTTCAAGACAATAAATATATGACTTTTTATTATTTATATCTTGCTTCATTCGTCCATTCATAGTTAATATGAGAAATTACTCACACAATACAGCTTCAACATAATTTAAGGATATATATGTTTTCTATTCTTAAAAAAAAATACATGTACTTATACCACAATATACAATACTACATATATTCTTAAATTTATAGATATGTTATAAATTCTACCCAAGATAAATGAAGTGGGTGATAAAAAATAAATAAACAATACAATAGTAGGTATGACTGCTATAATGAAACATCATTGTTTCTGTAAAAAAGTAGAGTGAAAGTACGTGTCTAATATATTAATGTGTGCATTTTGTAAGAATATATAAGATTTTTTATCAACAAAATATATAGAACCTGTAAAGTATAAGAAATTACAACCCTTACATCTAATTCTGCTCCACTATATATCTATTACTCAGGGAAATTGATTGATAATCAATTGATTTAAAAAAAAAAGGAGATTCCAATTCCAAATTAACTTACTAGAATTCAAGTCTATGATCTAATTTTAATTAGTTTCATCACCTTTTCAGGATTTAAAATGCTACTATTAAAAATAGTATAATTCTTATGTAATGAAAGGTTAAACTACAGCAAACCAAATTGACCTTATGAATTTAACATCACTACAGCAAACAAACTTTCGTCTTGTATTTGTTTTGTGTCAACATGATTTGTTTTTACATAATTTTGTATTTTCTAGCAGCATTAAATAGTACGGAGTACATATGAAAAAGGACTTCCATTCCCAGCCAAATAAATATAAATAGATACGCAATTGAAAATTGGGAAAACTTGCCCCCTTATCCTTTTTTCTTTAAATAAATTATATACCAAACAATTTTAAATAAAACAATACATGAAAATAAACGTTAACAATCATAAGAAAAGTAAGGAGCTTAAAATTCAAAACATATTAATAACACAAGCATGTAATTTAACTTTATATTGAACTTCATTATAATTTAAATATTAATGAGATAGGATTGATCGGGACAATATTTATATATTCCCAATCTTACCCGCTATATACCTATATCGATGGACCAAAATTTAAAACCTGACTCCAAATTCAATTTTATTGAATTTTCTTTATCAAAATCCGGACGGAACAGGAAAGAAACCTGCAACTATGTAATGGTCCTTTTTTGTTATGGTTAATAATGGGGGTAGACCAACGTTTGACTCAAAAGGGTGTTTTGTTCTCTAATGACCAACGATGGGAAGTCTTCATTCCACGTGCAGTTTGTAAGGATTGTAAGATAAATATTGCTAGTTACGCCTGAAAGCTTATCAAAACCTAAATATAATTCCAAATGGTCTAACAACAATACCAACCCCCCATCTTTTTCTTTATGTTCAAATATAATTCCTTTGTTGTGTTCTTGTGAGACAAACATGCCCCAATGGCTATTCTTAAGTAAATGTTATTTCTTTTGTTGATTTTTTCTGTAGATGCAATATTAAACATTTCTAAAAGCATTTGATTTGGATCATTTAACTCTTTTTTCCCTCTCTCATATATAATGGCAAAGCAAAGTGTGATATATACGTACTTTATGGTGGATGTCACATACCAAGGCACACTCGTTTGGCAAAATAATCTAATTTCAATTTCAATTAATTAATCTTAATAATAAATACATAAATATTAAAAATAAGCAAGCTTGGTGGGTTATAAGTAGACGTTGTAGGTTAGAAACTTGGAAAGACGTTGAAAGCAGAACCAAACTCGCTCCACTAAGCAACCTCTTTTCTACCCCTCACATCACATGTATATATATTTTATGTTACTTATAAGAGGGTTTGTTAGCCAAAACGTTTGCATCAATCGCAGGTGTAAGGTCTGTCTAAACCTTCCCACTCTCTAACGGAAAACACTTTCCCATCTTCCCCACCATATATTCTCTTTTGCGTCTCTTTCCCCTCCCTTGTCTTCATTGTTAGTTCCTTTCCCTTTCCTTCTCTCCTTTTGCTTCCTTGTTATTCTTCTCTCATCATATAGCTTAGCCTTAGACCGTGTGCTAGCTCGGAAGAACAACCAAGAGGGAGAGGAGCATAGAGCATGCAAACCCTATTGATCCTGAGTTAGGGCTTTCTGTTCTTTCTTTAAGTTGTTGTACTTTTTCTTATTTTATCTATAGCAAACTAGGGAAAATATGTGTAGTAGAGGGCATTGGAGACCCGCTGAGGATGATAAACTTCGAGAGTTGGTGGAACACTACGGACCCCATAATTGGAACGCTATAGCTGAGAAGCTCCGAGGAAGATCAGGTCAGACATCAATATTCATTCGATTAATCTTCTACCTTTGTTTTACCTTTTAGCCATCTAACTCACACAACACTTCATTTACTTCAGAAATTCATATTACCTTATTCCTACTCTGCCCTAGCTAAAGACACATTCTTAAAATGCTACCGAGCAATCCTAATGGAGTTTTCTTTTTTCTGAGATACTGATTAAAAAACAAAAAATTAAATTTTTTATCAAAAACAAATACAACAATTTATTCTTCTACTAATTTTTTAATAAAAATATTTGTTATTTTTTAAATTATGGTATCACAAAAATACTAGATAGCTAATTTGTAGTATATGTAAACTTAAATTATAAGTTATATATGTAGTGAAGTGTGTTGAATTAAAATTTTTCAGGGAAGAGTTGCAGGTTGAGATGGTTCAACCAGTTGGACCCACGAATAAATAGAAGTCCTTTCACAGAGGAAGAAGAAGAACGTCTTGTAGCTTCTCACCGGATTCATGGTAATAGATGGGCAGTGATTGCTAGACTTTTCCCTGGAAGAACTGACAACGCTGTCAAGAATCATTGGCATGTCATGATGGCAAGGGTTCGTCGTGAAAGATCTAAACTTTATGCTAAACACCCTGCACTTCCTCGAACAAACCCTCACCATAACTCTAACTATGACACAACAACCTTCGCTTCTAGTTTTGTTGACAAGTGTAGCCCTTTCCAATTTACCAACAACCTTCACTTTCGAGTTCCAAGTTATTGTTCCACAATGCTTCAAGGTAAATAGTTACGTACATTAATACAGTACTTTCATTTTTATTTATCTGGTTTAAAAAATTATATAAATCAAAATATTTAATCGTTTTATTAAAATTATTTGGTAACTTTTTTAATATATCATTTATTATTAATTTTTTTTTAACTTTTTAGTTACTCAATTAGTATAATATTTTCTTTATTGTACTTAAAATTCTTATATGAGTACAAAAAAGTGTTAATAAAAAATTCTAATTAATAATATCTTAAACTTCTATATAATAAGATAAATAAAAGCATTTTATCTTTTCTCTTGATAGATAAATGAATAGAGAAAGTATATGGTATCCATTTTTCAGCATACTTGTCCATATATAAATCTAATTACATGTATATAATTAATTACTCCTTATGTCTGTACCCTTGTTAATTTTGGCAAGAGTTTTATTTAATATTGAAAAATGTTCAGTAAAAATCTCAATGGGAGTTTATATCTTGAGAGAAATAAGAATAAAAGAGAGAAAATATGGTATAATATAGAAAGAAAGAAAAAAGAGATAGATTAAATGATTATTGACATTGTTGAAGTATTTATAAATATAGAAGTTGTTTAATATTGCAGATAGGAGTCAATCAGTTGAGTTCTACGATTTTCTTCAAGTAAACACCGATTCGAATAAAAGCGAAGTGACGGACAATGTCAAGAGAGATGATGAGGAAGTAAATCAAGATGCTGCGGGATCGAAGAACAAAGAAGATGTTTCATTCATTGATTTTTTGTCTGTTGGAAGCTCCTAACATCATTGCAAAAGATCACCCATTTGCACCAATTAAGCCAGCTGACTAGAATTAAGTCTCACCCTAAATACACACATGCATGCACACTGACACAAAGTTATGTATTTAAGAATATAGATCTTGTTAAATTCTAAAGATAGTAGTTAAAGATTAATAAATAGAAAATTTTTTATTAAAAAATGTTATAAGTGCATTAAAAATTATGATGAAAATGTATTAATAACATTTTTTAATAAAATATTTTACTTCAAAGAAACTGGTTCGTAAAGGTATATAGTTAGTAAAACGTGTTCAAAATCCTCAAGAGCTATATATATGTCAAAATATTGTAAGATTTATATATATATATATATATATATATATATATATATATATATATATATATATATATTGCATTTTTAATTTCATAAATATTCTAAAGGTCGGTTCTGTTAATTCCGGGAAGGGATCGACCATCTAATGGTGTTGCTATAGCAATGATAAGGTTACATCTTAACATGTTATGTTTCGAGAGAAAGAAAAACAAGAAGCAAAATTGTACAGATTATTGTTGCCATAAAATTAAAAATGAAATAAAAAAACTCTTTATATAGTTGTTCTCATTCATGATAAATTTTAATTTATTTAACAATTTATCTCATTTGATGCATTTAAATGAAACATTAGGGTTTTTTTATTTCAACAACAGTGTTGATGGATTAAATCGAATGCTTTAAGAAAAAAAATATATCATTCAATCTGATTTGAAAATTTTTAGTAACATATTCTTTTTCATACACTCTTTACGATTAGTCTCTTTATAAAAAAAATTAAGACATTTTTTTCATAAATTAAAATTTTTTAAAATTAATTGATTACCAGAAATGTGTTAAAAAAATATTTTAGGAGAATTTTTCATTTGAATTGAAAAATGTTAGTAATATGCTTTTTTTTTCACACATTATATATTAGTCTATTGTTTAAAAAGTTAAGACATTTGTCTCATAAATTGATTTTTTAAACAAATTATTTTAACTTTTTAAAAATTAATTAATTATAAAAAATGTGTTAAATAGTATGTAGCTAGCATTTATCATTTAATTTATACAAACTTTTAATTTAACTCATCCAACTAATTTAGCTTGAAATTTAAACATGATCCAATATGATTTAAACAATTTAGACTGAACATGTTACATGTTTTTATTTTTTAAAATAATAAATAATTTTTTTTTATCTCTTCTACCGATTTTTATTTAAAAAATTAATAAAAAGATACAAGAACTATATAATAAAGAAAAATAAGACAAAAAATACATTAAAATAATAGAATCCTAACCAAAATATGTTAAAAAATTCTACACTATTTTTTAACTTGATTCTAAAAATTTTAACTAAATTTTTAAAATATAAAATAGTTTAAAATTTTTGCTTTAATTCTAAAAAAATTAATTTTATATCATCCTCTTCAAAAACTCATTTATTATTATCATATCTTAAACTAGTATCACCATACATCATTGATAATATTATTATCATTATTACCACTAATTTATCATCAATTTCACCACCATTATTTATCACTGTAATAAATTTTATTGTCATTTTCATCATGATTATTATTGTTATTATCACCATTAAATTAATATTCATTATCATTATTATAATTAACACTTTTATTATCCTCTCTATCGTCCATTGACAAACACCTTCGTCGCTAATTAATTAATCATACATAATAACCAATTTATATTTTTAATTACTTATTATAATAATAATTATTGATCAACCATCTTTACCACTAAAATAAGTTTAAATAAGAAATTGATTAGTAACTTATATGTTTTTTATTTAAAATGTAGTATCAAAATTTAAAAGTTAAAATCACAAAAACACTGAAAATAACCTATAAAATTAAAAACTACTTTTCATTACCTTAAACTGACAACTATTCTAATCAAGTCTTTAGTATGTTACAAATCCCCTGACAAAGGATATGCCTTCCCAAAACTGAATTTACTACTTGAAAATAGAATTGGGTTGATGATCTAAATCATACCAGTTTAATAGATTAAACTTATTTTTTAAAATAAGTTAAACTATTTTAAAAAAACCTGGGCAAACTTCAGGCCACTCTTGAAAAAATTGTACGTCTAACAAGCTAATTTATTTAAATAAGTAATAATACATTAAGCTTTATTATAATATTTTAAAATTATATATATATATATATATATATATATATAATTTATGTATATTTTTCCTTTAATTAATCTTAATTTCATCAAGTAAGATTTAAGAATTAATTATTTTCTTATTCTTATTTTTCACAATAATTAAGAATTTTTACTTAAATAATTTCTGTCTTTAATCAGTAAAAAAAAGTCTACATAAAAATGATTAAAAAACATCAAAATTTGAAAAACAAATCGAAGTTACGTAAGATAAAAATCCAAATTATTGCGTATGATTATGGTTAGTATATTCTCTTACTTGTCCTGAGAAAATTGTCGTCTCAGCTGATATAATTGAGGGATTACTTTTCTCCACCTTTGTTAATTTGAAACTCATGGAAGGATTGTGACGATAGTTTCCTTGCAACGAAGCATGATATTCAAAGGACAAAGCAACCAGTAAAATTTTAACATAAAGTTGCTTTAATGTAATAAATATATATTTTTTATAAAAATTTCTATTTATAAATGCTTAAATTTAACGGATTTAAATCTCAATCGTTTCACTTTAATCCCACCATATTTTGGTGGTAAAAAAGCTTTTGTTGGCTACAGAATTAGAAAACAAGTGTTTCTACAGTCGTCGATCACCTGGTTAATCATCACTTTTACATTGAATGAATTGGTTCCAATTTCCAGCTAGGTATAAGAGGCAAAAGATGAAATAATATATCAGTTTTGCTATATTTTTTAATAGTTTTTTATTATTATATAATATCCTTTGAGAGGAATCAAACCCATTTTTATGATTACATTATATTGGTCTCGATTTTTTCTGCATCCTTGATTAAGTATTTTCACTAGCGTTATGGTAAAACTAATGCTTCAAAAATGAGCACAACAGAGAAATATTCCCAACATATTGTATCAGAGTTAACTCATGTTTTGAAAACCTTGTTTACTGATCCAGTCTTTACTTATAATTGTGATCACTCATTTTTCACATCTTACTGTGGCTAGCTTCCCATAACAGAGAGCCTATATAATCATTTGGTTTTTTAATTCTAGCCACAAACATATAGTTTACTAAATAATTTCTTGCATGTACAATCCGCACATATGATATGTATAACTCTATGAATGTAAGGATATACATATGCTATTCAACATTAAAAAGTCGTATAATTTAAAGCAATCTGATTGCATAACTCCCAGTTCTCTTCATTTCCCTAATTTTCTAAGCAAAGATTGGTTCCTTCAAGCTCGTATGAGACAAAACCCAACTTTTGGGGTTGGCAAAAACTACTATTCATTTATAAAATATTTAATGAACTTAACTGCATTCACCTTTGTCTTTAGCGCTACCAGTAAACCCCCCATTAGTCAAAAAGCTAATGCTTAATAATCAGCATACACTTGCCATCTAACCCTATCAGAATATAAGCATAAATATCAACCATTGAAGTTTTATATATGCTACACGTAGAGCCATACTGGAAGAAGAGCTTAGGAGATGGTTGATTAATTCTTGGCGGTCATTTTGATCAATCTTCAGTAAGACGTTGATAAGGAAATTGATAGTTTAATAATTCACCTAAAATATGCATTTTGTTCTGGCTAAAAATAATAATGCAGGTATTATTATTTTTTTCTATGAATAAATTCAGTAAAGAAAATGTTGGTGCACAGGATTTGGTTCCCTAGTTAGTGCCTGGACGGTAGCAGTCCCTGCATCTCTCTCACGAGAGAAAGTCAAAGCATGCAAGCCATCCCCATTGTTATAAGAGCATCTCGAAAAGTGAAATTCATTTACTTTTTAAGTTACATAAGTTTTATTTTTATTAATTTTTATGTGAATCTTACAATGACATCATCATCATTTAAGTAACCCTAACTGCAATCATATAATTTTTAAAACTTTATTAATAGATCTTATAAATCACTTCAATAATAATAGAAGACTTTTTAGATAGCTTGAATTTCAACATTTTTATCTAAATAATTTTTTCTAAAAATCTTGACCTAATCATAGCCATACGAATCTCTAAATCTTGAAGAATACATTAACAAAACAAAAAAAAAAAAAAACTTATCTGTTCATACTTAATTAATGAAATTTATATCAACTTTCATTACTTATAAGTGACGTTATTTACTTTGTTGTGCGTTATTGCATTGATTTTCTTTGACAAATACCATGAAAAGCTATTGTGTAGTTGCCTATTTCTGAATCAAATATAAAACATTTGATGCAATAAAGATTGATGCAGAAGTTTTGATATTACACCACGATAACTATAAAACATTGTATGTACAACTACTTGTTAATGATTGAAGCCAACAAAAAAATTAAGGGGTATTAACAAACCATAACGTCAATAAAGAACAACACTAGTTGCAAAAAATTACGAGTTTCAGCCGGAACATGAAATTTTTGCCCGATGAAAACAATAACTATATGTCAATGCCTAATGTTGTCGTCCACAGTTCATATCCCTAATATTACCCATTAGCTATCAAATTCCTAAAATCGTTAGTAAAAGTAAAACCAAACAATGTTCCTTCCTTGACACTATCAAGATACAAATTGATAGCTCCCAGCGGAAACTACAGGCAATTTGAGTTTCAAGTTCCACACAAGCACGTGCTAAATGATTCACATTGTCAGCAGCTTTGCTTTAATCTTGGATTGGTGTCTCCCAAACTGTGGTGTCACATCATGCAAAAATTGGATTGAGTATCTACTTCACAAAAATATTACTAAATACCCTAAAAGAATTATCACACACCATGTACAACAAGACTTTACGATTTCCCTTTCCAGCAGAACACGGCAAAACCTAACATTACACCTTCGTGCAAAATTACATCCTTTGATCATATGGTTTATCACTGGAATACAGTTGGTGAGGGGAAGGAGAGAGACATTTCCCACTAAACCAAAAACACCTTTCACTGCATTACGCAGGAATATGAAAGGGCACAACTCTTTCCATTTCATCTTTAAAATAGATAATGAAAAGCGGTGAGGATCGATCAGTGGGGCTTTCTCTCTGAACGATGAACCTAACCCAACTTAGGGTAGGTGACATTATCCACCATAAAGAACCCTCCAAATATTTCAAGATGATATGGGTTCATAAGGGTATGATAACCAAGGGTGCTTCAGAGCCTCAGATGCAGACGGCCGCTTCTTAGGGTTGACCTCGAGCAAATGAGCAACAAAGTCAATGAAGCCCTGATCTCCCATTGGCAATCTATGCCTCAATGATGTCTTTTTTGGAATTAAGTATTCTAACCTGTTGGTTTCCTGCAGATTTATAAACAGTAAATTTACTGACAGTTATGGTGTAAAAAAATGTGAAGGCTACAGCAATTTCAATATAACATGACAAGAAACTAAAACACCGAGTAGCTAATGTGTTGGAGTAATAACTGAAAAGTCATGTTTTTTTAAATCTTCCAGTCCAGGGCAGATACCAAGAAATTTAACTTTGCTACACAATGGCCCTCGCCCCTCAGGACAAGCAAATTAACGTTCCAAATGGATGGCCAATTGACCAGTCCATTAGGAACAAAAGTTAAGTTAGAAACAAAATTCTTACCTGATTCCGTTCATAAAGCATGTGATTTTTGGTAAAGTACTTATATGTGTCCCGTCCTTTTGCAAGCATACTTTGATCAATTGCACCAATGATCCCAATCACCCGAGCAAGTAATGTTGCAGGTGAATCATTTTGGAAAAGAACCTACAACATCCTTAGTTTAGCATCACTGAGGAAGAAATAGAAAATTAAGCATGTATTTAACAAAGTAAAGAAAGAACTCTTCAAAATACATAAATTCTGCAACTGCATTCAACCAAAAACTGATAATAACAATCCCACAACTACAAAGAAAGTCAATGTATTCTGAATCACAACAGAATAACCCACTTTTAAAACGGAATGAAATACAGGAATAATCAGTAATTGCTCAAATAAAACAATCATAACACAAAGCTATGCAGCCCTCAGTGAGTTTGAGGTCACTTCATAGCCACAATAATCCAAGTTTATTTAATCATGAACTTCATTATCGAGAAGATAACATCATCAAGGAGAAACAAGTAACCTCGCGTAAAATGGATTTAAGCAGTGATCGTAACTTCCACCAAAATAAACCTTTAGAAGTAGAAACAAATACAAAAATTTTCTATAGTAGTGCATTTATGTTAATAGACATGAGAAATTTAATGGCTCAAGAGATAAATTTCTGGTAATAAAACTGAACTATTTATCGAACCTTATGCCATTTTGAAATACATTAATCATTAATTGTCCTTACATTGCCAGTACAAAGTTCTGCCAAGATGCAGCCAAGAGACCAGATATCAATCTTCTTGTCATATGGAAGACCCAAAATAACCTCAGGAGCACGATAGGACCTTGACTGAACATAAGAGCAAAGGTGATCTGTCTCGAAACAACTACTTCCAAGATCAATGACCTTCACCTCACATCTACTATAGCTTTTAACCAAAATATTCTCTGGCTTCAAGTCGCAGTGTATTAGTCCAAGGCTATGCAAAAACTGAAGTGCTTCCAAACATTGAATGGTAATGGACTGTGCCAAATTCAGAAGAGTTTACACCGAGAATAGATAAGATGAAAATTAAACATCATGAAGTAAATAGCACACCACAAACCTGCAATCTCGGCATTGTAAAGTACACTTCACCCCCTGATTCTCTATTAAATTTATGAAACTCGTACAAGTTGGCTTTAAGTAGTTCACATACTATTAACAAATGTTCCTGCCAAACAATGGGAAAAGAATGTAGAGTGGTAAAGTCAGCTGACCAATATGGAGTTCAACTAATAATAAATAGGCCATTCTTAAATTGCGTCCAATTATTAATAAATAGGTAATTAGGTAGATAGATAGGTAGGTTCACATATTAAAAGAAGGAAGAGCGGTACAGTCAGTTGACCAATATGAGTGCCCAACTATTAACAGATAGGCAATTCATAAAAATATATATATATATATATATATATATATATATATATATATATATATATATCTAAGAATATTTGACAAAAATTGAAACCAGCTTTGAATGTTTATACCAAATTCAGGAATAATTTGCAAATTGCTTATAAGAAACAATTATAAACAACAGTAGTATTCAACATAACCCAAATATATGAAGTGACAACAGTATAAATAAAAGTCCAAATAATGGATGACAAAGTAATAATAAAAAAGGGAGAAATAAATAGTACAAGAAATAAGGAAAAAGTATATCTATGCCTAAAATGATGATTGATTTGAAAGCAAACTGTAATAGTAATAACAGGATCATCGAGAAATCCACTTACTCGATAATAGAAATAATCATATAATCGAAGAATGTGATACTTGTCTGCAGGATCATGCTTATTGACATACTTGAGAAGCTTGATCTCATCAAGGCTTTGGTCAAAAAAGTCCTTGTTGTTCTTTATAATTTTAACACAAACATCCATGCCTGTATGCAGGTCATGAGCTTGTATAGCCTTGCTAAATGCAGCAGATCCCAAATATTCTGTGACATGATACCTTCCAGCTATTACAGAATTTAAAACAACGTGGAAATTCTTGTCCTCCTCAAAGCCAGTTCTGAGCAGCAAAACATAGTTTAAGAAAGACTATCAAGGCTAAAGAAAGGGAGAACATAGAGCAATTAAGAAAACATACTTACTTTACAACATAACAAGAAATCATCACAAGCTCATTAAGATTCATTTACATAAGGGAAACATGAAAAGCTTAAAAGTTCTGGAATCATCAGCACATTTATTTCGTAGAAAAGCCAAAAAAAGTCATTTTTAAGGTTTCTATGGTAATGTGTCAGCAAACAAGTTGCCCACGGGTTTTTGGGTTTAAGTGAAAAAATTGGGTAAACAAGAAACACAGTGGGATCACACAATCCTATTATTTTACTCAACAATCCCATCAATTCTACAAAAAAAAGAGTAACAGTTGAGATCTGGATCACAAACAATGGCAAAGATTGTAAGATCATACAACCTTAAGAGTTGACACCCAGTGTTAACTACCACGCTCTCAATCACATGACCGAGCATAAAATTATCAATTTAAATTTAAAAAAGACTAAACCAGAACTGCTGTAGACATGGAAACATTAACAGCACAAATATCCTGACAACAAAATGAGGACATGTGTTACTTAACATTGCTGATGATAAATAATGCATTCTATTAATCATGGACCATAAATATACTCACTAAGTTCTGAATACAGCTTTAGGAAAGTGGTGGAAGTTATACAAATCAAAAGGCAAATAGATGTGCCACCATCCTAGTTTTATCCATGTTTCCAGGACCAAAATTTTCATGAAATGTATAGATTAATATGAATTTTTAAATCAAGTGTCTACAATTAAGAAAAATGATGATTATGATACGCAACCATAGATTCATGGTGACCATACTATGAATTTGTAAGTAAAGAGAAGAGAGAAAATGAAACAAAATGATATTGTTCCCCGTATAAAAACTCAAAACAGAATTGGGAGGATGCACAAAGTGCATGTCACTGTTTCAACAGTTAAAATTTTTTTCTAAAATACTAATTCCAAGTAATTTGTAAATTTGTGAAAAAGTAAAATGTCCATGTCCTGTATTTTGATTTAGAACATTAGTTGTGTTGAGGTGTCTATGTCATGTTCAGTGTCCATGCTTCATAGTTAAATACCATGATTAGTGATTACAGCTCTCAGATCAGCACAAACACACACATTACACATGCCTGTTTTTCCTGTGCACAATCTTTAGATTGAAGGTTTCAAATTCCTCCTCCTGTGCCTTGATCTGCCTTACTTGTTCTTGTACAGCAACTGCCTCTTCATCCTCTAGCGATGCTCCAAGATCATCTTCCCTGACAATTCCAGCCTTTACATCCTCTTCAAGCTTCACATGTTCTCTTTCAGAATATCCATAGTTTGAGACTGTTGTCGGAGAAGAGTTTGTGGATCTTACCAAGTTAGCATGATTTTCATCCCTAGAACTTTTGATAGGTGATGAATCACTGCTCTTCCGCCTCCACGAAGCAAGCATGTCATCAGTTCCCACAAATGCATTAAGACAGTCATCAGTTTCATCAACATTGCAGTTATTTGACCACAGGGGATTATTGGAGGCAGCCTGAATCATCTGGCCATCCTTCAATGTTAGGGGAAATGAGAAGTTTCCATCACCATGAGTTTTCACGTGCAACTGAGCATCGTTATCACATCCTATGACGTATTTATTTGACTCACTCTTTTCATTGTTCATGTTTTTGTTTGATTTGTTGGTAGACTTCTTATCAAAATCATGATGAGAGTGTCTGGAACCACCAAGCCCAAGCCCAACATCACGATCACGGAAATATTCTAAATCTCCTTCACTACTACCACCAACCAAACTTTCACGCACTTCACTGCCAATATCTGCAGCATCACTGTTGATCCCCACCCCAATTGACCTAACTGAACCATGTTGATCATCATCCATACAGGTATCGTCTAGTCGTGATCTTACATTATCATTCAAAACCCTCCCATGGCCTAGCATGATGAGTTCATTTGTCTGAGGGACAAAGCCTCGCCAGACAGGCTCTGCACACATCAGATTCAATTCTTCTTCATCCATCAATTGTCCATCATATTGAGCCATTAAATCATTATCATTAGTCCTTCCATACTCGGTAACTGTTAGACCAATAGGATCATCGGTAGCAGTGACCGGTTCCACATTATTTGCCTGAAGATATCGCTCTCCAGAGAAGTAAGAATCCTCCTCAGCAAAAGATTGATCATCATCCTCATCTTTGGCTGGACCTCTTTCCTGAGGATCTGGAACACTTCGAAGCCCAGTCCCCTTTTCATTGTCACTGGGGTAATCAATTTCATGTGCCAAAAACCAGGCTTCATCCTCAATAGGTTGTCTCATGTACCCAACATCATCATCATCATCATATTCATCAGAGTCCCAGTATTCATTTGGATAGTCAACAGATTCACTCAACCCATCACCAACTGTTGCAAAACCCGATACAAGATCAGAAGTATCCTCCGCAATCCCTTGACTTACAGATAACCAACTGCCCCCAGCAGGCCTCCTCATACCTGAAGCACATATTAAAAAAATCAAAGACAGCCTTTAGCACATCTGAACCACCATGTCAACCAAATAATAAAGTATGCACACAATAAATGTACCACCACAATAAGATCAGTTACTGATAAGTAAATCGTCAATAAATTGCAGTTAGTCAATACCCACAAAGTTGACCAGATTGAGGATCAATTCTACATTCGAGATGGAGTATTCAATCCATGCCACAGTTGTACCATTTCCCCAGATTTTCCCCCCCTTTGGCAGAGGAGGGACTAACATTGCTTTTTCAAATTATGCACAATTCATTCCATATAACTTTTCTTCTCTTCATGGAAAATTAACAGCGGAAGAGAACCAAGAACCAATCCTAGCTTATTTCTAGCATTGCTATTGAGAATCTTTAAGAAAATAAATGATATGCATAGAAACAAAAAAAAAGTGAAATCCTGCATCAAGTCCAGTAGAAACATTTGTTTCTTTATTATCAAATCAATATATTACCTTTCTTCACAATCAGCATATCATAAAAAATTAAACATGAGTACGTAACTTTCAAAAATTTGGCAACCCTTATTATAAGAAATTTATAAAAAATATTCAATCTATTTCTATGGATATTTTTTTCAACAGAAAAAAAGCAGAAAGTACAACCATTACAAAGATTAGATATCCCTCCCAAATCCGAAATAGAAAATTCCAAAACTAAACATTGAATTCCGATCTCTTACTAGCAATTTTGGTACAACTGGCAATTCAGAATTCATTAATAACTCAAATTGTCAACCGTTGAAAACAAAATATCCCAAGTCCATAGTGATGCAGCAAGAGTTAAAACTAGATCCCAAGTATGGAGTCATGCAGCCCACAAATTTACTTGAGAAAACAAGTGTCATCATGGCATTTGGTTAACAAAACAGTAGAAAGTATTAAACGGAAAGTAAAAAAGTCTAATGCATTAGAACTCAAAATATATTTATTACATTCTTTTTTAAGTAATTAAGAAAGATTAATAGAAGCTGTTAATTGCTCCTTAATTAGTACTCGTTGGGAACTCATTTGTAAGACTCCGAGTTATTAGAATCATGCATTTACGATTCAAATAGCACGTTTCAATACAATTTGGCGAGCCAGTGATACATGTCAGATGAAGAATCATAGATGACTTTGAATCTTTCGATACCAGGATAAATCACTGCAATCAAACAAAATTCAGCAATTTGTTATTTTTATTTTTTTTTTTACTTTTCTTTCACCATTTCATATCAAAGAAATTGAAAAGTCAAATAAACATAAATTGTTAAATGAAAAGGATCTGTAGGAGAACTACTTGATTATTCAAATGCTTTATTTTCATTATTCCAAAACAGAGGTTTCACACCATTACTTACTCATTCTACCCATTATATTTTGTTTTTCAATTGTTCTGTAAATAGGGTGGGAAGGCATATAGGATAAAAAGGGTACATATGGGAAGAGCTACACATTTCCTTGGATAGAAATCTAGAATGATCTTAATTCTAATTCCAGATTAAAAAGAACAAAAAGACAAATATATTTTCTGAATGTACTTCACAAAATACTATTCTGTAGAAATTACATAGAGAATCATTAACTAGCCTCTTAAGTGGCTTTAATTGATGACTTTTGACTGACTTAGACAACCAATAATTACTTGGACCCAAAGTTACAAGATTGGACCCTTCAAAGCTTAATTAACTTATCAAACAGCTGACATTTGAGTAGCTAAAATATCTAATACTCTTTAAGAGCACAGATTAAACACTTGACTTCTGAAACTCTCAATTTATCCATGAAGATCAAGGAAAAGATTCCATTAATCACACAATATAATCATCATCATGACCGATAAACAGTCAATTTTGTTAGGTTACAACAACAACAAAGCCTTATCTCATTAGATGAAGTCAGCTACATGAATCACACGACGCCATTGAGTTCGGTCAAAAACCAAATTTTAAAAAATCTGATTAATCAAAATGTCTCTTTTCAATAATTACATTTAAGGTTTTTTTGAGTATCCCTCGATCTCTCTTTACCAGACTAAGAGTCATGTAATCCATTCTCCTTACTAGCACTTCCAAAGGCCTTCTCTACACATGACTAAACCACCTTAGACGATTTTCAGTCATTTTATCCACTAAAGGTACTACTCCAATATTCTCTTGTATATTATCATTTTGTATCTTATCATTTTCAGTGTGACAATTTTATTAGGTTATTTATAGAATATTAGGTAAGTTATTTGAGCTAATTAGTTGATCAATCTTTTTACCTATTTTCCCTAATTTACTGCAAAAACAGGTAAAGAAACTAAAGGGTCTTTTTTGGCGCAGAAAAATTTAAATGAGCCATTTTTTTGGAATTTGGAGTCAAGCACATTTATGATGAATCCTACATGCCCAGATAAGCACAGCTGTGCTCATAGTTGACATGACCAACCAAAAAATGTAGCTGCTATTAGCTCGAAAAGGAAACTGCTAATGGACATGCAGAAAACATTTGTCGTCATATGAAAAAGCTCAACACCGTAAGTTAAGTATAAGCTAACCTGATGGATTGATTTCTTGTCCAATAGGTACATCTAGATATGAACCAATAAGCAAAGTGTTATCAGCACCAGCAAGTTTTGAAGTTGGTCCATCTCGCTCAAACTTCTCCTCCCAGTTAACGATCAAGGGCTTATCATCTGACTTGAGTTTAACTGGAGGAAGCCTAGGGAACTCTTCCTTCTGATTTTCAGGTGGAATAGGAAAACTTAAGCTGCCAATCATTTTCTGTTCAGAACTACCTTGTGACTTGCCTGAGTATATAGCTCTCCCCATCTCATCCACCTGTTCTTTTATAGATGTCCTAATATCAGTAACTTCTACCCTTCTTTTCTCCTCTTTTTTGTCAGAATAAGTTGCATCACCAAAGCTTGTAGACTTATCCCCTCCTTTTGAGAAGGGGAAGACAGTCTTGACAGAACAGTCTTTGCACGAGTCTGAAGACGAATTTGCATTCTCATCTGTTCTTGACCAGGGATTATCTGTAAAGTTCACTTTAAGAGATGAATCATTGAATTTAAGCTGCCAATCAAGTTCCCTGGGTTCTTTGCTTTGCACGAGGTCATACTTAGGATCCACAAGGGCTTTACTACTACTTTCAGGCCACAAGGATTTGTTATTAGCAAGCATGGCATTCTCCTCCCCAAACTTTGAATTGGTACTGGCTGCAATTGCATCAACACCTTCATTAGTTTGATATTTTGATTGTTGAGATACAGAGGTCTTCAAAGTATTATTAGCCCTACTACCACCATCATTTTGGTAAGGCTCCAAGGGACCATTACTGGGGTTAAACTTCCATGAATATAAATCAAGGGGACCATCCTCCGAACTCTTAGAGAAAGTGAAGTTCTTTTCACTTGCCCCAACCACTTCCTTCGACTTATTCCTTTCCACCGCAGAAGGAACAGTAGCTTTCCATTTGCTTTCAGTGGCGTTTCGACCAGTCCCACACTCTATTTCTTTCACAATCAGTTCTTTAGAAACTTCAACACCATCATGAGATTCTACCCCTTGAACCTCAAGCACGGGCTTTCCCTTACTATTTTGAGGCGCATCTCGTAAGGCTTTTTCTTCCAATGTAAGCTTCTGTAGAAAGCCATTCAAGTCAGGACGATTATTAATCTCACTGCGCAGAGCAGCCTCAGCTCTAGTGAATCGATTCCTCTTGAGAAAGTCCAAAATCACATCAACTGAGTTTGATTCCGCCATCGTCAAGGCAAGCCAAGCTCCTACCAACCTAAACTCAAACCAGAAAGAAACAATAACCAACTTCACATAAGAAAACCCAAAAACAACAGCTACCATTCAAAAGCTTATATTTTGAAAGTAACCAAAACCTAGCTTACCTCGTATCAAGCAAAAGCAAGTAGTATCATTTTCTATCCTTGTAAGTAAGTGGCATTAGGTAGCAGTACCTGATTAAACCAAAAAATATGTACAAGTTCAAATGCTAGTTGCTAATCAAGCAAAAACAAAATATCCTTTTTGCCCCTCCAAAATGACGAAACCTAGGTTCCAAAATCCAGTAATAGAAGGCGAGGGGTAGCAGGAAATCGCGAAAGTGAAAGAGCGATCAAGAAGAAACGAAGGGGAATTGGGGTGGCAGCACTTAAACCTCAATGTGAAGGGGAAAACCAAAATCAAGATCTGGAAGGTTCCGAGTTTGAAAGGAAGAGAATGGGTACGAAGAAATTAAAATAACAACAACAACAACAATAATAATAATAATAATATTAACAGAGAAAAAAGAGAAGAAGAGGACCTGTGAGAGCGAAAGAAGAAGGGGTTGGTTTGGTAGTTTAGGAGTGGGGTTTGGTTGGGTTGCTTCCCTTCTTGTTGGGTTGCTGCTGAAGGGCTTCGTTCCGCTGCTATGCTCTGCAGTTTGCACGGGTGGACCAAAGCTTCCTTAGTCAATTTATTCTCTTCTTTCTTATTTTAAGGTAAATGCTAATCACTGTCGGAAGGGTTTTCATTAAGAAATTCAAAATATAAATATTTTTATTATAAATTTTGTAAATTTCATATTTTTTATTGCAGGCACTGATTGGCCCTTATTTTAACTAACACCATCTTAAATCTTTCCGTTATCATCTCAAACTAGCGTTTCTATTTCTAATCTCTTCTCCTCCTACCGTTGTCATGATTCTTATTTCTTATCATTGTCATTTATATCTTTTCTATTCTTTTGTCTGTTAAGTCCAGCTGTTCAAGTATTAAATTTTTAATATTTTAAAACTAAAGTATTGTCTATTTGTGTCATAAAAATATTATTAAATATACAAAGATTATTAAAAATATCTTTACACGTGATGAAAAATAATAAAGGAATATTACGATGACATCTTAATTTTTCAAAAATCAATGATAATTTCTTTTAAAATAAGGCGATGAAATCAATAATTTTTTTATCTAAAATAGAAAGAATTTTATATTAATTTTATAAACAAAATTATGAAGTTTATCCCAAATGTTATAAATTAGATGATAAAGACTGATTAAGAAAAGTTATATATAACTTTTATCAGTATGCTTCGTTTTCTATTCATAAACATATTTTTGCTTTTCTACTATTTTATTACAGTCCATGACATTTATAATTTAGGGCTGTCTAAACAGTTACTTTTTAAAAATATAATTTATTTGCATTATAACAACGTGTTTTCTCGTTTTTTAGCAAATGCAATTCTAATTTTAAAAAACAAAACTTTATTTTATTTTGTTTTGTTTACTAACTCATTCTCCAAGACGTATTATCTTTAAATTTGACCTGTGTTTGATTTTAAAAGTGACAATTCAATTTTTGGGTAAGTGTTACATAAGATAATATTTTAGACATTCTTCAAATATCTGCGTAGTTCTTAAGATTCACAACTTAGTTTGAAAATGTTTCTTTCTTCAATCTTTTCCAATTCTATATGCTCTTCAACGTGTATTGGTTAGATGACTTTTCACCCATATCATTGTAATTTACTTGATATGCAATCCCAATAAAATAACACACTAGTTTAAAATATATATTGTGAGTTTTATTTATTAATTATTTAATTAATATTTTTTTTAAGTATAATTTACTTTTGTTTTTTAAAAGTTAATTTATTTGTTTAAGAAAGTATAACCATTTTAAATAATAAAATATTTTCTTTGGATACTTAGCATAATATTCAGACTCAAATATCATAAATTAAACTAAAATAACTTCTTATAAATTTATTTACGATATTTCATATTTGACATGATATAATTTGTCAAGTTAATAATTTATAAATTCAATAAAAACTTTTAAAAAATAAAATTATATTTTAAAAAAGGAAAAATAATTTGCAATTATTTGTTAAATTTCATATCTTAATTGATAATTTTTTAGAAAAATTTATTTAAAATTATTTAACAAAGTTAGTTTATAAAAAAATTTGACGGGGAAGTTAAATATTTTGAAATTTTGGATGATAAAAATTGGCTCCATCGGAACATACCAACATCCAATATAATTTCTGAATTTTAAAAATCTCAAACTAAAATAAAATATTTGAAAATAATAATAAACACTGCTTATATTAATTTTCAAAACAATTTCTTAAGTATTTAAAAGTAGTATAGTTTAATTGAGAAATAAAGATACGTTAAATTAGAAATATAAAGGCATAATAAAAAAAAAATTCCCAGCAAAATATGGTTGGAAAACAAAAAACGCTAAGCAGAAGAAAGCATTTATATTTTTATTTTATAATATGTCGTATTGTATTGTATGTGTGGTTGATGAGCAATAGCTATAGAACGAGTAGCGTTGTCCAATGGTGAGGAATTGAACCCTAGAAGTAGTCAAGTAGAAGCGTTGGTGTATGAAAGAAATTGGTGAAGATGACTGCAACTGCAGCTGCAGTGGCCATGTCTTTGGGGACAGTGTGTAACTGTTGCACTCACCCACTTCCAGTGACCGTAAGCTTCCTTAATCTCTCTCTCTCTTTCATTCTAATTCAATTGATAATGCATTGAGATTAGAAGTAACTAACTGAGGTGTTAATTAATTCATTACCGAGATTCGAAGGAATTCATTAGTTATTGTTGTTCTTTAAAGGAATTATTTCCGTCTACGTGCATTCGCAATCCGAATCGGAGTAGAAACTATAATAGGAGGCTCTTTAATCAGAAAAGGTTTTGTATCGAAGCTGCAAATGCAAATTCCAATGCAAATGCAAATAGTTCCAGTGAATCTGATCCCGAGCTACGATCAGTGCTTGAACTTGCTACCGATTCGGAGTTGTATGAGATTGAAACAATCCTTTTTGGCCCCAGGTCAGTTTGACTTTGACTACTACTACTTGTATTCATTCCCCTTTTTCATTTTTCAAACTCAATTAATTGTTTTCTAATATATAGTATCTATCAGCTACTTGAGTCCTTTGCTCAAATCCATCCCATTCAAAAACACAAGTACCCTTGATGACCTCGACCGTTCAATGATTGGAGTTGATCTTCAACTACGCCAACGATTTATAGCGGCTCTAGAGTCCCGATTCTTCTTCCTTGCCGCTGATGCCCGCTCTACTTTAAGGTTCTTTTTTCTTCTTCATTATTTCTTACCTTCATTGTCGTCCTCATATATGTAATTTTCATTTGCAGGGGTTGGAGACCATCTTATAGAAATGTCTTACTTCAGCTAAGGAAAAAATTGAATATTCCTTGCTCAACGCGATTGTCAACTCACGACCTTGAACTAGAAATTTTCCTCAACCTCCTGCACTACGACTCACCGTAAGTAATGCAACCTTTTTTATATTAAGAAGAAAATGAAAATGAATTCTTTTGTATATTTCTAGTCATCATCTGAAGCTTGAATAATCTTTTAGTGAAGAATTAGGACACTACCCTGGCTTATTGGATGTAAGCAGTGCATCTGAAGGTCAGGGCAGTCTACAACATGGACTCAGTCAATGGAAAGTGCAATCAAAATCTGGGATGGAAGACTTTCGATCAATTATTTTGAAGGTTGTTTTACTCGTTACTTAAATGTTTCACTTCATGTGTGACTATTTTTAATATGATCTTGAACTTTAGGTGATGTGTTCTTTCCAATTTTTTTCCCTTGTTGTTTAAAGGGAGGTGGTGTATTTACGTTGGCAAAGATATATCAATTGGTAAGAGGATGATATCTATGCTTTATTTATTCTCTATCTTATATGTTTTTCCAAAAGAAACTATTTTGGGCTTTTCCCCCTATTCATGACTAGATGCTGACTTGTAGTTAGCAAGGAAATTATCTGGGAAAGTCCTTGTAGAAGCTGCTAACTACCAGGTTAAGAAAGAGTTATTGAAGAAGGTATGCATTGGTACTGGTAGGAGTTTGGGTAGCATTAGTATTTCCCCAGAATAGCTTCAACATCCATTTTGCACTTGATGGTTTACAGGGTGGGCAGTTAGCTATGATTAATCTTGAATCCAGAGCAGCCTTGCTTGCAGCAAAACAGGTGCTTGACTGTACAATTTGATATGTTTCTATTGTTATGCAATTCAATTGTGCGAATATATTTTAGTGCTATGAAATAGTTTATTTCCATATTGATAGATAGATTGGCATTTTGACGCCTAAATGTATTATGCATAGCCAATAATTTGTATGTCAACTTCATATGCCATAGACAATAGTTCAAGTTTTGATTCTTTGTTGTTGTAGAACTTTATACACTATCTGTTAATAAAATACTGTCACACCATTCAAGGAACCAAAGCATGTTGTAGTAAAAGATTTTACGCACTTTCTAGTATGTGGGAATAGTGATTCACTCAATGTTAATTTCTTTTTATGGGATCATGCACAGTTGGATTAAAATTGAATTTGATATGATGATATGTAATTCAGCCACTTCTTGTAGACATTTCTGAATCAACTTAAGCATAATATTATTACTGATTATTTAGTTTTAGTATGCAAAAAAAAAATGTAAATATCAAGATAACATTAATGATTTCTTGTAGTTATATCAGAGAATTAGTTATATTTTTTGTCTCTTTCTTACATATATCGTTTTTTAGCTAAAATTAACTATTGTTTCAGTTTGTACTGTTTTTATTGCTTCTTTCTCATTCGATGTTTTGACTTATTCCAGGGTTTCCTTGGTGCTGCATCAAGATTTCTTGGCTTTAGAAGCATGATCACATTACTCGGACCTGTGTATGTCATACAACTCATCTTTTTTATGATTTCAGTTTCTGAAAGCTTTGTATTTTCATAATACTACCTTTTCTTTTGCTTCTCTTTATTAAACCACTAAGAGTAAGAAAAAGAATTCTCCTCAGCAGGTTTTCCTTTCATACAGACTTTCTAATTCTATGTATGGATCCTTACATCCGTATTCCCTTTATTTATCTAACAAGCTTATGATACACCTATGCTGCAATATTTGGCGGAGTGGATTACTTATCCATGTGCGTGCTTTGGTGTGTTATAGTACCTACGCTCAACTGTGTAAAGATATTTAGCCATCTAAGCCCTTAATTTGGCACCAACATGACCTCGAGGGGTGCTTCCACCTATACTTCTTGCCAAAACTGTATAAAGATACAGATATTTACCAATCTCAACCCGTATGTTGGCCCAAAGACATGATGATGGCTGCAGTGATTTACATTTCATTATAACAAGCTCTTTTGGCAGTTCTTCCATCATCATCTTAACTGAAAGTGAGTTCATGAAATAGTAAGCCATTACTTCATCTCCACCTCTGATTTCTGCTTGTGTTTCATTACCACTGGGTCATTCTGTATTTCTATCACTTAATTTTGTTCAGCTTTTGTTTCTCGTTTTTCAAACACCTTTTTCATATTTCATTTCTTGTTTCTCTAGCTTCCAATCCAATGGGCCACTTCCACTGAAACTACTATCATAGCTAAAGAATGGGATTTGCAACTGCCTAGCACCGAACCCCCCTCACCTTGGCATTTTCATGCTGCTTGTTCAATTGTGAGGACACAAGCCCTAGAAACTGTTGTGCTTATGCCTGTGATTGATTCCCTGCTTCTTCGGCAACTTACACAACTTTTTCTTAAGCTTTTCAATTCTGTAAATACGCTTCTTGATATCAGAAATCCTGGAATCCAATGAAGAAGGCTGTGGTCCCCAATCTCTGGTCACTTTCTTCATTGAATCCTCTATTTCTTTCCCATTAAGAGATCTGGCAGGTTCAAGCAATTTTTACAAACCCAGGAAAGAGAAACAAAAAATTGAGAGAAACACAGGAAATGAACAATATTATTGAATGATTGCAAATAGGGAAAAGAAATCTCCTGCAAGATTTTCCTCTTTCTTGCAAACTTTATAAATTTCTAGTTCTTTGAATGAATACTTTGGTCCTTATTCCCCACTATGAATCTAACTAGTTCCTCTAACTAATTAGATGCTCCAACTGACCCCAACCAACTGTACTAACTGTCCTTGACCAGTTTGTCCTTCCCTTCTGTCCTAAGAGAGATATATTTACATATTGATAGAAATCTTAGCTTCAGTGCTTGGTCAAATTCTAGATGGAAGAACTTATTAGATGTATTTTTGTCGACCTTATGAATCCATCTTTGCACTTTCTGTACTCTAATAAGTTCTTTTTTTTATGACTAGCTGTGGGTAGTGTTTATGTTGCAATTTGACAAAGGACCGCTCGACATCATTAGTTCTTTCATATATATGAAGGAAACTGAGTTTTCCCACCTCACCCCAGCCACCAAAGAAAAAAAATATTTGACCTTGCAATGCTCCACATACAACAATTTATTCTCTCACTCACACTCTGTGTGTACTTGCAATGTAATTTTCTGTAGCACCACTGCACCAAAGATTGAACGTGGAAGAGTTAAGAAGAAAATTCCCAATGTGAAATATGGCATTTCTTTGTCTAATTTGGTGAACATTGTTTGTCCTTTTCCTAAATCCCTAAGAACATGTTCATTGTAGATGATATAATATTAGTTGAGGAATTAAAAGAATAGGTTAATACTAATCTTAAGTTATGGAAAGAGATTTTATAATTTAAGGATTTTTACTTGAACAGAAATAAGATAGAGTATATGCATTGCAACATTAGCCAAAAAAAAAAAAAAAAACATTATAAGAATCATGTATTAGAAGTTAAAATTAAAATTTTTCAAGTTTAGGTACTTAGAATTGATTCTACAAAATGATGGATAAATTAATGAAGAAGTTACACATAAAATACAAGCTGAATAATTAAAATAGAAAAAGACATTGAGAATTATTTGTGAGAATAAAATACCTATTAAACTAAAATAGAGTTTTACTGCATTATAATACGATTAGTTATCTTATATGATAGTAAATGTTATACTTTAAAATAACAAGAAGAAAAAAGAAGTAAGAATTACTAAAATGAAAATGATAAGGTAAATGAGTGATCATATGAGAAAGGAAAGAATAAGAAATGATCATATATTCAAGAATATTGAAGCTACACCTATGTGAAAAAGATAACTGAAACGTCTAAAGTCATTTGATCAAGTGTAGAGAAAATCACTGAAAACATAGGGAAAAGAGTGGATGACATGGTTTTTAATATAAAAAATTGTAGAGAGAGATTTAAGAAAACCTTAGAAGTTATTAAAAGTGATATATTAATAATATTTTTTCAAAATTTGGCTATTAATTAAGTTTAATATGTTGTGTGATTTACATAACTGACCTTATTTAGTAGGATAAAACTTGATTATTGTTGTATTGAAGAAAATTTGGCAGTTTTTCTCAGTGGTCATGATCTCCTGCAGGGATTGAGATAACTTTCTCCAGCACATTACTTATTTTTCTTAAGTGTTTCTGTGCAATCTGAATGAAAGAAAAAGCTTCTAACTCTCCTCCTTCAGGCTTTCTTCAACTGTCCTAAATCATGTGATGCTTTTTTTACGGATTAAGTTTTACCATTTTTTTTCTTGCATCTTAAAGCACCATCTAAGCTTTGATTTTTATTTTTCTCCATGTACGATGGAGCCATTTTTTATTTTCCACAAGTAGTGAGTCATTAGAAAGCTTTTTATTAAGTCATCAGTAAACTCTGTTAACTATATCTTCTACAATACGATGCACCACAGCAACATTTCTACTACCTGCACAATTAGTGAGGATTTCTGATCATTTTATTTGGCATGTGGGACAGGCTTTGGGGAACATTTTTGGCTGATCTTGTCATTCAAATGCTTGGAACTGATTATGCTAGAATCTTGCGAACAGTTTATGCTTTGGCTCAGGCAAGATATTTGCTCTGTTCTTCCATTCTAAAATTGTTGCCTTACCAGATCCTTGGTTTACCTGCCTGCCCAGCTTGATATGGTTTACTTCATGTTGTGATTATTTTGTTATTTATTGAACACTTGTGGTCTTTGATTTACACTCATTTTTTTTTAACAAAAAGAAGGCTCTAAAAATGAGATAATTATTGATCTTTTGGAGCAAAGGATGATATTAGCTTGACTGTCTGTTGGATGTGTAGAGTAACATGGTTTTTTTCTGTGGATGTTCTGATAGAGTCAGTGCCTGTCATCCATGGATGTTCTGTTGTGTTATTGTTTTGGGAGAAAACTTTAATTTTGTTGTCACTTTGAATTTCAATTTTCATGTAGACATATGAGTGATTTTGAGATAATATCAAAGAATTTTTATTGCTGTGAAGCACACTAGTTAGTTTTCTGACTTCCAGATTGTTTTTGCTTCAGATTCGGGTCATCCGCACATATAGGCTGTCTTCTGATGTTTCTGATGAATAGTTAAGGAGTTCATCTCATGGATTTAGTAGTTGAGGATTATGTTGGATTTTGAGCCATTTTGAAGATTTTGCAGGACTGTCATGTTTAGGTAAACAATTTAGAGCAAGACAAGTACCGCTCTTAAATATGTACATAACTAGGTATTGATCTTTGTACATAGTTTTTTGCTACCCAACTACATCCTTCCTCTGAGATTTATTGACTTTTGTTAGATAATTGTAGATGGACTAACAGATTTTGTTGTGTATGATGCCATAGCTTTTCTACTTGAATTTGAACTTTAAGTTTATGAAAGCACAAGCATAAAAAAGTGAACCTTTCAAAATTCCAAACTTTTTTGTTTTCTGAACTCTGCTGCTTTTTGCATTGTTCTGGTACTGCTAAACCACTGAAAAAAAAATTATCCAAGTTTGATTATTTCTGTTCGTGTAACTTCTTTAACTAAATTATTTATGTAAAAAAACAAACATTATTGAACGTACAATAACCTTAACTAAAAAATAACACACACGGTATAAATTGTTATAAATATGTATTATAGAAAATGTTATTCTTTTGAATGTTTCCTAAAGAGACTAATCTCTTTTAGGTATAATCAGGCTAGTTTGGGTTGATGGAAAATAATTGAATGGAGTAGAATAAAATGAATGATATTAAGTTTTATTGTTTGAATCGTCTAAAATAGAATATAGTCAAGTTTAATTGTTTAAAATAGAATAGAATGAAATGAAACTAAAAGGAATATGTATTATATTTGTTCATCTCTATCTCTCTCTTGTTTCACTCCTTATTTAAGTGAAGTGTAATGTAATGTTAGTTAGGACCAAGAATGCATGACATGAGGATGAGTCAAAAGGTCAAACCATGGACAATACATAGTGTACAACTCATAATCAGCCATTGATATATTAGCTTAAAATTAAGGGTTGAGATCAAATGAGTTGTGACCTAGTCATGAAAATGTTTTGTTAAACTTTACTAAAATTATGGTGCAGTGTCACAGCTAAGAAAATCTCGAGAATTTTCTTGTTCCTCTAAGAATATGCTTGGGAGTAGAGTTTTATTAGAGCCAGAAGGATAGGATAGTTTTTATTTTTAATAAACATTCTCTAATTTTATATTTTTTTCTAAAAGGAAAAGAAATATAATGATAGATAATATAAATTGAATACACTAACCTATTATTTATTTCTTTTATTTTATAGATTTTTTAAAAAATTACTCTTCCCTCCTTTCATCTTATACTTAACTTCCAATCATAAAAGTCAATGTCTTTGTAATACGTGAGGGTGGTCATACAAAAATATAAAGGATCTTGATTCTGAGCTAAACCCGAACTACAGACTAGAGCTCTATTGAATATTTTGTGGACCTACCTTCGCCTTCTGCTTGTTGAAGCTTGGGCTGTAAACAGTAAAGTCAGAATATCGATTTGACAGGCTACAACATCACCTCGGGTAACAAAGATGACTTGACCAATTTTAGGGATCACTGGCCCAATTCCATGCTGAAACAACCATTTAGTCGAGGGAGTCGGCTTAAAAAATGTCGAGGAATACTACTTTTTGCATCACTAATTTTTGTTATCCACACCTTTTTTATTATTTTAAGAATTTAATTTTTTAAATTATATTTTATATCTTTTAAAATTTTAATGGTTTGAAAGTAATTTGTCAATCATTTTTAAAACTTAACTTTTACAATTGATTTTATATCTTTTGAAAATTAAATTTCAGAAATAATTTATAAATGAATTTCAGAATTTAATTTCTAAAAATATTAAACTCATTTTTAAAATTAAATTCCTAAATTAAAAATAAAAAATTGATACAAATAATTAAGGTTTTTTTGGGAGTTTAGAGTGAGGGAAAAAGAAAGAAAAGTTTGAAGGGTGAGAGATGAGAGTAGAAGGGTGGGAGAATAAGGGTTAGCTAAAAATCTTCTAATTCATAAGAATTTAAAAACATAAGTTTAGAAGGGTTTATAAAAAAATTATTTCTCATTTAAAAAGTCCAAATAAGAATTATTATCAAACAAATTTTTTATTTAAAGATACAATATTCATGAATTTATTTTGTAAAACGATGAAAGGCACGTTTTAATTCGTAACTGTTAGTTTAGTTTCGAAAAGAGAAATAAATATATAAAAATACAGAAATAGTTTCATCAATGGAGAAAATGCATAAGCACATATGCTTGGAAAGTCTTTGATGTTGATCCCATCACCACATTCGAGTTCCTACAATAATGATAACTGAATTATTTTTATAAAATTTTATTGTGAGGATAAGTTTTAAGTAATACATTATTTTAGTCTTTGAAAATACAACTACTCGTTAATTTTATTTTTAAAACTATGAAAAACAATTTTTATTTCTTAACATTATCAAAATTAAGTCATTTTTTGTCCTTCAAAATAGAGAGAAAAACAAAGTCTCTAAAACAACTAAAAATCAACTATTTTAGTTCCTAAATTTGTAGTTACTTATCAATTTAGATTTTGAAATTACGAAAATAAATTTGTAATCGTATAAAAGTAACAAAATCAACCAGTCTAATCCTTCTCATTAAATTTTGTAAATCTAACAAACATGGCAGATTAAGTGTCGAAATGGTTCATATATATAACATGTAACAATGAATATTCAATCCTAACATGTTAGATGTTAGTATACAGCCCATAAAGAAATTACAAAATAATTTTATTGCATGTAAATAAATCTTTGAATGTAGCTTAAGAGAAAGAGCTAGAAGCTCCATGCTAGCGACAAATTCTTTCTTATTATTTTTTTCAAAAATAAAACTACATTATTTAAAAAAATAGATAATCAGATAGACATTTTATCCACACGTAACTAGTTACATATAATATATCATTAGACAAATTTAATAAAAAATTTAAAAAGTTATTCGATATTTCATGAAGTAAAAATTCTTTATCATGATTTCAAGAAATAAAATGATCAATTTAGGAAAATTTTAGGAATTAAAAGTTTTATTTCATAATCTCAAGGAGTAAACTAATAAGTATGTGCTTATAATGTCAGGAATTAAAGTATTTTTTTTTTTTTGTAGTTTTAAGGATTATTTTATTTTACAATTTTAAAAACTAAATTGACAAATATTTATAGATTTAGAGACTAAAATAAACTTATAACCAATATTTATAATTTTTTTTTATTATGATAAACATTTATTAAAAAAATATATTATGTTGAAAAAATGAAAATGAAAATATCAGTACTTATTTTTTAATAATTTAAAATATTTAATAAAATGTATCTAATATTTGTATATTATATGCTTATGTAAACATATTAAGAAATTACTTAAAATATAAGAGTTTAATAAAATAAAAAGAAAGTGGTGTGGAGCATGTAGAAGGCGCATACATATTTGCAACTATATTAAAAATTAAAACTATGAGGGATATATATTGAAATATGTATGTGTGCATATTAGTAGTTCTTGAGTGGTTCCTAAAAATGGAATTGGCTGATGGGTAACTGAAACATGATGAAAGGTCCTCTGCGTATTTATCTCCAAAGATCAATTGGGACATGACATTGGGTATTTCTTTTTTTTTTAACTGTATACGCAAACGAAGGCTATAATGTATAATTTGAGAATTGGTTTCTTTTGCAAAAAAAAAAAAGGGACTTTTTTAACTTTTGGATTGGATGCTTTGACTTTTGGACTTGCACAAGCAAATTGCTCTTTTTGGATTTAAAGATAGGTCTTCCCCACTCACATGGTTTGTTTCTTCAGCTATAACTATTCAATATAGTAGAGAAAATTCCTATGGAGGGGATTGTGGATCAAGAAAGATGCCCAAAAATTAGGGAGGGTCCCACTACCCAATTTGATGATTAGGGTTTGTTGGCCAAACTTTTCCTTGCAAGGAATTAGATAACTTTATCATATTGAAATGCTTGAAATTTATTATCTCACTTAATGTTACATCACTATTTTTAACAAAATATTTTTTCTTTTCTTACCTATATCAGAAGTATAACTTATTAATTTTCATGTTCTGTAATATAGAATTATAAATTTTAATAATTAATCACTTAAAATCCTAATATTTGTGTACAATAATTTGTTTTCAAATATAAAGTAATTAAATTTAAAAATTAAGGGGTATATTGATTCTTAATTTAAAACAAGAATATAAAATATTAAAATTACATCTTATATATCTATGATATTGTAAATGTTTGTTATTGATGATAAAAATATTAACTTTTGAAACTTGTTAAATTTTAAAAAATTTATGTATTACATCTTTAATTTTTATTTAAAAGAAGTTAAACCTAAACATTTTACACACAAATTCATGGAACCTTTAGATCCTTCCTTACAAAGCACATGTCAATTCATGGAAGCTTTTGTGTTGTAAATAATTTCATTATCTTTATTCTTTCTATTGTGTGTGTGACATGTTACCACTTATAACTTCTTTTTCGTCACTTTTTGTTTGTTTTTCTTTCTGAAAATTCTTTGACATTCAAGAAAGCATGGAAACTCCATCCATTTGCTGTCGTGTCATGATCCATGCAACACGACCCAGGTGCCCGATTTACGTGTCATCGATGTGATGTTGGTTTCGTGAGAGTTCCATGCACTTGAGGGTGAGCATAAGCCCATACTTTTAGGGTGTTTGTCTTTCATGTGAGATGATCCTGCCACTATCATGCTTGAAGGTGATGGAGAGGCACATGGAGACTAAAAGGTCATCTTCTCAAAAAAGAGTTCACATTACAATCAAAAAGATAAAAAGAAAAAGGGCTGAAAAGAAAAAAAAATATAAACAAATAAAGGTAAAACAACCCACGCTCCTCTGTCTTACTCCTACTAGATAATGTTCATCTTCAACTCTTCAATATTAATTGAGAAGAATAAAGGAATCAAGCCATGCACTGGCCCTGAGTTGTGTATTTATCTATACATGATTATAATGACACATAAAGGGAGAGAAGATAGATTGGCGACGGATATTTCGTAATGAAATTAATGTAAGGTCGACATGGAATGCCAAGAAGGCCAAAATTAACCAACCAATGCCATTGTAGGAAAAGTTCCAAGTAGAAGGCTAACTTTTATTAGCATAAATGACAAATTAACATTTCCAAGGAATTTCGTTGATATATATTTGTGTCACTTTTTGTTTGGCCTATCTCCATTAAGGGGGAGAAATAATTCCTAAGCTTATCTTCCAACCTTTATGTGCTTGTGCATTTATTTACATCATTTTCTTCTAATGCAGTAGCCCTCTTTATTGTTTTACTGC